AAACTATTTAAACCAGATCACTATAGTATCGTATGCAAAGCACCAAATTTGTTACATAATAACAGCCAAGCAAGTGATGTACTGTGTTATGAAGACACACTCTTTAATTCACAATTAGACTCTGATTAAGTATTAAAAATTCTTCATTTGAAAAAACCTTTAGATCATAAAATTTTCAGTGATAACCCATTTCTAAACTGAGTCTACTCTTCTGATTTGATTTTTGGACCTCCCTACAGCTTGCAATGCACTTGCAACTTAGGTCTGTGCCACCTTGAAAAAATTATGTAACACTTAGTTCGATCGCTCTCCTTAACTAAGCATTTTTTGATGAGTTTTAGATGAAAAATCACCAACTCACATGAATTTTTCTACAGAGATATAGTGTTTTAGACATCTATATGTAAATAATATTCGCTTGAGAACACCGACGGTTTAGAGTTTTTTAGATTCTTATTTCACCAGATAGTTCATGGAGGCTCTCGTATATTAGAGCAAAAGAGTAATCACACGAAAAATGGTATCTGATCAAAATGATTTATATTTATTGCATTTATGAACAAAAATCAAAATTTATAAATTAATAGCAAGAAACAAGTTAAGGCAAACAACTTAAATTATGTTATCAAGAGACAAAAAAGAGACAGGGAAGTTGCTGCGAGAAAACAGGCCAATTGTGACTCCAGGCTATCAAAAGGCCACTGAACAAGGTCTGAGCTAGAGAAAATGTCACATGTAGTCTCTTCAAAATCTTACATAGAAAAAGATTCACACAAATGAGTTGAAGTTTGGAAAGTAACTCCTGGACGAGATATAAACAAGTATTTTTGACACAAATCAAATGGAAGTTGTTAGATTATACAAATACATAATATCATTTGTATTTTTGCCATTTAACCGACAGTAATTCTAAATTCTCATATTTTGTTCAGGAATTGATTCCCAGACTTCCTGTGGAGTAATTTGTTTTTCTTGTTGAATTTTGAAGAGAAAATAAGTGGCATAGTGTTTAAATTCACACCTTGCTAGTGTCCCATTACAGGTCAGCAGCACAGGGAATTTCTTCAGCCTTTATTGTAATGGGAAGACTTGATTTACTGATAAATTTAAACATAGTTTTGTATGTACAGGTACTACAGAAAGGGAGTCATTCAGTAAATACAGAATTTAAGCTAACCAGTAGCTTCTTTCACTTTTTCCCCTTAAAAAAGTTAAGGTCAATGATAACAACGATTTCATTCAGCTTACCTCAGTAAAAAACCAATAGAATAAATTCATTCTTTTGAAAAGAATAAACTAGAGGATCACAATTTTTTTTATACATATCAAAATTCAGAGAAAAGCATCACCCCATGCTACAAGTATGAGGCCAGCTCAGAGAACACTTAAGACTATCCCTGTTACACAAAGCTTGCAAAGGCTCTAAAGTGCATCCCTCGTCCTAGAGGTAAGAGTGTTTTCAACACTGCGGTAAATCAGAATTATCACACAAGCAAAAGTTATTGACAAGGGAGGTACAGAACATTAATACTAAATTTTCACACACAGTTAATTTCACGGTGAGGATGTTTTTGATGCATTTACGATTGCGGCTTTGTTATCCGTTTTGCGCCTCTATTGGGAGGGCCTTTAGGCTTGTCAAATTTAGGTCGATGCAAATGCTTTTTGGGGTGAATTTCGTCCAGTAAAAACTCCTCTGTTAGTTCCTTCCCTGAGTCAATTTCTATCTGAAATTAACAAAAAAAAAAAAAACCAATAATTAGCCTATGATAGCAATCAATAATTAGGAATATATAATTAAGACAATAATAGTATTGGTCAGAAAACTAACATTTCACTTTTAAACATGAAATCTTTTGATGCATCAAGAGTGAGAGATGAGCTTAAGGAAAACATAAAAGAAGCTAAAACTGGAGTAAGGTTAAGCATGAGATATGGGCTAGACTTATAATCAATGTCTAAAATTTAAGTTAATAAGCCGCACTGCCTCCTTTGTCAAAAAATTGAGGAATCTAAGTTGGGTACTCAATATTGACAGTGGAATGATTAATTTCAAGCAAAATGCTCTTGTGTGAGGGACAACGCTGAATGAACTATCGGACATTGCCAAATTTGTCATATAATGATGTAAATTTTTTTGAAAATTAGTGTGAATTGGTCTATATTTAACACTAACAATCTAAGGAATGCAATCTGGTGAGGCAAAAGCTTAGTTTGATGCAATGTTTTGTTTAATTCGATGCGATGTTTTGCTTAGTTTGATGCAATGTTTCGCTTAGTTAATGCTAATTTTTGCCTATTCATGATTGATGAACATCTCGTTAAATGTCAAATTCGCCAGAAGACGACTGATGAATATTGGAGTGATCACTTTGATGCGCAAGCTTTTGCAACTTAAGATAGGGTTGCTAGACAAATTGCTTAACTCTTTGGCCATGGGTCATCATACAACAAATCTGAGCATTTATTAACAAAAGTCACTTTTACACTATAACAAAGATAGTGTTTGGGGGACTCTGAAATAAATTGCTTCTGTTTGAAGATTCACAATTAAGTCTTAGTAGATTTGAAAATTGTGAAAGAAAATATTAATAACTCTTTCCGAAGAAAATATTATTGAGACAATGCGGCAACCTAAGGGGCAACTCATAAAATACAAGATGCTTTGGGGGGTTGAGGAGAGTGTTATGTCATTTTGTTTTCACTTGTTACGGAATCAAGACCAAAGGCATAAAAGCGTTACGAGAAGGGAGGGACGTTGGAAAATCTTAAATTTAGCATTAAGTATTTTAGGAACAACCCCTTCCCCTGTAAGTACAACTTTTTTTCTTAAGTTGGCAGTATAAGAATGATGCTCTGAATGAAAGTGGCAACTTAACTATTCAACTTGATGAGGCAAATGGTATGTAAGATGCAAAAAATATGATCCTCAAAATAAAGAGAAGTCACAAGTTTTACAGGAGGTCTTAATAATAATAAAATAAAATACAAAGAGTAAAATGTTTCACCTTCTTTTCTATTTTTAGGCCTGTGCTTTCTATTGTTATGATGAATGGAGCTTTACAGCTTGAGTACAACATTCTTTCCTTGATTGAACAGGAATATCCTGGCATAGAATAAATAAATACTGCAACAGAAAACAAACGAACCATCAAAGAAAACCGACCACCTACTGATACATAATACTATCAAAGCATACTAATAATTTTTACTGCATTCAGTGAATGAAATCTTTCAAGAGGCTGCTTGAATAAAAACTGCTGACTTATTGGTGAAAATGAAGGCAGAAATCATTATTTAAGATGCACAAAACAGGTGAAAATGAAGAGTAATTACTGAGAAATTATAAAAATATAAAGGGGTCAATGCCATGGGTACAAATGCTGATAGGTATTTCATGTTTAAATATTATAAATACTTTAAGAGCTGAAAATAAAAATATACTTGGTTTTAAAATCGGACAGTGTTAAAAGATGTATGACAAAATACTTGGACGTTTCAAAAAGCACAGGTTTAAAAGAGAAATGCTGCTCCACGATGTCATATGTCCACGATGTTTTGAAAAAAGAGTGATAAGCTCCTGAATTATAACCCATGTTAGGATTCAGACGTCATAAAGTCAATTTTAGTAGGAGTGAACTTTTCCGTTTGTGAGCTTTCCTTGCCTATGTAAAGGGTTTTGGCATTTTCTTCTTTCTCCGCATAATGCTATGCCAGATAATAACCGGCACTGAAAAATCGCACAACACAAAATGAGACCTCCTCCCTTCCAAAATTACAGAAATTACCTTCAATTTACTGAACAGATTAAGGAGGGACAGTTTCAGTGCTTACTACAGTTGATGAACTAGTGACAGGATTGCAGTTTTTTAAGAATTTTCTTTGAAAAACTAATTACAAAAAATCGCTGGAGAGAAACATTTTGAAAATCAGCTAAAATCACTCAAAATTATAGATTGGCACTTTTGCTTAGTACCCTCACTCCAGCAATGCTGGTAAAAACCTTCCTAACGCACTCCTGGAATATTACATGATTTAAAGACAGCTCTCATGATCCTAAAAAATCCTCTTAATATTTTTTGCGACAAGTTACCGCCACAATGTGCACGTGCACATTATGAGGCAACCTCACACCCTTTAAACTACAATGGCGAATAAAACTTACAGGATTGCCGAGATAAATCACCATTATGAACTTACCAATTGATTCCATGTAGTCTCCTTCATGCGTGTGCTTGAAGTTGTATAAGTGATAACGGGCAGTATCGTCAGGAACTTGATGAGGAAGTTGGCTAAGTTCGATAGTTTTACATGTGACTAAGTGAATTTCTTCCTTGGCAATATCTGAAAAATCAAATCAGACAAAATTTAGCACCACTTTTCAGACCAGAATTTGTATTCTTTAAAAATCCTGACACTTTTATTGATCCAATCATTCTGAGAAATTTTCTTAAAGGTGGAAATCAAGCAATCTTTTAAAATTTTCACTGCGTCAAGCAAGATTCCCTTCAAAAATTAAGAATGATGGAAAATCTTGAAACATTGCTAGTTGAGACACTCGTTTCCCTGGTTTCACTGTTATTGTTTTATTGTTTATAAGATTCGCCCGTATGAGGGCTTGGCCTTAGTGCCTAGCACAAACAGCCACTGACAAGTTGGATGCTGAAGATCTAGAGTGATTTAGGTGTTTTCTGTATAAGAACAAGTATACATACAAAAAATTAAAACAAATTGGGCAGTGCCTAGTTCTCCTGTTTAAAAAAAAGGAGAAAAGAATGCAAAAAAAAAGAAAAAAAAAAGAAAAAAAAAAAAAAAACAGCATGGCACTATCTGAAGGTCTCATTTTATACATTTCTTCCATCCTGCACTTTCAACAGGAATACCAAAAATCTGTATTAGTTGAAATTTGCTGTTAATATTTTTTACACAATCAACGTAATTCTCAAAATGTTAGAAGAGATAATGATTGACGGAAACAACGTTTTTCATTCCAAAAATAAATTAACGAAACAAAAACAATAAGAGACAATGTAAAAAACAATGTAAATAATTCTATGCTGATAAGAAATGTCTAATTATAAAACTCAGACTGAGGGCGAGAGAATCGTTTTAAGAAGAAAAAAAGAGGTGGATTTTTGCTTACGTGGCATCTTATCAATTTCTGGTCTTCAGAGGAGGCTGTTTTCTCACATTTTTGGGCTTGTCTCGTTTTCATGCTCAAATTTAAGGAAAGTAGCTACTAAACGTTTATTGGCCTTCCATCAATTTTTAGATTTCTGCAACTTGTGGGCGCCAATTGAAAGACATAAACTTAAGTTTTGTATGACTTTGAGAAGGCTGGCGCGAGTTAGATAACTCTATGCATAATAATAAAATGACTTAGACGGTCAAAAATTAAAGATAAACTTTGATTCTTTTTAGCTTGTAGGCATACTAAATTGTTTCTCTGTCCCCATTATGAATAGGAGGGTTAGGATTTTCGGATGGTATTGAAACTAATCAAACGAAAATCCCATTATCTATGATGAGATTTGCAATTTTTAGAGCTTAATGTCTCATTCCTGTTATTAGATATCGACAATGGAACTGCAGGAGCGCGTATCTCCTTTATAATAGTTCAAAGTTCAGCCTCTTACAATTTTATCATAGAAAAACACCCAGCCTTTCTGCTTAAAATTTTACGGAAAATGTTTCATTAAAAGAAGCAAAATCAGGAAAGTTTTCAAGAAATGACGTTGAGTATTGTTCTACTTCAAGACAAGAAGTATGCGACGTTGCAAACAAAAATTCGCTTTCCTGCAGGTTTAACTTCGCACTGTTTGCCAATTTTTAACAAATACAGGTCCTGTAATTGGACTTCAAAAAAGAAAATTATTTTCCTTTTTTGGGGGGAAATGTAAGTTACGATTCTTGAGCCTTAAGTTAGAGGTAGATTCTGAGCGAGGCATTAGAATTTTAAACAGCTTTTTTTCAAAGTAAATTTTGTTTAACAGCAAAATTCAGACTGTCATAACCCCAGTTTGATTTGACACTTTGGGAATTTTTTTTGGGGACACCCGGTATCAGGAACTCAATTATGAGTGCAAGTACACATAAGCCATGAATGGACCGCAAAACAGGGTAAGAATCCAACTCCTAAAAGCTACATTTCCACATCAAAATTTCACACAGAACAGGTAAACTTATTGAAAAATTTAAAACTTAACTCACGGATAAGTGAAAAATTAGCGTTTTTGGTTTACATTTTAAACAGTAAAATTCAACCTTCCTGCTTTCAAAAAAACCATGATCAAAGTGGGTCTACAATCAGCCATTGGAAACAACCAATACTGTGGGCAGCTAACTAGCTCTAGTTTTTAGACTGTTTCCTTCCTACTTTGATACAAAGTGTCTCCAATAAAGGGAAAAAAAAAGAAGAAAAAAAAACAACCCATCAAAATATATTTTGGAATTAGTTTAGTGCTGTATTTGACTTGAGTAAATATTGGTGTTTTAATGAGCAGGGGGTGTGGATAGACGTTTACAAAAGCGCAATTTTCTCAATTCTGAGCTGCATTTTGAATGTTATATGATATTGCAAGTATCGTGTTCTAGGTAATATTTCAATAAGGACATAGATAATGTATTGATTGATTTTCCACCCTGTCTACTGATTCACACAATTAAGCTTTCTCCGGGCTACATTTGTTTAACAGAGAGAGTGTGACCCTTTCCAGCTTAAATGGGTTACTAAACCATGAACGAATTTTAACTTGCGATTACGTTTCCTATTGACAGATGACGCGTAAAACACGATGCGCACATTAAAAACGGAAAAAGGTAACTCAGAAATCAAGAAAGATGCAGTGCAAAAAGCGCAACTTTTTCGCAAATTAAAGACGCCCCAGTTTCATGCCTAACCGAATAGTTTCATCCGGCACCAATCAGAAGCAAAAGCGAGTTTCTTTGACTTCCATTAAATGTCTTTCTACTCCTCGTACAAGTATGTACATTGAATAGGTAAGTCGAAACTATATTTTGAGAATCAAAGAATCGAATCTCATTCATTTTATCTATCATATATATAAATTCTATGTGAAAAGAAAAGAAATTAGGTAAATTTTCGAAAAAAAAAAAAGAAAGAAAGAAAATCTTGAAGCAGACAGTTATTCAGGTAGTTTAGATTGAGAGATGATTTTTTAGTGTCACCAATGAGATCCTGGTTAATTAGGATATTTGTAGGAAACTTTCAAGAGACTTTAAAAGTTTTGTTTTGATTTTTTTTTTTCTTTTTTAAACAGGGTTGCCACAGACTTTAAAAAATGAAATACCCTGACAATTGAGGATGTAGCGGATGGTTAAGAAGGCATAATTGAAAATAGTTTCCAGGCAAAAATCTCAAACCCATTCTAGAAAGCAAATGAAGGTGATATAACAAATTTTCCCTGACATTTTCGTCATTTTCCTTGCTTTTAAAATTCCCTGATATCTCCCGGTTTTCCCCGACTGTGGCAACCCTCTTTTAAATTACTTATGTGGTTTAAAATGTTTGAATTAGAATTCCTGCTTCTTAAAGTGAAGAGATTCTGTTAGAAACCTAATGAATCCCTAGAGATCCAACCCAAGAGGAAAGAAAGTAGGCAGCAGGAAACTAACGCTGCTTGGACCATACATACCAAATAAAATGAAATGAGTTTTAGTTTCTTTTTATGACTGTCAAAGAACAAATCTTAGTTTTTGATTTTTGAATGAGAAGTAATCTGCACCTGCGAAGTGAAAATAATCAAGCTACCAAGCGAGATAAAAAGTTTACTGCGCTATGCCATAAAGAAAGTCCCATCATAGATGTAAAAAAGATATAGCAAACACATGCACAGAGGAAGGGATGACCTCACATTTTGAAAACATGGCTCATTCTGAAGGTCGAACGATCTTTATTTTACTGAAAAGAGTTTATCGTTACCAAAAAAATGAGGGAAAAAATAAATACTAAAAAAAAGATACATTGGGATGTTTCATTTTCTATTATTTAAGTATATATCCTTAGAGGGATACTAATGCACTTACTAATGTATTAACTTAATCACAGAGAGAAATAGAATATAATAATTTAAATAGAAATTAAGAATATGATAGTACAGAAGAATTTGATATTGATAGAATTTATATAAGAAATTGATTCTGAAAAAATAGTTGAGCAATTGTTCACAATTCACTTTCAAACAGAGAAAGTAAAAACTTCAGCAAAAGGGAAATTTCATAAAATTAGAATGTAGGCTTATCCGTTCCTGTAGGAATCAAAAATTTAATTGATATCTTGTTAAAACAGATTAATTGGGGAGATTACTCTTTCGCAATAAAAATTATCTAAAAAAATAAGATTCACAAACAAAGGAGTTAGATGATTTTATAAAAAGGAGTACACAATTCTTTACTTATTCAAAATATCAGAATTGTGATAATGATTAAAAATGGTTTAGGATTAAAAACCCTGATGATTAAAAGCAACTTGAGATTAAAAATAATTTGGGATGGTTATTACAAGGGAACTCAGGGTATAAAAGGAAAATTTTTGAGGAACAGAACGTGACAGGTGATGATAATAAAAATTTATACTTCCAGGAAAAAGAATTCAACTTCTCCATAAAAGTGCAAAGACGCATTGTGTTGTTCCATGATTAACGTCTGAGGTTAGTTTCTCAGACGGGAAACCAAAGTATTGATTCATTTCAAATTTGCATTAATTTTTTTTATAATAAATGAGTCCTTATCTCCTTAAATTACCTATTTTCTTTAAATATACTTGAGCAATGCATTACAATTTACTCTGAAAAAAAATTGCAGTAAAAGGAAATTTATCTAACATTAGTATGTAGATACACTCTTTCCTGCAGAAGCAGAAAAATTGGTTCGTTTTACTTGGCGTAACAAATTGATCAAGAAAACCGTTTTTTCCTTCAAGAAAATTTGCTTCCGTTTAGTTCACAAATGCAGAGTTCACTTAGCAGGAAAAAATGAAAAAAAATGTTTGCTTCAATATGATTTCGCTAAAAATGATGTAAGATTACAATAATTGATCATTTGAAAAAATTAGGATTGAAATTGTTAATGATTAAAATGATGTACGGCTAAAATTATTAAGTAATAATTCTGACTGAATGGAGACAGAAGGGATTCAAGACTTAAAAAATTTAGTGGAAAAATTAATCTTCAACATCCTTTGGAACAAAATCGAAAGACAGCTCTTCAAATTCAGAGGCTAAAACTTTTAAAGTTTCAATAAAATGCACATCAACAGGGTTCTCTTTGCTTGCCAAGGAAGGGGCATGGTCTGATTGCAAGAAAACTATCAACGATTCAGGATTAAATAATTCCTTTTGTGACTTCCTAATCGCCAGCTTTTTCATTTTTGAAGCACCTTCACACAGGTAGGACAAAACGAGCTTGTCACTGACGCTGTAACTGGACTTTAAAAAATGCCACAACTGTAACAACAATATAAACACAAAACCTGTCTCACATAGACAAAGAAGTTGATTTGGAGGAAGCGGAAGGATTTCTTCACTTTTGTTTTTCTTGTTGACTACATTCGCTTTTCCTCGCCTTCTTTTTTTATACTCGGCTAAAACTTCTTTGATCTTTTCAAAATAAGGAACCGCGTCGTTGGATAAAATTGAACTTATTTTTGACAGCACGAATAAAACATCAGGAATTTCTTTGTAAGGAAAATGTGCTAAATTGTCAGCAATGTATAACAGTAATTTCAGATTGAGTTCATCATGATTTGTGAATTGGCTGACCAAGTTAGAGACAAAAACACTTGTGTCTTTGGATAGTACTTCAAATAGTTTGGAGAATCTTGCGGTGGGCTGTTCGGGGGCAAAGCCACGGACTACCTTATCTGTAGAGGTTATTTCCAACAATTTATGCGATTGTAAAACTCCTTTTGAGTAAAATGGTCGGAGGAGACTAAGGCCACAGCTTTGAATATTGACCACCATATCCAAGGCTTTTCTTGAAATTGAGGGTTCAGGATCTGCTATCATGCAGATTGAGTAGGACATGAAATTGGCTGGATGAATCAGTTTAAAATCAACAATGACTTTCAGAGTCTTGACAGCTGTGTATCTCAAATGAAGGTCCTTGACCAGGAAACAGCTGAGAATACTCGGTAAATAACGATTTGCAATGACACTTGACGTTCCAGCAGATACATCCTTCATCTCTTTCAAGTTTTCTTCCTTTGAAATTTTCAACCAATTATCGTTCAAACTTTTAGCCCTACGGTTGTCTTCCTGGAAGTGCAAACTTAATGCTAATAGTACGCGAACCTTCATTTGATTCGAGAGATTTGGTGATTCTAAAAATGAACAAAAATGTTTGACGACTTCTTCCTTCAGAAGTAAATTTTGATAGCGGCCGCTAATTAATGCAATTGATTTTATTACAATGGCTCGAACATTAGAATTTTCAACTGTTAGAAGGCAAATGAAGATATTTACAATTTTTTTCATATTTGCTGGGGTGCATTCCTTGTCTAATATCTTTGGAAGATCAAAATATCTAATCAAAGCACTGAGCTTAATGAGAATTCTATTGAAGCGGAGTGCTTCACTTTCACAAAGCTTGTCAATCTTATCGCAAGAGTCTATACATAGATTCGTCAGGAGATTCTGGCAGTATGAAAAAATTTTTTGGGCTGAAGAAAAATCATTGTTGATTTTTGAAATCAAAGAAAGACAGGAGATGCTGTTCAGCACATTTTTGCACTTTCCACTGTTAATTAAAATTACAAACTGCTTAATTAGAAATGATTTTTTTTCGACATTTTTGAAGAATGATACACGGTAGAGCATCAAGTGTTCAAAAATTGACAAGACATAATGCAGTATATCAGGTCTCTCATCCATTGTAAGTTTGGAACACAGATGTGGATACAGTGTAGGCGTCAGATCCGCAGCCATTTCTGATTTTGCAGATACAAAGATAAGCAGCATCTGGTAACAATTGACTGACATGTCAACATTTGATGCACTATCCTTTAGAATTTGATTTAAAATGCATTTGGTAATTCTCTTTGCAGCTTTGCAGCTTGCATCTTTGGTTTCACAGTCTGAAGTGTTGAGTAATGATTTAAAAATCTCAGGAAATTTATGTGTGGTATCTGCCTGTCTAGACAGCTGCAACGTAGATAGAATATCTAATACTGTAGGGAGGGTAGAACTTTCATTCTTCTTGTTCAGTGGAACGATCCATTTCTGCTTGAAAAAATCTATGATGGCTTTCACTATTGTGGGATCATCATCAAGTCGTTTAAGGATCGTGACGAGTAAATTTGACAGTCCAGGATACTGAGGATCCTCAAAAAATAATTTGAAAATGATTGATAGAGTTGCTTTTCGTACAGTCAAACGAACATCTTGGACACGCTCTAAAATGCATGGAAAATATTTCTCGAAAATTTGCTTGTTTATGAAAATTTGTTTGCCTAAGAATTGAACAGCCTTTTCTCGCAGCGAACAGGATGGGTCTGTCAGAGATCTTTTCATGGATATTTCAATGTAACTATAAAACAATAGGTTCGGATCCGCTTCCACAACGGAAAACATACATTTAATCGCTTTGAGTTGCATCTGTGGATTTGCAGATACCACACGATTGATGACGAGTTTTAGCAATTTGTCTGAATAGGTAACAAGTGGGTTTGAAGAATTCAAGTAACGAGCGATTGTTTTGAAGATTTGCTCATCTTTTGGATTTGATAAAATTGGTTTTGAAACAATGCAAGAGGATTTATTTTCTGGCAGGTGGTTAGTGATTGCATAGACAAACGACAGCGATTCATCAAGTAGCCCTTCAATACTCTTAAGTTTTGAGATTTTACCTTTCAATTTATCTATGTTTGCGATAATTTCTTCAATTAAAATCATACAATAAAATTCAGTAAGGCCTTCAAGGGAGGACACATTTTTGGAACCAGCTAATGATTGAACAACTAACTTCAAGCAACATACAGAATTACTATACACCATGCTCGTTAAGTCAGCGCTCGCGTTGGATTGCGAATCTTGAGTAAAAATTTGCGATAACTTGTTTTGAATAGAGGCTCTCATCACAAAGTCTTCCCTAAATACGGGCAATAATAGTGCCAAGTAGTCAAAACATACATTCTGAATGTTCTTGTTACTAGTATTGGTAAGATGAAAAGCAATTAGCTTGTGTAAAAAGCGGAATATTGAGTTGCTTGCAGGCCATTCTGGCTCGTATCGGATTTTGAACAGATCCAAGATTAAGTTCTCCAGAACGGTTCTGAAGTTGGAGTTTGACACAGAATTGCAAATCATTTTGTTGAAAAATTCATGCCATAGTTTCTGAGCTTCATTTAATTTTATAGAAAAGCATTTCTTGATTAGTTTGGGACTTGCGGTGTGTCTGAGGAAACTTGCAGTGGCATTGACGAAGGATAATAGAGCTGCAGTTATGAACTGAACTTGACTGTCACTGTGGCTAACTTTAAAAGTGCGTTGAGTGAAATTCACATCTCGATTCAGCAGTGCAATAGTTGAAATGATCTGGTCCAGTATTAACGGCCGTTTTCCTTCATAGGTAGCGTAAAAAGAGGTCATTAATTTTAGACTCGAGTGCTGAAAATTTAATAGGTTGGGGGTAAATAATGCTGAGATACAAACGGATGCTAATTTCACAAAAGCATCATCAGACCCAGAGAATAGTTCAGGAACTTTGCTAGATGCGGACACAATTTCCTCGAATTTGTTGAGGAGCCTCTTGAAGCTATGATTGCCAAAAACTTTGTCGAAGTTAGCTTCAGATAATGTCTCATCTGCTTTGCCAGCATTTTGAAGCACAGGGAGGAGGGAGTTGAAAAAGTTGATAAACAAAAAAAGAGCCATTTGGGAGATGGTTAAGTCGTCATTCCTCAAATCTTGCGAATAGCTGCTCACAATAGTGAAGACAGACTCTGCAGAAAGCATGATTACGCGGTAAATATTTTTGGACACAAACTTCCGCTTTTCATCAACCAGAGATTCGTCTGTGTTGATGAATGCGCCTAGGCATTTCAATAGCTCTTCATGAGTCTCTGTAGACACGGACAAGTTTTTCCCTTTCAAAGTTAACAAGTCTTTCTGAATGGACTCCAAAGTAAGCAATGTCTGCTTGAAATCACAATCTTTGATGTTTGGTAATTGCTGGATGCTTTTATTGAGTTTTGAAATACTTGCTTGGATGCTAGTGGCGTGTTTTTTATGAATTTTCGAATTCACTACTTTTTCATTTGAGTTTTCCGCTTGCAATTCACTATCCGTGTGCTCGTTTTTGCGCTTCTTCAAGCTTGGAGCTGAGCTTGAGCTGGGTAGTCTACGTTTGGTATTTTCCAAGACCCGTTTTTTGGCTGTTGGAAGAACTTCAGGACTACAGCTTACTTCAGAGTATGATGAACTCTGATCCTGACTGACTGTAGATGGTGAACTAGAGCAACAGTCTGACGGTAGATCTATGTTGCCATCAACACACAAATCGATGGCACTAGAATTATAAATTGGAGGATTAAGTGAGGTGATACAGAGAGGTTTCACATGAGTAAGGAACTCTTGATCTGGAGATAGAATTTGCTTATTTTGATTGGTGCAATGCAATTTGCGACTGGGGTATTGAAGGGAAGTTTTTTTAGTGGGAATGAATTGACGTGAGAAGTCTACGGAGCATTTAATGTGTTTTGAAACTGGCACAGTCATTTTGAATTTTACTTCGCCAGTGTCATGATCACTTTCTATAAGAGTTTTCATGGTTGGGGCTGAGTTAAAATCGCTGTCTATGTCTGCGGAATCATCGACCCTCGAGACAGTATTAAGACCACTAGAGGGACGAATCAGCGGATTGAAAGAGGTGATGCAAAGAGGTTTCATATGGACTAGATCTTCTTCATCAAAAGAGATAATTTGTTTACTTTTCTCAAAGTGATGTAACTCTTGATTGGGGCCTTGGGACGAAGGAGTTTCTTCAATAGGAATGAGATCATATGAGAAACTTGCAGAACGCTGATTGCGCCTTGGTACGGTCACATTGAACTGAATTTTACCAGTATTGAAGTCACTTTCTATGACAGTCTCCAAAGCAGGGATTGGGTGAGAGAAAGCTTTTGAGTGCAAGGGGGACTCATCTATAAACACCAAACATGCGAGCAAAGTTAATGATGTACTTATGCAGTAGGAAGACAGGTACACCTCATAAAAATAAAAAAAAAAGTTGATAGCATGCATTATGATTCATCAAAGCCAGAGCAGTTGAACTACTTCAGTTTGCTGTTTTCACCTCCTAATTTATTCCTTTGTCAGTTCAAATATTAACAACAATAGCTACTTCAATCATTGGCTATCGTCAGGTCAAACAAATATAAAACAATTAAATTACCAAGGAAAACAAATTTTAAAAAAAAAGCTGAACAGAAGGGATAACGTGAAATGATAAAATTAAATAATGGTGTAAACGTTAGATTTTGGACTAGGTGAGGAGGCGTCACCCATGAAATGTTAACATGTTCTTTCAACCTTTGTCAATTTAGAATTTTCTAAGTTTTCCTTTGATTTTTGTTGGATTTGACAATGGCTTTTACAATGTAAAGTAACTATTATTGCCTCAGAAATACTCTGATGAACTAAGGACTCCAGGAGTAAAAATTATAAAACTTGAGTCAGTTCACCAGCTGTGCTACATGCTACCCAATCAAGAAAATTGTCACAGCCTTGAAGAGATGAACCATTTACTTTCTATTTTACACCCAGGGATGCAAATTGTTCTAGGCCTCCGCAATTTTCTGCAAAAAAGGGTTTCTGCAAAGAGGTCAACACAACGTACTGATCAAAATCTTCCTAAATTTTTGGATAATTTTGGGATAAGTGCCTGAGTTGCATTATTTCACATGAGTTGAAAGTCTGAGAACCACCAAAAAAAAAAAATATCATCCTCCACCATTTTTAGGGCACTTCACTTTGGTAAACTGCATGGTCATGCGGTCAAGAACAATTTGCGCCCTGTTTTCACCTCTCAAAAATTACGGTAGCGATTGAATGGGGCTGATAAGCTTGAGGTTTTGCGGGTGGTTGACGAAAGGTCACAGAATCAGGTCTTGGTTTGCTAAATTCAAATTTTCATTGAGTCATAATGATGAAAATGGAAATTTTCATTTATCCATTATAAGAGCAACACCTAATCTTGCAACCCAGTTTTCAATCACCTTTGAAAATTTTAGGGACCACTTGGTAGGGCTTCACAACCCCTACCAAATGTCTGATGTCTCAGCACACTAAGGTAGGTACCAATGAATTACGATGAAAAATGTTCGGTTACTGCTTTGACAATATAATTGAAAACCGATTAAAGCAATAATTATACTGAACCAGGTCCAATCTATAACTATACTTTTCAAGTCATTAATGGGAATTTGTTGATGCCTATTGACTAACTGAATACATTTGTTGCAAAGGGCATTTAAATCCAATGGAACATTTCAAAATTGCTTTAGACATTACTTCATACTTATGAAACACCGGTAAATTTCCTTAACACGTTGACTGCCACGCCGGTCGTATCGACCGGCCTCGAAGGGTTCTGCCGGGGCCACGCCGGTCGTTTCGACCGGGACCCGCTCGCTCGCATTACTAGGCTACTGTGAGGCCAGCGACCGGCGGAGCCGTGTATACGCTTATGGCTCACGACCGGCATGGCCCCAGCAAGAGAATGCACCACTGAATTTTTTTTTTTTTGTTTTTTGTTTTTTTGGGGGGGGATTTTTATTTTTTTCATTTTCATGGATCTTTTTCTTCATCATCTTTATTTATTAATACAATAAAATTACAATAGTGTTGTTTTCTTTGCTTAATTTTAGTTACAAACCTTAGAAATTGTACGCATTTTGAAAAATAAATTAAAAAAGGGGAATAAAAATTGGGAGGGGGGGGATTTTTTCTCTTTCAACTTTAATTTTCTTTTTCGCCATTTTTTTTGTTTTAATAAATTAGAATATAATTACAATCGTTGGTTTTTTACCTCAATATTAATTTTAGACCTTTAAATTTTGGCTTAACTTTAAAAATAAATTTTAAAAAAAGGAGGAACAATTTTTTAGGAAGGGGGGGAGGTAGGGGTAAAAAGGTAAAATACAGGGTGTTCGAAAAGTCCCCTCCCCTCCTCCTAACTTTTGACCTAATTGAGGTAGAGATTTGAAACTTGGAGGGTGTTCCTAGATCAAAGGGAGCTACTTTTTGAACCCCCCCCCCCAAAATTTTGGGGGGCCCCCCTTGGGGGGGGGGGGTTACGGACCCTAACTTTTTTTTTCAAATGGGAAGACCCCCTTTGTGATACCTCGTTCGAAAGAACATAAAAAAAGAAATTTTTTCGCGCAAATCCGAAGTCATTATCTCAAACCGTTTCAAAATGGCGGCCGGTCAAAGTTTAAAATGGCGGCCGGTCAAAGTTCAAAATGGCCGAAAATTTGACAAACTCGATTTTTTGCCAATGGATTCACCTGAAATTCGGTATCTTGGGGGTATTTTGGCACGAGAAAAACGAATTTGACGTTAGATTTTTAAAAAAACCCTAATTTTTCAAAATGGCCGCCGATTAAAGTTCAAAATGGTCAACAATTGGCAACCTCGACTTTTTGCCGATGGATTCGCCTGAAACTCGGTGTTGGGGGGTATCTGGGTTTGTCTCCTACCCAGTTTTACCTTTCCTTACCATTAATTCCATGCCGTTCAAGGTTGTAGGTTGACTGCGCGCGAGTTACGCAACGTTGCTGATTCTCAAGGAACATACGACCGGCCGGACGACCGGCGTGGCCTCCGGTGCATTATTTTTCACCGGAGGCCATACCGGTCGTAACGACCGGCGGCTTCAGGCTGAAAGCTGAAAGAATATTACGAAGGTCTATGAAGTTTAGGTTTGATATAGTCAATTCTAAAAAAAATACCAAAAAGAAAAGGCTATGGCGCCGGGGGAAATAAGTACCTAAAACACCGTGGCAGTCAACGTGTTAAAAAAACTTTGATGAATTTGATTGGTATAGAAGAAAATTCTCAATTTTCAACTGAAGCCTTTATGTAGCTGTCCATTCATGTAAGAATAAACTTTGGTAATTTAGTAATGCTACAGTGGCTTTACGTCTGAAGAGAAAACAAAAGATAAAATTTAAAGTAAGTTGCGTTTCCTACTCCAAGGCGCTGAAGCAAAAGGTTTCACATTGGTTGCCAGTTCCCACCAATTTTTAGGTCAGCAGCTGCCAAAATGTTCAGCCTTCATGGACAATAACATGCGGTTTTTCTTCACAGTGAAGTAACTTGAAAATTAAGTCAAATTTGTTCAGTCCCCGATCACCCCTCTTCCAAATTTTGTCTGGACGATTCTGGCAGTATCCGTGCAGATAAGCAGACATGTGTTTGGTTCAGTTGGACGGCTCGACCTCGGTCCCCAATCACTCCTATTCCAAATTTAATCTCCTGATTACAGAACTATCTTTTCTACAGCCAAAGAAACACGTGATAGCTAAACGCTCCAGACAACCACCTAGACAAAGCCCTGCTTGTAGAAGGTAGAGCAAAATACGCAGAAATCATACGAGCGTTAACCTGTCATATCTTTGCAAAGATGATCCAATTGATCCACTTATTCTCACAGTCACCAAGAAAGAAAAAAAATAAAAAAATAAATAAATCAAATTAATGCCCAGAGAACTTCAAAAATTGACTCTCAGAAATGTCCTCCAGAGAATGATGTGTGGCTCCCACTTTTCCTTCATCATACAAGAGAGATTTTTTTTTTGAGATTCCTTAAAATAGTGGACAGTGGCAGGGAAGTTTCAAAAAAGCATTGTCCATTATTTTGAGGAATTTTGAAGAATAATTGCTCATGTAAAATGAAAAATAGGTGGATTTAATAGCCATCATCCTCTCCAAAATTATTTTGGGAAGCCAATTTTGAAGTTTCTTCTACACAAGGTCTTTTTTGTTTTGAATTATTTCACAGCGAAAGAAATCACCCAGTGGTTTCCCGTACAAGCTGAGAATTTTTTGCACCAGCTGACCTAGAAATTGGCAGGATCATCAGCTACTTAGAGATAATGCGCCAAGTCACCCAGACAGTAGGAGTGCTCTATGGCCTGTAATTTAAAATATGGCTTTTGTTTTCTCTTTGTGTATACCCTTATGCAAAAATTCAATTCAATTGATACCTACCTCAGGTGAAAATTTGCAACAGTCAATCCACCTTGTCAACCAAGTAAGCAGCCACCAAGAAAGTATCACAGTCCGGCCACCTATTTACAGCCGAATTAAAACCCAAAACACACCAATATGCAAGCTATAGAAAGGACCTATGCAAGCTGCGGGTCAAAGCATTCAAAGAATTACTATCCTCACCTATAAAACTAAAATGGACTTACCTATACTAAATTGTGCGTAGTTTATTTCTTTCCGTCCCAAACGTTCGATGGCAGAGAGTGCATCGGGAAGAAGGGGAAATGCAACACCCGAAAGAGTTTGAGATCGGCTGTCGACACTTATTTCTGTCAGACCAGTTGTCTCACTTTTCCGTAACTCGGCTAACTCTTCTTCGCGTGTCGTTAGAGGTGCAGGCGATTTAATCGAAAGACGATGTCGTTCAAGACCTTTCAAGCTTACATCCTCCTGAAAAAATGAGTTAATTAACAAGAATGTGGGAACACAAAGAAATAGAAGGTAAAAAATGGTACTTAATTTTTTTGGAGCTGTTCGAAAATGACATAAATTTTAGATCATTAAAACAAAGAGTGGATGGTTCAAATAAGCTTTGTTAGAAACGTTTTTTCAACATAATGACCCCTCTACTCAATGCAGAAATTTTGTCTCAAGCAGTAACTACTACCCAAGACAAAATTTGAAATCAAAGATTTGCAAAAATTGGCTCTGAACCATTTAAAATTCTGTCTCCATCAAATCCGTGTCTGTCTAATACTATGAAATGTGATCCTGAGTTTATTGCCTTATTATTTGCCCAGGTGGGCATAATCCAACATACTAGGAGAAAGGACCCCGCACACTTCTTATGAGGATGTGCACCACAATCATATTTGATCTTTTAATTGTTTTAAATTCGTCTATGGATGTTGATCAAAAGTGATCATTCTGCCAACTTTCTACAAGCTACTGTTTTTGCACAATCTGCGATTGCAGGTTCGGTAATTTCAAAGAAAGGCTGTTTAAAATCAAAACGTAGTGCTTGTCAACCTGGTGAGAACAATAAAGAGGAAGAGAGAAAGAAACTGTTTTGGACAGTGGAAAGAAAAGGCATGTGGAATGAAATGAAAGGAACGGGAAATAAATCATTGATCACGAACTCTGCATCGTGATACCACAACATAAACTCAAATAGCGGAGTGTTCTAGGCATAAGTAAGAACCGAGAAAAGATACACCGTGGTAAATGTATCATTTGACGTTATAAAATCTGTTGATGAAAAGGTTTTTCATTTGTCGTAAGGTTGCATTTGTGGTGACTTTAAAGTAGTTTGCTCCCCTGAAAATTGACTCATAAACAGTGAAGAAAAGTGTGCAGCTGAATATTCTATGTACTTTCTAAAATTGAATTGATTTAAAAAAAAAAAAAAAAAAAAAAAAAAAAAAAAAGAGCACCAGCTCTATTAGAAGATTAGATTCTATAGAGAAAAGAATAATTTCTCGAAAACTATGAAAAAGAATGAACAAGTATTATTCTACACGTCTTGTCATTTTTATTTCTAGACTTTAGGAGTTTCTTTCTTTCCTTCACGGTTGGTGGCATCTTCCGCTGGAACAAAATTTGTATTTCTCATTCTTATGCAAACATAAGGTCTTAGAAACAGATATTACAAACCTGTGATGTAACGTGATATTCCTCTTTGATCTGACCACTTCCAAACTCTTGCTTCAGTGTTGCTTTTGTAGAAGCAAATAACATTTTTTGACGTACAGGAGAGTCATCAGGTGACCAACTTATCAGTAACCAATCATAACCTGTGGTTTCATTCTTTGTATCTAATCTAAAAAAATAGAGACAAAAGAAAAAAATGAATCTCATAAAAAGTAAATAAGTCAAAATTATCAAACCTTATCTTAACTACTGATCTCTCTCTGACGTTAATTATCTTACCTAACCTTTTGTGCAAAGAGTCTTACAAATTCGCTTACCGGCAGCAGTATTATCGATAGACTTTGATAGAATTATAAATAGACTGTAATCTAAATCTAGGTAAAAATTGTGCCAATATTGTTTATGTACATCAGAATGGAAGATTACTAGGGCAGATGTGATCAGCATCAGTGTACCTACATTTCATGCTCCTTAATTTTCTCTCAGTTTTCCTCCCTCTGGAGTCCATGCCAAATAATTTTACGCACTTCTAGACTGTTACAGAAGATCATTTGATGTCACTTCCAAATGTAAAGTAAATGCAAGAAGCAAGATGTCAGATCATCTGACACAGTCTAGAAGTGCATTGAATATTTGACATGGGCTCTAACCAAAAACTAAACTGCTAGGCGCTTTGAAAAATGGTTGTGAATATACTGTAGATAATAGAGAGTAGATTCACAAAATTTTAATTTCAGTGTTGTTCTGTCTAATTATTAAAAACTAAAACTTCAGAGAAAATTATGCAACGTTTGATGTTGTTAGGTTGATTCTTGTTGAATTCGTCTAACTATACCACAAAAACTTAGAAAAAAGTGAGTTTTACCTGTACAAAATATATGCTGGCTGGGATGGAAATACTAGTGGAGGAACCAAATCGTCAAAATCTTCTTTCCAAGAGCCTTTGACTTTCTCATAGTGTGATAGTGTCAACTCCTCTGAAAAATCAGAAAGTACTTTTACATCCATGCATTGTAATGTAACATTAAATTAAATTACTTTTAGACTTACTTTAATTTGACGAATCAGGATCAACGAAACAAAAGTGAGTCTCACAGTGAGTACACAATGAATCACCAGACAGGATACTAACATTTATGGTTTTTTTGCGAGTAATTTGTTGACTTAATAATATTTATAAATAAAAATTAATTACCTTTACTACATCAGAGTTTAAAATAATTTATTATGCTACTTATTGCAGCACTTCACCACTTTATACAACCAAGAGCCTTGCTTCATCCTCAAATTATCTCGAAATTGATAGAAAGGAGGGTTGGTGTAGAACAGCAGCATGCACTAAAATCTTGTTTTATCTTAATGGACGATATTTTAAAATCCAAGCAAGAAAAGAGATAAAGAGAACAGCAGTTTGCCTCTTTTCTATCCATCAAACTCATGGGTTTAAGGTTCAGGCAGGTATAGTGCGAGTGAGATTCAAAATGTTGGCGCACACCATTGATTTAGAATACATTTCAAAGCAAAATGAAAAATTGATTTGATAAACAATTACTGACACAGAAGCTGATAATAATTACCATTTTCAATAGACACTTTGAAAGCTCGAACATCCAGATCTAGGTAGGAACTGAAGAATTTTTTCAGTTGCTCATTGGCTGAGGGAAAAAAAATAATTATTAGAATTGAGCTTAAAGTTAGAGGATGAATGAAAAAATGAACAGTAGAAAGAAACGAAGAGCAGAAAGAGCTTTGAGGGGGTTAAGGGGGAACTTGACTGTTGAGTGCGCTACTTTGAGGGAACCTAACTGTCAAGCGCGTTGTTTTTGGAGGAACCAAACTGTTGACCGCGCTGTTTTGAGGGAATCCAACTGTCGACCGCGTTACTTTATGTGTCGGGCAAAATTCTGTGAAAACTTAAAATTGGAGAACCTACTTAAATTTATTTTGGGGGAACCTTTCGAGGTTTCTGCCCCCCTGCTCTACATATCGTACTTAAGTAAATAAAACAAGCAGTGAGCTCCAACACAATGTGTTGATAAGGCGCGTCATTAACTCGCACATATCAACCCCTTTAGGTTTCATTTACAGAGATTTCAAAAAAGGCAAGCAGCACAACAAGAGAATTCACGATCCAACACTGCAAGGTCAACGACGCACCTTGACGAGACCGTGTATTGTGAATCTAGAAAGATATTCGAACAAATTTAAGTTTTTTGATCTGCCTCAAGCAAAATCTTATCAGATTCTTGAAGAAAAGTGCTACGGAAAAATTTAAGCGAAGAAAGGAAAAATTCTGTCGAACTCCTAGAAGATAAAGTCGACTTAAAGGTATTTTGGGGCTAAAATACCCAAATCACCGGTATTATAAATCCCGTTATATTATTGAAAAGAATTTGACTCGATATAAATGCAATTGTATTAAATATGTCTTGATTTTGTTATTTTAAACGCCTTTTCATGCAAAGAAGCTCAACCATGTCCATGCTTTATTCATTCATGAATTGAATGTAAGCAATCCACATCCCGAAAATCTACCGATTTGCCGTAAAAATCGCAGAAACTTGATATACCAGGTCGATGTACCCACTCTTTGAATTTACCAATCAATTTAGTGAGTGCACGTATGTGAAAGTCAAAATGCTATAGTCATTTTGGGTGCATTCATTTTTCATGAAACAATTGTTCGTAATTTTAATCCCGAAAAACCATAAATTTTCCGTATAAAATCGAAAAAATCAAAATATGTCGACTCCCTGACGTGAAAATTAAATTCTACGTGTGAAAATACTTATGTATCGATATGCTGAACAGAATGCTCGCATCTCCTCGTAATTTACAAACCGTTCCTATACTCATCTCAACATTTTTCTCAGAGCTTTGTGTTGTAATCAGCTTCCATTTAAACTCCGGTTTGATGGCCGAATCAGCTGCCCAAAAAGCAAGCCATTTTTGAAGGGCTTTTTGAAGGGCTATTTTTCTTATTAAAAACTAAGAAAAATATATAATTACGTAGTAATTATAAATAAATACCAAAACAATTATCAATAGATGTCAAAGACTGACTGAAAACTTTTATTAACCTCTGATGTGAAAATATACATTTTATCAGCTGACACTGACAATGTTGTCAGATGAACAGCACTATCAGAGCACGGATACCAACTTTTGAAAAGTATAATCGAGGTTACAGATCTGTCAAAGCAACGTTTTGAACAAAACGGAGGAGTTAAATTCTCATTCCGAGAGTGCCGACCTGCTCAACCATCCTCGAATCAGTTCGCTTGATTCTGCTTATATATGCATATTTTAAATCAGCGCGTCGCATTCTTAGGCTTTTTTTAAAAAAACCAAGTAACGTAGACTCTTGGTATTCACTGCACATAAACTAGAGACCCCCAGAATGAGAAACAACTTTAAATCATAATTATTGACGGATAAATAAACTTTTTACACGCTTTGGAAAATCTGAGAAGTTCGCGGTAGTCACTTTTCGGTAAGGAACTAAGGGACTCGGTTATTGTATCGAGCAGGGTTCGAAACGATCGCAAAGGCGGTATACTACGTATACGCGCCAAAATGTTATGAAGGGGAAAAGAAAAATAATAAGCAGTGGAAAATAATATAGTACACTGTTCCGAAGATTACGTACACTGTATCTCGTTAAAGCCATGGAGGAATTTCTAAGGTCTATGATTTGGAAAATTGAGGTCATTGAGAAAAACTACTTGGGAAGTTTCCTTCAGTGGCTTGGTGGGGGACTACCTCTGGACCCCCTGCCAGGAGAAATTTAGCAGTTGTTTGATACTAATGCACATGTTACAACAAGCTGCAATAATTAGGTGAGAATAAACTAAGTGAATACATAAACCTCAATAATGCAAGCATGCTCAACAGCTCTGATAAATGGAGCAACACTCCAGAACGGAGAGAATGTCAGTCATGTATGAGAAAACCATGGCGAATCTTGCCATATTTCTGCCTGACAGCTAGATCTTTTGTCAATTCATAAAGTATTTGATTGGGTCAATACGCTGTCATCTTTCAGTTGAAAATTGCAACAAGCAAAATTAAGTTGATCGGTAGATCTGAGACTGAAAATTTGGCAGAGTATGACTCAGCGTTCAGAGTAGACATTGACTGTGTCATCGAATTGGCATAGTAACATGAATAGACCTGAGTGCCGGTAAGATGAGGCCTGACTATCAGTTGTAATAACCATAGATCAACGGCTGAAATGAGCAAATGAATGGTAAAATGATGCGCTCAGCCAATGGCTCGGCACCATCAGGAATCAGGACAAGAGGTTGATCTAGAAATAATAAGCTGTGAAATACCTGTAATGCCTGTCTGATGAGACATTATGTCGACGATTCACTAAGCTGAGGATGTAAATAACTGAAAGCTGATACCGGATACTATATTATTAATAATATTGGCATTATTTTCGGCATTTCGGATGGACAAGAGCAGCAAACTGCAAAAGCGAATGAATACTTTTGTTGTTTGTTGATGTGGTGTCGTAGCCGGAAACAAAGTGACAAACCGGAAATAATTGACCGGAAGTTCTTTCCCGGAAATGAAACTAGTTCCAAATTCCAAAAAAATTGTATTCTTTGTTCCTTGTTTTCTCGTTCCAAAATTCATGTGCGAAGAGAATTTGGACCATTGGAATTGAAACCAAAAGTAAACAAGAGAAAATTCATGTATGTCAGCAGGGAGCAGCCACCAGTTTGTAAACAAGTATTTAATTTCTGATTAATTATCCCTAAAATCAAAATTAGTGACTAACTTAAACATTGGTGTTTTATGCAGAGAATTGAATCATGTGACAGGACAATTTTTTATACATTTTGAGTAGTTTGCTTCACTTTTGTTCGGTGTTAACAACTTCGCTTTCTCGCGATGTCAGTGTGTTCTTATGTCGAAAGATGACTTAAATTTTTATTTGAATCATCCTCTCTAAATTTTCTTTGGATGGAAGTTGATCATAGTTAATGCGTGTGCTCTTTCTTTTCTCCAAAGTTTCCCCATGTAGTACTGTCGCAGCACTTGTTGTGCTGGCATTCTCTGACAGTCCTGTTCCATGAAGTTGGGTCATTTTCTTTTTGCCGGAAAAGTCATTCCTACCAGAACTAGTATAGCAATCCTACATCTATTGTCATAAGCCTGTCCTAATTAGTTCTGAGTATCAAAGTCTTATGGAGCTTAAACAGTTACTAGAAACAACCCAAAAATCTGGCAGTGCGCTCCACTAACATCTGGTCCTAAATCAAAATGAAGTGAATTGATCTTGGCCGGTGAAAAATGTTCGGGAAAAAAGCACATGGTGACATCAAGAAGTCTACAATCAAAATACAAGACTTGAAGAAGGACAACGCCACTCGTTTTAAGCATCTTCGAGCCGTCATAGGTAAGGCCTCAAATGGTTATTTTTGGAAATTTGCTTTGAACTTCTTAACCAATTTTGGAATACTCTTTCAGAATTGATGAATCCTTTTATTATGCTATGCACCGACAAAAGTATCACAAGGGCCAAATGTGAACCAATTTCTATAACAGCACTGCAAAATGGAAAAAGTTAACCACAGTCGTTCTGAATACAACAGAGACTTAAAATGTTGTATACGTTCAAAATCACTCTTAGAATCTGATTTTGATTAAATTTGTTGAAAAATTTTAAATCAAATGCGGCGCTTGTGACATTCCGTTTTGAGACCTCATGAGACGTAAGGAAATAAATGTAGAGCTCGCGTATCGTATGTTGAAACAATTGTCAATCTCTGATTACCTCTGAATTTAGCATCACTCAACAGGTTAATAAACGCAGTCAGATGGCACCACTGATGAGTGGTGACATAAACAATACTTTGATATTTGTCTCAACGTACGATGCACGAGCTCTACCAATGATTTAAGCTGTAGTATTACCCTTATTGTTTCTACAGTTACCTGTAGGATTCTGAGGATGCCTTTATCACCTTAGCATCAAAATATATGGAAGATCATGTATAAACTTTTATTGATGTTAAATGAATATTTTCTAAATTAAGAGCTTCAATATTTCTTCCTGTTGTTTTTCAGATCATGGTGATGTGAAGGAAGTTAAGTCTATTCTAGAGACAAACTACAGCCATGCTTATTCCATCCTGTATGATAGTTTCATCATTGCCGAGACTAACTTAAAACAAAGAGGTAACCTTCAATTGAAATCCTCAAAATTTTCCTTTCTCTGTTTTTATTAAATTACTGTAGTGGAGGTAGAAAATACTCTCAGAGGACATCACCTGGCAAGTCCGTAATCAATAATTGTTCATACAGCCAACTGTATTGCGTGAGCTATACTGGTTCAGCTGGCTTGTAACTGCTTGAATACACGTACTTACCCCACTATTAATTACTTAATGGCAAGACTGTTTACTCAGCATTTTAGGAATGAAGAATTAATTGAATAAATTCATCCATCAAGAGTTGAGAATCAGTCCAATGGGAGAGGTCCTTTCCTGCTGTAAACTCAGTCATCAGAATAAGGCATCTTTCATATTTTTTGTTTGTTTGTCTGTTTTTTTTTGTTTTTTTTTTAATGGGAGACTACTTGTTACCAGTGTATCATGTCGATAGTATACATGGCTTGGAATCTCTGGCTCCGAAGAAATTGTAATTTTGAAACTTGAAAGTTTTGTCCCTTAATTTTTAGCTCCTACAACACCTCACAGGATGTTCATTCTTTTGCCGTAATACTTTTTTACTTTATCTTAAGGGAGATAAGGATTAGATCTTTCATATCAACTCACCTTTCTAACTCTATTTTTCTTCTATTATTTTCCAGAACTTACATTCCATCTAGGTAAGTTAGAATTTAAAGAGAAATGCCTGCCATAGCTTGCTTATTTCTTGAAATTTGAAATTTTGTGTTGATCAAGTAGAAGCATCGTAAAGTTGGTCAGAAGTTTTGAGTGAATGCTCAAGTTGCTATGGTTTTTTTCCAACCACTATACTTGGTAAAAACTGTTGTTCAATTGAAGAACCTCGAGAGCTGGATACTAACCTCTTACAATTGCCCATTTTACAGTTTCTGGGAAATTTTTCTTTCTTTTTCCTCTGTCTGAAAGATCAGTGTAATGTTTTTAGGTGTAGAACTCTTGAATATCTATTTTATTTAAAACTTCCTATTCGTCCTATCTTTCAACTTCCAGGATAGCTGTATTGGGCTTTTTTTGTCAGTAAAAATTCAAAGTGTCTGACGCAAGTGAATTTTGATACTGGTTTAGGTATTGGTTGTTGATCATAAATCAGGGAAACTCTGTTGGTTTGTCATTCTCCTCTTGGAGTTTGATCCTCTCAAGTATTGCTTTAGAATGAATAATGTATATCGATGGTGAAAGTGACTAACCATGGAGGTGGTATCTCTATTTACGATGTTGCAGACTTCCTTTCATACTTTATTTTTCTTTTGGAAAATTAATTACCCCAATTTTTTGAAAACTTCGTTGGTCTCTCTTTACTGTTAGAAGAATCACCTGTATGAATTTCAAGTCATAAAGTTGGCTTTTATCTCTTCAAAAAAATAAAATAGAAGTGGAAATTTTAAAACATTGCAATGAAGATATGATAATTCTGACTTTGGCCATCGATATACTGTAGTGCCTATGTTTTAATATTCAAAAAGACTGCAAGCATAATTTATCAAGTAGAGGTTTCATTTTGTTGTTGTTGTTGTTGTTATGTTTGATTATTTTACTGTTTCATTTTCCATGTATCTGCATTCTCAAGAAAGCATGAGTAATTTGGTGGGAATTTTACAAAATTGTGTCTTTCTAGCCAAAATATTTTTAATTAAAAAACCCAGTTGTTCATATATTTCTCATCAAGGATATTTTCTTTTTACTGAATGACTTCCTTCATTCAATACCATGCATATCAAGTGTGATAGATGATGGTTGTAGGAATGAATCAAGAAAGAATTCAGAAAAATGAAAAAAGTTTACAACAGGATCAAGGATTATGAGAGTTGGACTTGCAGATTTCAGAAGCCAGCTTTGTCGATATTCTTCTCTTACTTCCGAAAATCATTGAAAATCATGATATTATAAAGTAGTTCTCAGTTTCCAGAAGAACATTGTTCAGTTTTCTAATTAAATTCAATTAGTGGAATTCAATTTTAGTTTGAGGCTTGAAACTTTTTCATGGAACCAGATTTTTCAAGTTTCCACATTTTTACCGTTCTATTGTTGCCTTTTTTTCAGTTTTTACAGCTGCTTATATTTTTTTAGAATTCTCTTAGGTTAACCCCCCCCTTTTTTCTTTCTTGTTTATCATCATCATGATTATTATAGATATTTCCAGGAACATAGCAACAGAGCATGTTTTTATGAGATTTTTCTCTTTGTTGTGCGAAGGAGGAAGTAAAAGTGCATGCTATTGCATGGGCTGAAGTATTTTAGAAAATGCAATCAAACTTCTTTAAGTTGGTAATTTTTAGGTGGTCCTGTTTTTGCCCTTTCACACAGTGCTATAAAAGTTCATATCCTACAAGCAGCATGCTTTTTCAAACCGAATCTTGAGAGTAATTGCATAGCTTGTCACATAATTAATTTTTTTTTCTTTTTAATTTGTTTCCATTTTTCAGGATTTTCTCCAGAGCTTACCGTAACTCAGCGTAGCATTTTTTTAGCACCTCATTAATATTATAATGAAAGATAGTTTGTTAGCTTAAAAGTTACCCCTGTTTGATCAGCAATATTGATCAAATAGCTCACTTTTCATCGTTTACTCCTATTTTTTGCTTACTGAGAACTCAAAATGTACCAACATAGTTCTGAAACATATTTTAACAACTGGGGGTCACAACTCTTGAAAATGAACTGTTTAAAATTCAAAATCAGTCCAATAGCAAACATAATTTATCCCACCAAAATAAAGACAGTTTGGCAAAACAAAATTTAGGTAGCGAATTTTCAGGTTTTTCTTTAAAGGACAATCTTCAAGAAATCCTGAAACTTTCATAGGAACTGACAAGTACAAAACTCACAATGTATGAGAGCACTGTCAGGAGACTTCCCGAAATGATTTCAATGACATGTTGCTACTCTAACCCCCCTAATTTACCAATTTATGCTATTTTTAATTATGTCATCTTAATCTGAATGGCTTAGCTTCTTATATTTGTTAGTTACTTTTGCGATGAATTCAACGTTTAATTTATTTTGTCTTTTTTTCAGTTCACAAAGCTCAGAAAGAGGAATTAGAAGGAGTCCTGTATGTGTTAGATAGGATTTTAATCTTGTGTCCTGAACTACTATCAAAAAGATGGCAAGTTCACAGTCTGACTCGAATGTTGACCAAATTGCTTCATCCCAACAATTCTTGGAAGCTGAGACGAGAAGCTATCCGGTAAATTGGAACCTAATTAAAATAAACAAAATCCTAGTGCTTAGAATCGGCTGGAGTCGTTTTTGTCATCCGCTGTTATATTTAGTCTGTTGAATTTGGACTTCAAACAATGCTTAAAAATGGTTTAAATTTAGAAGTTAGGATCAACTCTTCTTTTCTTTTTCCTCTTTTTTTATGTTATATTAATGTGAAATTTACTTTAAAAAAAAGTTATTAAAAAAAAATTGGCGTCAAATTTTGTGAAAGTCTATAATGACTCATATCAACGCCAAACATAAAGTAAACTGCAGAATACGTAACATAAAAATCTAAAAATCGTTTCAAAATTCAGAGTGAAATTCTCATTACATTTTCATGTAAAGAATGTCACCAGGGCAGGTATTTTTGACTCTAGGTAACCGAAGCAACCCCTATCATTTTGTTCTAGGTATTTTATCATCTGGTATCAAATTCTGGGAGAAAATGCACCAGATTGGGTCCATGCTATTTTCGCAACATTGATACCCGGCTTTCCGAGTCCAATCGAAGGTCAACTCGGCTTGACTGCTCTCACTTTAACATCCACTTCAACTGTTTTCCATGACTCCCATGCAGGTAAAAAACAAAAATTGACACTTATAAAAATATTTGCCAAGGGCACAAGTATTTTAAAGGGGACGGCAACCTTAAAAACAAGTTTAGCTAAAAAATCAAGGAAGAAAAGTGTGCAATGAACGATGCCGAAATCCCTTTGCGAATATCTGCATTTGTCAAGCTGCTATCGCAAAAAAAACAGGTGAGCGCGTGACATCATGAGCTCCATCTAGCATTTTGCAGTCTGCACTTAGAATTCTCTCTCTGGTGTCAAGTGGTCGACCCGTATTCATGACAAGTCATTAGTTTGCCCCAATCTCGCTCATTCCTGGCCATTTCTTTCTTCTTTGCTTCGGTGGAACTATTAAGGCAACTTCGAGTCGCCAGACAGCGAATGCGCCAGACTTTGAGTTGTATGCATGTGAACCGCAGTCGCACCGGGAGCGCATGACGTCACCAGTCAGACTTACAATCTTTCATATCTCTGCCGATTTTGCGAACTTTGCTGAATTTCATTCAAGACAAAGCCATTTTGCTTCTTTTATCTTCCGGCTTCCATTTTTAATACTATCTTATTTCGATTTTAGGGTTGCCGTCCCCTTTAATAAACTTTACTTCATGGACCATAATACAGGATAACAATTAGGGCTTTAGGTCTATTCTAATAGGCATGTTCTCTGATCAAAATACTAAGCAGAATATAGAAGTTTCAAACGTTTTAAAACTCCTAAAATTAAGTCATTAAAGAGAAATAAACGCTCTTAGTTTACATTCTGAATAGTAAATTCAAACTTTCTGTTTGGAGAAAAACCGTAATCAATGTAGGTCAAATCAGTGATTCGACTCTTACCTACAGTTTTAAATGTTTATTTTTTTCCTCTCAAATTTATTTTTTCTTCTCTTTTATTACGTATTCATTATTCTTTAATTCCAGAGCCTGTCACAGATGTTGAGGTGACACCAATTTTTCCCCCCCAAAGTGGAGAGAAACAACCAGATGATCCGATGCGATTTTTCCTAGAGGCTCTACTCGAATATATGGTTACTCAGGTTAGTCTTTCATATTCAGCGGATATTTCAATCCAAACTTTATTGCAATGCAAAAATAAGACGTAAATTAACTCTGAAGTCAAGTTAAAGTATTTACAATTTTCATTAGTTGAATGTGAATTGATAAATATGATTGTTTTTTTATTTGATGGATGCTAAAATGTTACCGTCATTGATTCAGTCAAAAGTCCATTTCTAAATTTTTTATCACAAAGCCGTGGTTTTTAAGTGGAATTTTCAAGCAAATGGGTGTAATAATAATTTAATCTATTAAGTATTTGTCTATCATTGCATTGTGCTTAGTATTATCCTTACATTTTATTAGTTATGAATTATCCTCTTATGATTTTCTTATGTGATAAATACTCTAATTTTTTGGGTGTATATTTAGTTTTTATTGATGATTCTCTTTTTACTTTACTTACAGATCTGCCGAATAGAATGGAAAGACAAATTCTACCGCCAGTTCAAATGCTTCACATTTCTTCTTGATAAATTTAAGCAGTATTATCAACCTTTAATTTTTCCAGAATTCCTTCACACCACCAGTGTTTACAAACCAATTCTTGGTAAGTCCAGTATTTTTAGATCAGGAAGCTGTGAGATACCTGCAACTCTTGATTATTTTCCGAAGAGTAATATTTTCATGGGGGGTTTTTTTTTTTACTATATTTTGCCACACTTCGGTAATGAATATCATTGTACCTCATTCTAGTTAGGTCAACTACTAAGCAAGAGAGATCCAAGACGTAACCCTTAAAAGGTGCTATTTAGATAATTATAAGTTCTGAAGAAAATTAGGATGAAAATTTAACACCTCATCGAAGTTTCTGGTGATCTAAAAAAGTTGAAAGTCAGGGAACTTTGAAAGAGCAGTAACAACTACCAAGTGCCTTGATCCATTATTCCAATCTCTAAAAGTAGAAGTTTTGTCGCAAGTAAAAATCAGTATTACCATAAGAAATAAAAATTCAAGAAATTTTGTTCTAAGGTCGAGGGAAGTAAGGAAGTCACTAAAGATTGTCCGGAAAAGTCAGGGAAGTCATTTTGAAGTCTATGGAAAAGCAAAAAAATGTACGGAAAAGTCAGGGAAAGTTTTGTAATTGGAAAATGGAATAATTATGGAAATCTTGCTTAAAAATGTAGCAACAGACTTTAAACTTCTCTCTCTGTAAAATGCAGAAAAAGACCAAGTGTTTTTTGTCTTGAATAAACGCTTTCAAACTGCAAACAAATATCTAGCGTTTCGAATAACATATTTTGGTTTCTTTGAAATGTTTCGTTGACGTAAGAATCCAACTATAAAAATTGATTTAAATTAAGTGTTTCACCTTTTAACACAAATCTAACTCCAAACTAATGAGTTGCTTTTTTTTTGTTTTGTTGCAGAGCTACCCAACTTGCGACCCATGAGCCGGACAGATGAATTTGTCGGATGTCGAGTAGCAGTCATAAAGTGGATTGCCAGCTTTACACAACCGTCGCGACCTTCACCTTTTCCAAAAAATCCTAGGTACAAACAATCAATTTTTTTCCTTTCGTATAGGGACCAATTACTTTGGTTTTTGTTATTTTCAATCATTTTTTGAACAGAATGAACTTTTAATCTTCAAGTTTTTTTGAAATGGAGATGAGTGTCCTATTTTTCTTGGTTCGAGAATTAAAAGACTATGAATCCTATGAATTCGTATGAATTTGCTATATTGCTTGAATAATATAAATTCATGTCGAAAATTTAAAAAAATATAATTTTGAAAATCTTCCTCCCCTTTTGACAGTGGCTGGTAATCTAGTATCTTTGCCATCGTAGTGGTTACATCCAGTGACTAGAATTGGGCTGAAAATATGGACTAGTGTTTTGTTGTTTTTAAAATAGGGAATTTGTTTCTTTTTTTACAGTGAGAGCGAAAATGATGCTGCAGAACAGAAAAAGTCCGTATCCTCAATTGATGACGTTCAAGGATCTTCTACATCACCAATGAATGATATCCAACATTGGTAAATTTCTCCAATTCTCATTTTTTCCCCTGCGTATTTCTCATTCAGTCTTTTATGTAGTAATTCATGAGGCCTGAATGACTCGTATTTTGTTTCAAAATAGATTTGACTTTTTTATGTCGATAATTTCATAATTGATAATTCCCTTTTATAGTGTGGAAATTGTACGAGAAGTTCTGTTCGGGTCCCGAGAAAACATCAATTTTATGCATGAAGTACTGAGGCAAGCCTTCCTCCTTCCATTCACTCATGCTCCAGCTATCCGGCGTTCGATAGCGGTCTACAAAGAATGGGTGCAGATGAAAGTAAGCAATTTTTAGGAAAATTTTAAATATTAATTCCACCCTTGTATGCTGCACCAATACATATTTTATTAAATTTTGTCAAAAAATTCAAAAGTCATCAATATTTGCAAGGCATAAATAATTTTGAGACTGACTTTTTCTTTGTATTATTAAGGGTTTCAAATTGAAGGGCCTCTATCAACAAGCAATTATGGCACCATGCAATCTGAAATGACCTTGCATCCAACATGAGCCCAAAACTGAGCCATGAGCTGTTGTGAACCCAAGACGTCCTCAGAAATAAGATGAAAACATAATTAACGAATAATTCACCAGAGGTTTCTTACTGACACTTATTGCTTCTAAGAAATCTAGTAAAGCTGTTTTCATTCACTTGTTCTATTTTGTATTTGCAACAATGTAATCAGGGCTCAACAAGAAAGAGGAGAAGAAAATTCTATCGTTCTATTTAATTTCTTTATTGCATCATTTACTTATATTTTTTCCCCTTCTTTTTTTCCTCTTTTTTTTACAGCCTAGCGAGATGCCTGGATTCATGTTGGAGCCACCGGCTACAAAAACTGATCATTCTGAGGTGAGTAGTTTGGTGTCAAATCTTTAATATTTTCCGCTCTGCTGAGTTCACGGATACATAATATCCTTTTGATTTCTAACGTAAATTTTTTTACAAAGCTTCACTAATGAAAATCATCCATATTTTATGATGCTTCATGGAAAAACTTTATAATAGCCTGAGTTATATCTTCAATTTTTTTTTTTGCAATACCCTATTGTATGTGTAAAACTCTTAAAATATGCTTGTTCATACATTTTTCAGGGAGAAGATTTTTACCGAAGGCTTCGAAATGACTCCTACATTGGTGCCATGCAACATTCAAACTTACACATTCGAGCAGGATATCAGGTGAGTAATCTTAAAGTAGACTTATCATCCTAGCTTCATAAGCTCAAAAGTTATTTTGCTGTCAAACACTTTGAAGCCTTACAAGAGATTTTGCAACATTTCTCGGCTATCAAATTTTATCAAGTTAACGTTTGTAATTTTCCTCAATTTTTTTTTCTTTCAGAAAACCCTACAAGTTATAATGACACATGCTGGTCATCTTTTTCTACAAACCGTTTCATCAGATTACCCAATCCTGCTTGAAGAACAGACTGACGCCTGCAAAAAAGTCTTAAACATCTATCGGTATATGGTTATGCATGTTCATATGGAACAAGCTAGCTGGTAAGAACTTGTCTATTTAATAAATACAGAAAGAGTCTGACGCAAAGTTAATTTCGTTTCAGAGAGCCACTTACCTTAGCTCCTTTCGTTAGAAAATACTTGTTCTGATAATTTTCAGATTGAACAGATTTAAGAAAAAAATTTACAGTCTTATTAAATTTGAGGAAATTAACTGTAAAATCCCATTTTCAGGAAAATCTAATTTGGTTCTAAGGATGATCTGACTAAAATTTGAATCAATTCTGCTGTAAATTTGGGACAGTTTGAAATTTACCCATCAGAACTTGTTTTTTCCAACCTTGAAACATGATCTTAAAGATTAACATACTTTGGATTTTTTGTGATCCTTAGATTTTTAAAAATCAATTAATTGTTCAATCAACGGCATACCATTTTACTTAATTTTGATACATTAATCAATATTGGTTTTCCAAAATTTTTGACTTTTCAAAAGAGATTTCTTTCTGAGTTCCTTGTAGAGAATGAAGGAGGCCTTTAGTGTCATTTCTCCACCCTCGTAAGAAATTTTTCTAAGGAAGAAAAATTCTGCTGTTTTGTCATAAACCAGGAGTTGACTTCCGTGGCCTTCAAAAGGTCCCCAGTGTTAGTCCTTCAATATCCTAATGATATTTTCGCTAAGTGCAATCATGTGACTTAATGTTTCAGGGAGCAGTTGTTAACAGTTCTGTTAAAATTGACCTCTCTCATATTTTCCAAAACACCACCTCGGAAAAAAAGTGATACATTAGCTGGAAAGTTAGCATCAGTCATTTTTCAGGTACTCTCATTTAAATTTGCAAAATAAACTACCTAATAAACTTTGAATTTTTCCTCTAGATTCATTTTGATTGAAAATGGCCCTGCTGCCTGGGTGAACCTTCAGTTTGGCAAGCTTTTATTTCATTATTTTGTCTGTTTTTGCCCATTTAGAAATAAAAGAAGGTTGTGGTATTTTCCAATTAGTTTACTCTGTGACATTAAGCGTGACAACAGACTCAGACTCTTTTGTTTATTGTCAGTATCCCGCATAGTTAGAAATTCAAACTATGGGAAGCAAATTGCAACTTACACTGTTTTGGTGTAATTCAACATGAAACATAAATAAAACACTTTTCAAGGCATGAATCTTTTTCTACAAATCACACTATTTTTGCAGAAATGGATGACAAAAATGTCCTCGCCTATTTATGTCATCGACCTCTTTCCAAGATGCGGAAACTGCATTCTTTTTTTCTCTATGATTTTCATCAAATGTTCTATCAATTTTATTCTAAACTGATTTGCTAAAAGTGTGCTTCACGAAAGGTTTTCTACGTACTTACTTTGCATTAGATTCAAAAGTTTTAAAATAGAAGGATACTCTTCTAAATTTCATCTTAGTTGACTTACTGAATGAACGAATTCCTTTTCAATAACCATTTTTATTTTTTGGCATTAAACTTAATTTTTTTTTGCCTGTTTACTGCAAGCAACAAGTTTTAATCAACTGACGTCCCTTTCAGTGTTATACAATAACGCCTGTTTTTATAAATTACCAAAATGCTGATCTTGTGAAAAAGCATTACTTTTCTTTGACACTTTGATCTTTCATTTCAGACTTTATTAGTGACCTGGATTAAAGCAAACTTGAATGTGGTCATTTCAAGCTCTCTTTGGGACAGATTACTGGCAGTATTATCCTGTCTAACCCAGTGGGAAGAACTCATCAAAGAGTGGGCTGTGAGTTTTTTATCATTTTAGTGCAATTATTTTCATAGTTCTTTCGTTTGCCATAAGTTTTTTTTTATTGTTTTTCTTCCTCAACCATTGAATACACACCGTCAATTCATCCCCTAAGAACAAACATCCCCAAAATAAAATTCTGAAAATCTTACTCAGGAACTAAAAAACCATTTTCATTTTGTCATTATGCTGTAATGTAGAACCCTCCTTTCAAAAGACAGTCATTTGTCAGTCATTTGTTTCACACCACACAATCCATGACCATCGGTAGTAGTACCCTCTGAAAATGGCAGTCAGGTTCAATTGCTGCTCTTATACTGAAATGGTTAAAGTTGGTTTGTCGAGAAGCAGCCTTAAATTAAATAAAAAGTCACCAAAGAGAGGTCAGCAACCTGATTTTTGAAATTTTAACTGACTTTCACAGTAACATAAGACAAGACATAGCTCTATATGTGCTGTGTAATGTATTGAATTTTGAATCTTGTCTTACTGGCATAAATTTCAACAATCAGGCTGCAGGAGCGGTCTCCCTTTTCAAGCTCTGCTTTTTCAAGCGGCAATGGGTTAGTTGAGCTAGTCACAGAATCATGTTTTAACGAGTTCAAGTTATAGATCAGCCAAAAATAATAAAATCTGTCCAAACACCAAGTTTCCTTGTCCAATATTTAATGCAGATATCACCTTTCAACAAACACGGTGTATGACGTCATCTTTTGCGGTGATGCATACCATGGTTTCTTCCTTTTCTCTGTTTGAAGTTCAGCAACCAGCGCAAATGTGTGTATCACTAATTTATGAATTCAAGATGGAAGAAACTACAGTAACACCTCGATTTATCGGATTTCACGGGACTGGAGGCCGAATCCGTTAATTTGCGGAATCCGCTAAATCGCGCTAGTTGGTCCCGCTGAAGGGATCGGAGGATCGATCCGTTAAATCGTGGAATCCGTTAAATCGCGATCCGATAATTCGAGGTCTTACTGTGTGGTACACCCCGCTGTGCTGCTGGATGTTATGACCTTATTTTTCAAAGGGCAATATTACCATCAATATTTGACGCAGAAACCTGGCATCTGGACAGATCTTATTATTTTTTGCTCTGAAAGCTTGAGAATCAAAATTCTGTGACTAGCGCAACTGACCCATTGTCAGACAAGAAAGGGGAAAAAGCCTATTTTTCATGTGTGTGTGATTATCCAAAGTTTGCTCCAATTTGGTCTTTACCAGCTTCATTAAAAAAAGACTATTTCATTTTAATTACTTTTGTCGCTGATAATCCGTATAATCTTATTATTACCTTCTTCCTTTTTTAAAGTATAATACAATTTTACAATTGTCTTTAGATTACCCATTATGTTGAATATTCTTTTTATTTTTCAGAAAACCTTGGAAACACTCACCAGAGTTCTGGCGAGGCATGTTTATCAGTTAGACTTAAGTGACCTTCCTTTAGATAGACCGTCGGAACATAGGGCTCGACGACATCGCAGACCACCTTCTCCCACAAGGAGGAATGTGAATAATACTCTTCAGAACCCTTCTTCAGTCAGTGATAATCATAGCATAGGTTTGTTGCATTTATCTTCGAAAATAATTTTTTCAAAGAAAAGAAAATTTGTACTTGAATTTAAGGTCTCCTTTTAATTATAAAAGTAAGTGAAATGGGTAAGAGAATAATTCTTACATTGGAAACTTCAGATATCAATTTCTGAACGAGATGTTGACGAGTATTGTTAACACAGATCAAATAGAATCTAGATCACACAAATGACGCCATTCGTATTTTTTCCATGTAACCAATGGTAATTGTATACACTCATATTTTTTTAGGAGTCAATATCTCCATCTCTTGTTATGTGATTTGTTTTCCCTGTGAAATATTTAAAATAATGTGTTTTGTGTAAATTTGTCTTGTCGGCCATTTTTTAAAAAGTCAAAATATTAAACATCCTTCATCAAACTTGTTTTGAAGTAAGCATTGGAAAAGAACGAACCTCATAAACTCTGCATTTAGCACCAAAACATCAGTTCAAACAGCCTCATTCGCCGAAGACTTCAGAAACTGATAATGCAAAAAGTCAAATTCTCTTTAAATTTTCTACGTCACGAATATGAAAATTTTGTTTTCTAATTAATATTTTATGCATGTTTCGTAGAAACTTCTGTATTTCTGATCCCTCTTGCTCATCATCGAATCTGTGCAACTGTTTCAGATGGAAGTCCCGCCAACACAACCAAAGAAGTAATCGAATCCAGGCCAGCCAATCTAAGTCGCTCTGTTAGTGATAGTAATTTACTTTTGTTATTACAAAATCAAGGTAAATCCTCTTTCTCATCTTATACATTTGGCTTTATCATGAAATTTTTATTGTTCAACTAATCTGCACAAGTCACAAAAAGTTGGTGATTGAAATCACCGTAGTTTCAAAACATCAGTTATATTCCCTGCAATGTCTACTTTAAGCCTCAGATTTTGAGCGGTTTTGTGCTTTGGAGAACTTCTCGTTCTTGTTACATAATTTCTGGCTGTAAGCATCCGAAAAAAATCTGAGTATCAGATATTTTGCTGAAAGAGGGTTAAATACTAGTTGCTCTTTCACATTTTTAATTATTAATACATTTTTTTATTTTTATTTTATTGCAACAGTGTTTTTATCTGTCATTTTCTCGTAAAAAACTAATGCATATACAATGGAGGATCAGAAAATTATCTTCAATATTTGATTAATTCGAGTTAGTAACAAATGGATCTGTTTAATCAAATTTTGTTTCCGTATTTTTTAGACAACATGCCAAAGAGCACAAATCAAAAACTATGGAGAGCTTCATCTTTAGATTCATTTAAAGGTAATATCTTAATCTTTTTGGTTTTTAAACTCATGTTGTTCTTGTACTAACTTTTGAAGGTTTTCCCATGAATTCATATTATTTTCCCAATCACACTGACTTCTACTATGTTTTTTTTTGCTGATCGGAAAAAAAAAAACTGTGTAACTGTGAGTGGAAAGGACGTTTACGTTTCATGATTTTTCTTTAAATGGGTCAACATATCATGCCATAAACAGAAATGCCTCTGCCTCCTGCTCCAGCACAGTGCGGGTCCAGCGACTTCATGTGTTACAAAATTTTGCCAACAAAGGCACCACTGTGTTGCTGTATGCAAAATCTTCATCATCAACTTTGAAAAATGGCCTTATTGACACGTTTAGTATAAATTGCCAGACATTATCAGTACGCTACTGTTGGAATGACTTGCATTTAAACTAAAGTGGTGAAAAATTCAAATGCAATTACTTTTTCATTTCAATTATAATAATTTTGATTAAAACAATTCATTGCAATTGTAGTTAAAATTTGATTGATTATTTTCTCTCTACCTCCCTTCAGATTTCAGTAACTTCAAACTAAAAAAAGACATTGCAAGGTGGTCGAATTTTTTTACATCCATGTTTAATGAAGTCATGAAATCTCATGGACTGATATTTTTAAAATAATTTTTCAGTTAAGAAAAATGGAGGAACTAGAACTTCAAGGTCTCCCTCTCCCGCACCTTCGAATGGTCTAGAAAGTAACTCTCCAGTACAAATAGATGTTCTAGCAACTGATAATGTGCCGTCAGGTAAGTTCCCTTTCATTACACAATTATCGATTTTGAAAAATAGGTTTCAATATTTGTGTCTTTGCTGATTAAAGTCAAAAAGTTTTAAAGTTATCATATTGGGACTTCAAATAATGATCCATAATTCAGAAACTAATGGTACGCCAGTTGAGAATTCGATCAGTTGGCAATGACTTGCACTCTTTTGTATAGAACCATGTTAGAGATGGGGCATACATTGAGCCACATAACGGCGGTTAAATTCCAAAATCGTGCATCTCAATTGCGGCGTTTCAACATTTTTGCTCCCATCTTATTTTTTTAAAGAAGTCAGAACACCCCGATTGTTGCTTAAGATTTTTACAGAATATTCTTCCCACCAAGAAGAAAAATTACCAACTTTTTCAAAAGATGACATGGAGTAGTCCACTATGTAGAAAATAAAGTATGACAGGAAGTCTGCATCATTGCAAACTAAGGTACTTTGTATCTGCAGTTTTACCGGCGATAATGTTTTGTGGTCAAAATATGAGTTGACACGTTGTATAGGAATAAAAAAAAATTAAAAGGTTTCGAAACAGATCATGCTGTTGAACCTGTCAATAGGTCTTTTTAAGTTTTGTCTCATCAAAATCAATTACTATTTAAAACAAATAACAGCACCATAAGTTGTGTGTATTTTCACCATGCTTCCTTTTATTTGATCAGTTGTTCATCAATTCTTAGCTTCTAGCTCTTTACAAATTAAAAATTTTCCTGACAGATTCTGGTGGTGGTCGCTCTGTCATGTCCGGTGGTTCGTTGCGAGGTTGGCTTCCGGATGTCGCAAGTGTACTATGGCGGCGTATGTTAGGCGTCCTGGGTGATATCAATCAGCTGAAGGATCCAGCTCTCCACAGCCTTGTGTTTCAGCAATTAGTCAATTTATGCAACACTCTTGAGAAGGTATTATACCCTCATTTGGGAACAGTATTTTTGAAACGGTTGACTTTAAAGATTATCTAGTAGATAATAGTTTTATTCAAAGTTGCTTCTTAAGTGTTCAAGCCTCCTTAAGCCATAAAAGTTACATTGTTTGCAGAGGTTTTAACATGTAAGGAACGACTTTGAATTCGACCTTTAAGAGGCAGATACACCCGCGAGCTAGACTCGCTCCTTGAGCGGTGAGTAGGCCGTTGGCCGTGTTCTGCAATCTTTGTAGCCAATCAGGTTGCAGCTCACCGCCCGTTATTCACTCACAGTAGAATCGAATCCTACTTTTCGGGTCAAGACGGGCGTGTAGAAGGCAGGTGTATCTGGCCTTTAAGAGAGTTCATCACTCGCACTCTTGTCCTTAAGCAGGGTTGCCATCTTCAGGGGAAAACTGGGAAATGCCAAGAAACTTTCAAAATCGGAAAAAACCTGGAAATGTCAGGGAAAATGACAAAATTGTAAGGGAAAAATTGCTGTAGCAATCCCCTGTATATTCTTTCCAGAGCAAGTTTATCGTTTTGAACAACATATTTTGCCTGAAAACTATCTCAAATTATGTCTTTTTACCATTTGGCATATCTTCGATTGTCAGGGAATTTTACAAAAATGTGACAGGGAAATGTCAGGGAATTTTTATTTTTTAATTCTGTGGCAATATTGCAAAGTGGTTTCACTGCTCTTCTAGTTAAATATTTCACCACCCTTTTATGTATTGAGGATTTCTGATTTTTAAAATTTTTGTAAGAAATTCTGAAAGTCAGACTTGAACAATACCCACCATATCTCTACATTTTTTTGGCTCTCTTGCTATACTGAGAGATCATAGTCCCCCGGTTCAAGTTCTCTGTTGTCTTTAGAGCCTCCAATTTTTTCTGATCACAGAATCAAATGGCTCCATTTTGTCCGTAACCTTTCTGTATTTTCAACTTTGATCTACAAGAATCAATATTTTAGTGCACCTCTTTCACCTTTTCAAATAGAGTGTTCTTTTGTCACCCCTCTAGATAAGAAAAAATCAAGGTCTTGCAGCTGACACTCCAGCCAATGCAGCCTCAACTCCCCCACCAGATCTCACTATTATAGCTCCTTGGTGCTTCCAGGTAAGTAGTTAATACTTTATGAAAAATCATTTTCGATGAAAGAGAATGATTTATATCATCATTTCCCAGGCAAAGGAATGTAACTACATTTGAACATTGCCAAATCTTCTTGCACAATTTTCCTTTATTCTGTTTAACTATTGAACATTTTTCATTTCAAATTTTACACATTTTTCCATGGATTATTGTCAAACATCAGCAGAGTATATGGCTGAAATCGCGCTGTCATTTTCATGAGAAAGAAAAGAATTGTTCAAGTAGAGTTTGCAACCTTGGAATGTAGATACCTCAGTCCTGTGGCTGAGAAACGACCACATGAATAGACATGACGTGTACGTTAGATATGACAATGATACGTGTGTAAATCATTTTAAAATGTAAAGTCTGTAGTGTAATTTAAAGATGAACCGAAGAAAAACCTGCCCTCAGTCCTTCACTTCAAGACAAATTACCCAAGACTAACTATCTTGGTCAGGCATCATTTTTTCTGTGTCAATTTTCTAGTTTCCACCTCTGAAAAGTCATGAGTACTATCTCTCGTTTCTCAGTAAGATTCATATTTTTTGTCCTCCTCAAAAGGATGTTTTATTCTTTGAGGCTCAAATGAAAATGGATTACAATAAAATAGAATGTAGCTAAGGAGCAGTCGGATCGCCAGGAACTTTCTTTCACATCTCATTCAAATATTCCTTGGTTGAGATAAATTAAAAATTCTGCTCGTCTTTTACCAGTTCTGTAACTGTTTTTTATGATTTTTTCTGTTTGTCCATTGCAGGCTTTGAACCTTCCTGAAACGTATCGGCAAGGCCAAGTGAAAGCATATAAATTGTTATGTTTAATGACTTTTTCCATTCCGTCCTCATCATTGCCACCTCTCCATTTGGCTAGTTTTTACAAAGTTCTTCATCAAGCCCTCACTGCTTCGGATAGGGTATTCTTATCTTTTCTTTTATTTAATTTATTGTTGAATGTTGTACATAAAGATAGTTGGTTTTCATATTATGTTTGCTAACAGCAAAACTGGGTCGTTTTCTATCATGAAAAACCTGTTTTTACATGAACAATTGAGAAAAAATCTTTTCAGCAGCAGCAAGATTCATTGATTTACTGTTCTGATTTAAGAAATAAAAAAATTAGTCAATTTCATGCATCCAAGTACATATGACAACTGTATTTTGCAATGTATTTTACCGATCAAGAGTAAGTATCAGAAATGCTGTAAAGGAAGGAATAATTAACTCTTGAATTTCTTTCATCAAATAATGTTCTTTTTATTTACTCTAATTAAGTTGTGGCTTAAAAGAGTCACTTTTATTTATTATTTCTCTCTAAGTTTACCATGACCTAAAATCGTATTAAACACTGAAATATTGCCCATCAAATCACAAAAGGAAATTCAAGAAAAATACTCAAAATAAGATTGTGTTTTTTAATTAAAATTTTTGTTTCATTCATGCAGAGTATCGTAAATACTGTTATAAGTGAGATGGGTCCACGAATTCTGTCGCGGCAACCTCCTGGTTTCACCCTCCTCCTCTTGGATTTAATTTTTGCAGCAGATCGAGTTCTATCTAGTGCGGATATCAGGACTGTAAGTCAATTTACCTTATTTTTTGTATTTTATTTAATCCGCTGAGTGACTAATTCTATGCATTTGCCCGGCATTGCCTGAGTAAAAAGCAGTTTTATAGTGGATGACTTGTTACTGGTTCAGTATTTTTAACCAAACAAAATATCAAAGTTTCAGGAGATTTTTTTAGGTTGACCATTAAGCTCAGCACACTTTAAGTAACGGTGATACATGAGAACTTTACAACAATCTTTTTCAAAAGTAGGAATAATTTTTAAGAAGTTTTGACGACTGTTATGGTGCAAGAAACCGTCGACTAGTGATTAGACGATTTTTTGTGCCATTTTTTTCCAATCTACTTTGGATTTTCCAAATTCTGTCTTCTTAGTTAACAGAATTTGACGAACATTGAAAACTTGTCCTCCCTCCTTAAAAGAGATTTTATTGGGTGTTCATAAGCTCAGACAATTTTTACGGCAGGTTATAATGTAGATCATAGCTGGACATTTTAAGCTAAACCAATGAAACTAAACATTGAACATTTTGCAAACTTTTTCTTTGCAGCATGTGGTTCACTTTACTTCCTGCCGATACTAGATCAGATTTGATGCAAGAAACGAGAGAAGGAAAATCGAAACTTGCAGATCTAAAATTGCATAAAATTTTTTTAGAGCATGAGAATCTTACAGTTGTTTCCATTTTCATTCATCACCGAAGTGCGAAGACTGGTCAAAAATCCACTCAGAACTTTATTATTGTTTTTACAGCTTTTGCTCCACTCTCAATAAAATAAAACCAAGCATACCTCAGTGAAAAAGACTTTCTAATCCTTTAATATTTTTTTTTCTCTTTTTAAGGCACCAAGAACGGAAGCTATGTCAATTTTAGGCTCTCTCTTGAGCCTCCCTGACTCCCTTTTCAAGTTACGAGCATTCCAACCTGTTCCCAATCAGTTTTGCACCGTTGTTTTTCCTGATGCTAAGGTGAGTCAAGAGTTATTTCCTTCATTAATGGAAAAACCTAAATAAAGTAAGAATAAAAACATGAAAGACATTTTTATGTTGAAACTCTCAAATATTTGCAAGTTAAGTGCTCTTGTAGAAAATTGTATGCGACTTTGTTTCAATATTTATGTATGTAACCTATCAAGAAAATAGCTATAAAAAAACTATAACCAGAATTTATTTGGAAAAAAATTATCAGGAAAATCGATTTTCCAGCGCTGTCCTGTAATATAATTATCTTTCTTTTCTCAGGACCAAATTGTTAATTTACTGCTGCAGTACGGTAGAAGTGAACCAACAACGGAAGCAAGATGTGTTGCTTTATCCAGTCTTGGAGTTTTTCTGTATCAAAAACTCTCGGAAGGCAACAACCATCCTGAAATCAGAAATGCCTTAGATGTATTACTGCATTCCTTAAATGTAAGTTGTATCTTTCTTCTTTGGTGAAATGTGTACAATATGAATCAGAAGTTGGTTTCATGTAAAACACTGCTGAAAACATGTTCATGACTCAACTGCAAATCCAAGTTCAATGAAGCATTAAATGTTGTTATCAAAACAACAATATTGCTTTAAAAAAATTCAAATTCAAACATGTATTGAGAGTAAAACGGCAGGAACGCGTATCTTGGTTAAAGTGTCCTGCTTCCATTCTATTTCTCAAGGAAGAACAATTCAATGCTATTGCTTGAAATTTCCATAGATTATTCTTCTTACACAGAGAAGAAATTAGAGAAGTTTGAAGGAATGACGTTGAGTATATTTCTGTTCAGAAAATGAAGTGTGGTACGAAGTCTGGAATGTCACAAACCAAAATACCAATTCTTGCAGTTTCACCATCGATATGTACTCTCATTTATTGTAACCTGATGTATCTTTTTTTAAACAAAAAAGATCTTATTGTGAACTGTCAGTTTTGTTTTATCATAGTATGAAAGATAAGTATACACACATCTTTTTCACTATGATATCTATTTATTGTCGAGTGAATTCTTGCTTTAAATGACAAATTTTATAATTTCCAGTCTAAAGAAGATACCGTAGCCCATATTGCCTGTGATGTCATATTACTTCTCTGTGATCATGCCTCAACATTCCATCCAGCCATCCCTCCTGTGATTGTTCAGGTATACTCTCATACATTTTTCCAACTTTTTCTCTCCCACTGTTTTTGCTTAAGAAAATGTTTCGTTGGAAAGGTGGTGATGTCATTCGATAACATTGAAAAATCTTAGATTCAAATTGTATTCTTGTTAAAAATTTGGAATCCCCGGTCCATTATCTCGTAGGGAATAAGTCACTTCAAGAAGCCTGTGCTAAAAAACGGATCATCGTGAGGTTTTGCATTGTTTGATATGATTGGCTCAAAAAAAAAAAAAAAATGGAAAAATTTTAACTAATTTACACAAATTGTAAGAATGAATGAAAATAAAATATCAAAAACCTTGCACACAAACTTTGGTAAAAAATTTTAAAGAAAGGTTAAGACACTTACATGCCCGTCAATTTTCTTTTAAATTGTAAGAAGTTGTACGGAAAATTACAGAAAATACATGGCAACCATAAAAATGCACTCTTTTCATCTGTTCACAACCCAAGTTTAAAATAACTAAGAAATAGGTTTTAAACGTCTCATATGAAGACTCATGAACATTTCCTTTCTACAATGGTTTCAAAATGTAAATCAATCAATAGATGCGATTTCCACCTGAGAGTTCTTTAAGCCAAAAATTACAAATTTCCAAAAAAATCTCTTACGTTTTTGCCTGCAGTGATCTAATTTCAGAACTACTAAAGATATTTCTAAGGTGGTTTTGTGTCTACTTTTAATTTTCAATTTTTTCAATGATGAATGATAATTTTAACACTAATTAGTGATAATAATTAAAGAGTATTTTACAAAGAAGTTTCGATGGTTTTGAAGAGCTGTTTGGAAAGATCTCCTGGAAAGATTAAGTATGAATTCATTGTTTTTGCAGGCTGTGGCAAGCACCCTGGCCAGTCTAGGAGGAGGCCGAACAAAATTAGCCGCAGCATTGGTATTTTGTCTAGGAGAATGGACCATGCATTTATCCGGGCTTGCTCCTCCTTTACTTGAAGCCATTTTCAAAGTCCTCACCAACATTGTTCTGGAATCGCCAAATCATCTGAACAATTCTGCACATATTGCTGCTAAAATGGTAAGAAGCTTGTACAGTCTGGAAAACTAGGAAATTCTGGGAATTTTAGGCAACCGGTAAAAGTTAAGGAAAGTTAGGAACTGTCGCAAGTAACGCGTCGACTCAGCAACTTTATCTGGTGCTATTTAAGAGAGCGTGAACAACTTCTCAGTGCCTTTTTCCACCATGTGAGACTCTGTAAGTGGCGATTTCATCCAAGTTCACCAAAAGTTAGTACACTGAGAAGAAGAAAATAAAGTGGAAATTTTGTTCGAGGGTCAGGGAGAAATTAGGAGAAAGTTAGGGAAAGTTAGATAATTCTAGAAATATTCTAGTCAGGAAAGTGATGGAAAATAGAGAGATTACTATTAAAACTCTCACTGACATGCTGGTTGATCTACCTGTCATTAATTTCTCATACAAGAGCCCACAAAGTGCGGGATACGACCAGCCCCCTTACATAACCAATTTCTTTGCATCAGCCATTCTACGTAGACTGCACTAGTTTTTGCATATCAGGGAGAGCTAATCAAGCCATAGTATATAGAGATAGAGACTGCTATATAGACATCAGATAGCAACTGCTATAGAGATATCAGATAGAGATTGCCACAGAGATATCAGATAGAGACTACTATAATCGCTTTCTTGACCTCTGCTTCCGTAGGCTTTGCCTTTTCAACAAAGCGTATTTCTATGTTTTGTAGCATTAAGATACATATATACCAAGAACGCTATTGCCTAGAATTTGTTAATGACAAGTTTTTGTAAGATAATTTTAGGTATATAAAACTGAATTTGTGTTATTTTCAATGATACTGCTGAATGAAAGAAGATATATTTTGGAAACTTTCAATCCTTTATATCTCTATTAAACATCTGAATTATGAGATGAGTCTAAACAAATTCAGATCGATTCTCTTTGAGATTGTTTATGTACGTGCATTTTATTTTTACTTCCAGGTCATCGGACATTTAGTAAATCAGTTGGGTCACTTTCCAATGGCAGGCGACCGGCTATGCTCACAGGTGAGCGAGCAAGATGATGTTCCTGGTCTCACAGGAGTTAATCAAATCCTTGATGCTTTAAACATTCAACTGTTTGTCACCAATTCAGCTCACACTGTTTCCTTCATAGAATTACCCCCACTGGAAGTCCCCGGCGGTGGTCCCACTGCAGATCTGATCACTGCACCAGCACAAGTTCGCGTTATTCTTCGTGACCTTAACGGCAAGTCATCTTGGGATGCATCAGTCCTCTACGCGGTTCCGGATTCGATCCAAAGAGTGGTAATCCAACCAAAGTGGCCAACGGAAGAGAATACTTTCAGCCTGTGCGCAGTCAACAATGCACCTCAGCACACTTTGCGCAGCCGACTTCACAATATTCTGCCGACTGTTTGTAATTCCGCTCCCGATTTGGACAATCTGAACGATCTGCTTCAATACGTTGAGTATACGAGTCCTGAGTGCGCCAACGCAACCGAGCCGTTGAACTCGTCGGTTGAGTTGGAGCAAGAAACGATGAGTGCCATCCTGGGCCAGCGGTTCAGTAACCAAGATAAGCTTCACCTCAGTCAGACTGTTCCGGGGGATCTAAGACTGCCCAAGAACGAGACCAATGTCTTTCAGTATTGCCGGCTTTTCGGCTCCCAGCTTGGTTTTGCTTCATCACCTCAGAGGGCGAATTTATTCCTTCTGAGTAGAACTGAGAAGTTGATCCGTGAGCTGCGAAATTTAGATAATCAAATGTGCAGGGAAACTCATAAAATTGCTGTGATTTACGTTGGTGATGGGCAGGAGAATAAAGATGTCATTCTGTCGAATTGTGGTGGGAGTGCTGCGTACGAGCAATTTATATCACAACTTGCTTGGGAAGTGCAACTAGACTCACACACAGGATTTATGGGCGGTTTGCAGCCGAGTCCAAGTACTGCGCCTTACTTTGCGACCTCTTTGACAGAAGCTATTTTTCATGTCGCTACGAGGATGCCAAACGACACAATTCATAATAAGGTAATTACTGCTTTGATAACTCATCGTTTTTAGTCATTTTTTTACGGAAAATTAAAAAAAAATAACGTTCTCATTTCGCCTTTCATATTTTGGTTCATGGGTCAGTTGCGCTGGTTGCAGAATAAATTTTTGATACTTGATTCTTGTAAATTAGCTAACAATAATAAAATCTGTCCAAAAAGCAACTCCTTACGTTCAACATTAACCGAGATATCGCCCTTTGAAAAATCACATTTTTTATGTCATCCACCGTGGTAGTGATACCCTTGGTTTCTTCCACCTTGCTTTCATCCAAGTTTCACTTTGAGTAACCAGTGCAAATGTGCGTGAAGGTAGAAAAATATGGAATGGAAAAATGCTTTTAGAACTGCCAGTGTTGGGCTCATCTACTTTCAGCCTGAAATTCAGTTTTTTTTAGTGGACAGTCATAGGCATGTAAGATTTAAGCTTGCAACTTTTATTGAGTTAATTTTTAATCCCCTCAAAAAGGCAAATGCAGAATCTTAGCGAAACTTTTTTACTTGGTTTCAGTGTCTAGATTTTTGTATGAATCCACCTTAGGGATATTGAAGTATGAAGTTATGCATACTCTCCATCTTTTAACTTTGAATCTAATTCATAAGTGCATTTTAATCTTTTACAGACGAGGCATCTAGGAAACGATGAAGTTCACATTGTTTGGTGCGAACATAGTCGAGATTACAGGCGTTCAGTCATTCCTACGGAGTTTTGTGATGTTCTGATAGTAATCTACCCTCTTCCTTACCATCTGTTTCGTGTAACCATCTCCCGTAAACCTGAGGTAATTTCTTCCCCAAGTGATAAATCTATTATCCTCGAATGTAAAGGGAACATTCCATTAATGCTAATGGATGTAATCGTATACTCATAGATAAATTCATCGACGGACATAACTTTTCAATCAATTTGTGATAATCAATCTAGCTATCTAAGGTTGGAACTTATTTTGTTTTGTTTTGTCTTATTTGATGTGGAAATATCTTGCCTTTGAATCATGTAGCCACTTGTTATACTGTAAGTGTTTTCCTTTCTGTATAAAAAATGTTAAAATTAGGGGAATTTAGGGCTTAAGGATTAGGCTATTGGACAAGGACTGTTCTAAAATGAATATAATCAGAAGAATTTTGAGGATTTTTACACCTTCTTCAAGCAAACTTTATTGGTTTAACTAGGTGAGAAAATCTGCATCTTTGGAAAAACTGAAGAAGGTTTTGTTGAAGAATACTTTGCATATCATCTTCTCAGCACAACAGTGTTGGGGTTTTCCGCCAACGTCCGCCTGTTCTCTAAATAATCAAAAAATGTCGCTCATTTAGAGGAAAAAATTTCATTTTGCAGACTTTTTCTTTCTCTGAGATAAATTATTTAGTGCTACACTAGTTAGGACCAGTTAGGAAGGTGATTGCGAATACTTTTAGGTCTCACAATCAGTGTTGAGAGATGCTTTCGATACTGTCTCTCTTTCTTCCTTACAACATCACAAAATGTTGCGGTAGATGAGTCAAAAGAGAAATCCTTGCGGAGAAAAATCAGTGTTGTTCAAAAAAAAGAAAAAAAAAAAGAAGGGTCAAAAGAGAAGAAAGAGGGGAAATTGTTTGGTATGCATTACTGCTCAAGGCAGCCAGTTGCCTAGCAAAAGCAATTGCTTAATCCTTCATATCATAACAACTTAATTTCCAGTCGAAGAATTAGGTTTATAATTGACTTGATGTTCTGTGATGAAGATTTAATTTATAAATTACCCTTTTCTACTGTTGTAGATTCCACTGTGTGGGCCCCTATGGGACGAAGCTGTTGTCAGTATGACTGTTTTAGCTGGCCTTATTCGGGCAACTGCTTTCAGTGCTTCACGTGCTAAACGATCCACGCTGTCATTCTATCAGCATCAGTAAGTTTTTTCTTTTATTACTTTTAAGTCAACTAATGTTCTCTCTCTCTCAACTTAAATGTAAACTCTGAGTCCTAAGCTGTATTGGGAGGAGGTGCAACTAGAGGCTATGAAAACTAGCTGGGCCGAATTGCAATATTTTAGCAAGTTTTGTTTCATTTTAGCAAGACTCTGCTTATACAGGAATTGGGCGATTGCCTCATTTTTCAAGAGATGGGTCATTTTCTTGCGAAATACACGATTCATCAAAAACTCTTGTGCACAAATGGTTTTCTTATTTTTAAAGTGTGATTTACTGTTGGAACCTCTCTTACACTCGATTCTTATTTCTTTATTCTAATTTTGCAGTTATGAAGAACGTTGGAGGTCTTTAGAGACAGTACTAAGAAATCACAAAAATCTCACAACATTCGAAGAATTCTCATCTCAGTTATTTGCACCAAAAACTCCAGGTAAATATTCAGAACTTTTCATTAGCTATCCCTGGATTTTTCTCTCTTAACATGTAAAGTATAATCTCGAGGCTATGAAAATAATGCTATTCAGGTGTATAAACGAATGAAGACATGCCAATAGAGCAGAAGCCCAAAAATTCATGAGCCGTGGCCTTCCTTGATAATAATGTATTAATGTCCACCATGACTCATGAGTATTTGGACTTTGTGTTGTTCGTATGACAAATGTTAAAATTCATCAAATAATTTGAAAATGAATTTGAAAAAATGAGCCATGCCATACATCATTAACCATGGAAGATCTGGAGTCTTTGGACTTCCGCCATTATTCTAAAGTTTGATTCAAATGCTCTCGGAGCTTATCTTATAATAGTAATGGTTGTGTAACAATCAAGTAACGATCAAGATGAACGTAGAATAGTATTCATTGTTTTTTAAGGGCCATAAAAGTTATTTTGCGTAAATTTGTTTTCAACCAAAACAAATTAGAAGTGAGAGTGCCACATTTCAGATGAAATCGATCTTCTGTGCTATAGGAAACATCAGTAAGTACATGTTTGTCTGTTTTTACTGATCACCTCTCGCGTTGAAGTGCATTCAAGGCTTTCTCCCATAAGAGGGAAATTATCATGGGCTAGTCATCAAACAGTTTAAACAGGAAGAAAATACTGGAACTTTCCTTTCACTGGTCTAGAGGAAAATATTGAGAGTATTCACAAATTTTAATATATTTTGTCTCAATTAATCGTTGATTTAAATGACTGTCATTTTTTTCCAGCTCAAAATCCTGAGTCTTTCTCCATTCCTTCATCTGAGCATATTGGGAGATTAAGCAAAGGTAGTGTATGCACTTGAATTGATCTCTATATAGCTTATAAGCTGGATGATAGTCTTACATGAGTCAGTGATATTCTTTTTAATTCATTTTCTGAAATTATGGAGTGAACCAAGTTTTTAGGAATTTTTCGAGATTTTCTTAACCCTAAATGGCAAATAAACCATTCCAAAAATGCCAAAAGTGAGATCTGTTTTAATCGATGTTTGTGGTGGGTGCTGATGCCGTAGCCAAACAGGGAAAATAGGGTTTGTTGGTTGACTGAACTCATCTTAAGTCATCACCTCGCTACATCATCTCAACTGTCCGATTTTGATTGATTGAGTGTTATGTACTTAATTAGCCTTTTCTCCCCTCAGAAATGATTTTTTGAACTTCCTAATGAACAATTTGTTTTTTTCTTAGAATGTTACGTACAAAAAACTTTCAAAAATTCCTTGCCACTGCTCCGTTACATTAGTCACATACTGCATGTGTCACAAATTTGTTTCGATGTTTGACAGGGTCAAATGGCTTGAACATTTAATTATTGTTAAAGCTATCACTGAATTTCAAGGTTGCATCAGTGACGATATTGTTTGCGTTGTATGTAGATGATGTCCTCCATTATATCCCTCTGAGCTCAGTTTCTGTTGATTTACGATGTGTAATTCGGTGATGGAACCAATGTTATTTTATTCGAGTTTCTAATCTTTAATAATAATGATCATATTTTATTTTTATCGCTCTTTAAATTTCAACTATCAAAATACAACTTTGAGCAGCTCTTAAATAATCCGTTGGTTCTTTGTTAAATAGTTATCGAAGGTTTCATTTATTTTATCTTATGAGGACATTTTCCCACTACTTTTCCTCTTGAATCTTTGTCAACCCGAAATAATATTTCCATACATTTTTTAGGTCCTGCTCCAGATTTTGTAGACGAGAATCATACGGTCGGTATCTCTCCCCGCCCGATGAAAAAGCTTTCTGTCAGGGTGTCTCTCGATGGCTCTAAGCTGAAATGACTTTAGAAAATGAATTCTCAAGGCTGAGCTTCCAGTGATAATTAGACTTTTAAGTTTGCTGTGTTTTCTGAATTATTGCCTACGAATGAAATCATACTTATTTTTCTAATTGATTTTAGTCGCAGTATGTAAAGTGGGATATTTTATTTAAAATTCCATTCCAATTATATTGTTATTGTTAATTGTGTAACTTGAACATTGTGTAGATATAGCCCAATTTTAAAAACCTCAGTTCTCTCATTGCCCTCTGTTCGATTAGCTTTTTTACTTGTTTTGCGTACATTTTTTCATCGAAGAGGCGTTAATTTAAGGGAACTTAGGGTTCTCATAAATAACATTTGTAGGAACGAATTCGATCGATTATTTAAAAAAAAAAGATTTTATTGTGTAAGGTTTTTTATTATTTATTTATTTAATTATTTTTAATACTGTCAGTTGCCTATATTATTGTTAACAGACAGATGCATTCACATGACAAAGAATTGTTACCACTCTATGAACTTTAAAAGAAACTTTTGTAAAAGCCAGGAGCCAAAAACTTATACTTGTTTTTCACTTCAAATTTTCATTTTACTACCTCTTCTTTGAGTATGTTTTGCTGTAAAACAATAGCCTTACACTAGAGGTTATTCTTCTGGGTTTTCGACGAGACAGAAATAGTCCAAGCTTTAATTGTATAAATTAACTACATGTACTTCACCAAATGTTTCTTCTTTAGCATCCAGCAATAGAACCGTAACTAACGTCCTTAGAAAAACAGAATTTTAGCATTCTGTATATTCTTGAGGAAGGTTCTACGTTCAAGTATTGTATTTTTTTCAAAAGATTAACTTAAACCAGTAGGCATGTTTCATAGTGAAAAGACTTCTAGAGTTATTCTGATGACCCTAAATTAAATTTCGGGCTACAAGTTTGCCTTACATTGCCCCCCCCCCCATTTTTCAAATCAGTGATGTTAACCTAAAATCCCTTGGCTCCAAGCATCAGATTTAGAAGATGATTATTTCCTGTTTCTAAATCATCGTTGATCAAGAAAAAAAAAATTAGTGTTTTGCTCGTTTTTTGTCCTAAAATTTTGAAAATTCTGTTTTAGAACTTTATTTGCATCTCTGATCCAATCATCACTTTTTGGTAGAATATAATCAGTTTTTGGATACATGGGTGCAGTAGGCAGGTTCTGTTTTTCTTGATTAAAATAATTTACCGACCCATACTCTCCTGATTGCCGATCAAAAATCCTGTTCTGACCTGGTATCAGAAGAAACCAGGTATGTTATCATGACCAAGTGACATCAGTGGAGAAGAAAGAATTAATGACTTTTGATATTGTTCCTCTTGAAACTGTAGTAAAGAGTTTGTTAAGGTGTTTGTTGGAATATCCTGATAATTGATCCTTTTCCATCGGTTTAGATGGGATCAATCGATTTACTACCAAGCACGGCATGCCGCTGCGTCACATGGGGCAATTTTCATTTCTTTCTACCCATTGTTGGGTCTACTTTCATTCTTGGCTTTTATTTTTTCCTCATTTTTTGTAAGTGATCCTAAATTCATTGGAAAGAATTTTTAGAATAGCTCAAGGAGCGGTATATTATCATGAATGGAAAGAGTCTAAAGTCAATCGTTGACTAGAGGGTGACATTCTTTGTCTTTGAATGCATCTTTATTGTAAGTTCATTTGTATGCAGAATTATTTATTTTGCTGTGTTATGGTTGACTCTTCAATCAAATTTTATTTATTTTTCTGTGAAGTTTTATCCAATGTGCAATATTGAATTCTGTAAATAGAATTCTAATAATCATTGATTCAATTTTTATATTCAATTTTGATTTGTTTTTTTCCACTATCATTTTCAAATGCATGAAATTTGCAATAACTTCATTGACAATTCCCTCTGTGAATGACTGAAAAATCAATTCAGTGAAAGGAAGAAACACCCGCATTTTGGAAAAAAAAAATTGAAAATTCATTTCCAAAGTATTCAAGATGCACAAGTATAAGAGTCATTCCAAAAGTAAGCTTCATCATCCTAATTCTCCAAAACTATTAAGCGCATAGTCCTTTTAGAAATGCAAAAAAAGGTATTGTAATTAACAAGAAACTAATTTTTACAAATATATGTATTAATCAAAATGCTTTAAAGAAAAGCTTTTGAAGGACAGAAAAACAAGAAATTTACAATCTTCCAAGTACAGTTGACAATTTCACAGGTTTTTCTCATCGAGAAATTAAAAACTGAAACTTTATACAATTACAAAATTACAAATACTCGAGGATCTAAATTTGTCTGGTTTTCATGAAGACCCACAGTGGTTGAGAAAATCACACAAGTTTATCACAATCTCTCATAAAAAATAAATTAAAGAAACATTTCTAAGTTACAGAACACATTGTGTTAAGTGAACATAACTTGAGTTCAACATAAAAGAATAAGATTGATTAGTTCAGAAAATAAAAAATTAAGAGCGGGAAACCGAGCCTTAGTGATAGTTTTATTGAGCAAAAAATTAAATGCAGATACACAGATCTTGACGTCTTTTCCGAAAATTTCAGAGAGCTCTGATCTAAGTCGGTCGACTGGAGTTTGCTTAGCGATACTGGCTCCATAAATTTCAACTGCAAAAAAATAAAATGCAATTGACTGATATGCAGGGCTACTAAAGTTGATGATGTGCAGCTAGTGTCAAGTGGCAGAGCTTGAAGATGCTTGAGGAAGTTTCTTGGGTTCTAAATTGGCAGTTCTAGAAGAAAAACATTGTTGCCATTTACTGTGGGTTGCTACTGCTGGCGACTGTTATTTTGCCATCAATAGTAAGAACGCTATAACATTACCCTAGATTTTGCAATTTTTTTTGGAACAAAACACTCAAGCACATAAAAAACCAGATTACCTTCTTTCGTCATTGTTCACAGGATGAGACCTGATGAAACGGCATATTCATTCTAGAAATATACCGGAATGGGCAAGAGAAACTCTCAATACGCCATAACTTTTCAATTATTGAGTTAAAATGTTCCAGTATGGACTGTTGTCCTAATCATCAAAGGGGAAAACTTTTGGGGGGGGGGGGGGGAGCAGCCCTTTCTAATATCAATATTTTCAAATGGGGTTCCCCCACTTGAGACACATCAAGCTATTAGGTATCAAGTGTTTCTTTTTTCCATCTCGGTGCAAGTATTGCACGATTGCTTGTGAAAGAAAATTTTGTCAGAAAAAAAACTGAAAATCCTAGAGTGAAGTAGCAGTATTCTTACTTTGGACAACAGGAGGTACCTATTTACATGGAATATAAACAACTTCAAAATTTTTACCTTTGAAATAACTTTGGCTAATAAGAAAGTAATTTTGCTCACTAGTTTTCACCTATTCTGCAACAGTCGTTCAAGGTCTACCCACATCTCAAACACTTTTTTAGACTTACAGGCCTCCAACCCCTGCATCCGAAATTACTGCCGCTTGACCCAGCTGCATAAAATCGTTCCTTCCTGATCTTGAAGTATTTTTTCCCCCCAGTTAAATAACAAATTTCTGTACTGAACCACTAGTTGCAAGGATATACTTAACTGATCTGAAAGGTGATAAAGACATTATGAGATCAATCATACTTAAAATGAGGAATGAGCTGACAATTTTACGCTTACTGAAAGAAACTGTTTTTACACACTAGTAAATCTGAGGGGGTGGTATGTTATTTGTACATTATTGTCAATTAGACATGATGAAGCACGCATTACTGCGAATATTCCAGAAACTAATTACAAAACACGTTTTGGTATTGTGTTGATATAGTCCAGCTTTGGCCGATTCCAATGGAGCGTTCCTATTAAAATTTCTCATTGACATCTGATGAAAATACACTTATCCTCAAAATGAAATATTATGCTAATTAGAGCGGGATTTTCGGGAAACAAATTCAAGAATGCATGCTCTTGCTCACACATGACCAAATTGGTGCCAAATAGGACTTAGAAGTAAGTAGTGCTATCAGCTCCAGCCTAATGGAACTGCTGCCTTCCACAATGTTACTTCTGAACACAGTAAGACCTCGATTTAAAGGATTTCACAGGGCTGACGAATTGATCTGTAAATTTGAATTATCTTAGGCCCTTGAAGAGACCGGAAGTTCAATTTGTTAAATCGCAATCCAATAAACCGAGGTCTTACTGTAAAACAAAGCAACAAACACTGGCAAATGAACCATTTGATTTTTTCAGGAACAGTCTAACAAGAAAATTTAGTGTACAAGTACATTTTAAAATATTTGATGTAAGAAAAAAAAAGTCGACTTAGAATTTGAGAAATATCCTACAAAGTAATGTTTTTGTAGGCTTAATCCACTTTAAAAGTAGAAATATTTGTATAGTCGAGTATCATGCTTTGTTAATCTTAACATTATCGATTTAAAAATGGCAGTACTGTGGGGCTGAACTCAATTATTGATTTCAATTTTTAAGCAAAAGCGACTGAATCTAATTGGAAATAGTATTAGTTTTTTTTTTTTCTTCTTGAGAAGGTTGCATATTTTTTTGCCTCTCAAAGAGAAGCGTCTTATGATTTCTTTGGAAAACGCAGGATGTCCAGTAGTTTTCCGATTTTCCAATAGGAATATTACAAAAAGCTCAAGTTTAAATATTTACGTCATACTTTAATCTGATGACGATATTAGAGAACACAACAAAACCAGTGTTCAATGAAAATTATTCAGACTATATCCTTTGGGTACTTAATATTCAAGCTCTTTCTGTAAGTTCCGGACATAGGATTTCTTTTAATCTTGATTTGAAAATTAGGATCAATCAGTTGCAAAAGAAACATATTTTTCTATTTCATTTCATTGAGGCCATTCCAAGAAGAGTCTTAATTGGTTTAAGCTCTAGGTTCAGCTGTGTTAAAGCTCCAATTCTACAATGTAAAAGTTAAGGGGCATGCAACTCCTAAGCTAACTGAGCTCTTCAGGTAAGCTCAAGTTCACTGATTACACATAGAGTTCAGTCTAGGTGAGTAAGAAAGGGAAAAAAAGAAAAAATAAAAAAAGGTGAAAACAAAACCAATTATCAAAAGTTAAGTAAAAACCGTTTTAAACTTTTGCTGAACAAAAGTATGCGGAATATAAACGGGGACACGAGGTTACAAAATAAGAATAATACAGAAAATCTGATAGAAAATTACAAAATTAATTTAACGCTTGCCAGAAGTTTGGATTTAATTCTAATTTCCGCCGGAAAGTTTCGTACCAATTTTTTATAGCGGACATTGGAATGTACGGTTCATTGGGATTCTGAAGGGCTTGCGTAGGAGATACCGAAAAACTGCAAACATAATTAAATAAATATTGTACAGTTTTTTCTGTAAACTCGACAAACTTAGCTTTATTGGATTCTGATGCACTTTCGAGGATTTGATTCTGTTGTGCAACAATATTGATAGGTTCAATGGAGATACCTATCTGAGCGACGTGTGAGATTGCTTGGGTACCAAAGGGAAAACTGTTCACTTGATCTCCTTCACCACTTCTTTTCAGATTAGAAATTTTGAAAATTGCTGATGGTTTTTCATTCGACAGACAACCTAAGAGTTGAAAACTTGGTGGGGCAAAAGGATCTGGCCAACTGAAGTAGACTGAAAAAAAGAGCAACAAAACTGAATAGACACTGATCATCAAAATTTATTTCATTACTCAATGACATTTCTCATAAAATAAGAGTATAAATCAGTTCGGATATTAATTAGCAGCCAATGAATGAAAACGTGGCAGGCTTGCTACTTTCGGCATAAAAAAGGCCATAGAAGTCAAAATTAAGAATTTTCTTAAAACTTTGAACTTTTTTTCTGGTATTTGAACATTATGATGAATATTGCTGTAACACAATAATGAATTAGTAGGAAGTTATGTATAACTTTTACATCACTATCTACTAATTATTATTACTTGTACTTATTTTATATTTTGAATTCTGAAGTGTTTCAAGATGTGAAAATAAAAATGAATTGGTATGCCTGTACCCTCAAGATCACTCAGTGTGAAAAAATCTAAATTACATTGAAAAATACACTACAACTGTCAACTGAGAGATACCTATTCAATGCTTGATTCTCAAACGTAGAATATACTTCTCCATACAGTTAAACACCTGAAAAATCTACAAACCAACAGTTTTTTATTTGAATTTGGAGGAAATATGAAAATCGTACCATAGTAATCTTCGAGATTATTTTAGCAGTCGGACGGAAATAATTTTTTATACTATTATCAGGGGTAACTTTTAATACAGTGTTGGACGCAATTTGTGGCAATTTATCAAGTGCTAAAGTTCAACAAGGTCCACATGCAATTAAATAGGAAAACAACTGGAGCAGTCTGTTCAAGTGAATCCATCTCCTACGTTACTACAATTGTGTGCATGTTAGGATCAGGGACTTAAATTCAATCCCTTGCCCAATTGAAGGGAGAGGCTGTAACTACTCTGTAGTATCTCTCATTTTGAGACAACAGGCTAGTGGTTGTTTACAAAAATGACTATCATCTTCAGATCATCCAGGTAATCGATGATAGAGGAAATTGCTGCGTCAACCGATCAGAGCAGCCTTTGATTGGCCAACGCTATGTGAGCGGTTCATTTGAAAGGCTAGTAGTGGAGTAACAATTCTCAGTATTTGGCCTTTACATCACCAATAAACTGACAATGTCATTCGTGGATGGGTCAATTTTCAAAAGTAAAATTTTATCCTCTTTTTACAGGGTTCTCATGAATTTTTGCATCAGATCAACCCCTAAAAAATATCTACACCACACAAACACATATTGACCTGCAGCTAACGTTCATCTACTAGCATGACACCACAATAACATAGTGACGCCTTTTTAGTTCTTGTAGGCAATGAAAGATTAGCAAAGATAAAAAATTTACCTAAACCTGCCATTCCGTCAGGAAACAAAGTTGCTCCAGTTAAAAAGACAACAATGTGATTTATATTGTCTGCATCTGGTATTGTGATCAAAAACTGGGTTGAACCATTGAATTCAAAATTTGTTTGGACCTGCGAGGAGAAAATATAGAGTAAAATGAAAATAAAGAGATACGAAAATTCAGGGATGTACAATACCCTATTCCTGATCATGCAAGCCTAGAATGAGAGAAAATTGAGGTAAGCCCTCAGATTGTTTAATTGTTTTGCTACGTTCCGCATAGATATAGTAAAATAAGCATTGATCAAGCCCTTCTAACTACCATTTTAGAATTCGGATACAGCAGACAAGCTGGAGAGGTGGAATGAGACAGGTTTGGTAGATACCTACTGGGCAGCAAAAATATCTCAAATTACTTGGTAAACTCTGTAACATCCAGCATGCCTTTCATAAGAATTCAGTAGGAACTTGTGAAAAAATCTGGATCGAATTTAAAGAGATGATTGTTAAGAAAAAGAAAATACTTCCGTGATTATTAACTTTGAAGCCATACCTCTCCGTTTGAAATTAGGGCATACCTAATATGGAAATAGAGTGAGGTTTCATAAGTGAATAATAAATTAAGCTTCAGAACTTCAAGTTAGGCCGTTTTGCTACAGAGTTCTGAAAGCAATAGGATAAATGAGAGCAAAAATTGAAAAAAGTTGAACAAACCTGTCTGCCAGAAACGATAACGCCAAACATGGCATTAGCCATGATAACTACTTAAGGCACTGGAAATTGGTTATGATAATTTAAAACTTAAGTGCTTTTACACTAAATAGAAAATTAATTTAAATATAATAAATTAATAAGGACTAGTTGAAAATAAATTACTCAGCGCACTCTTCGCATACATCCATGCATTCTGATTATCTGATTAGCAACTTTTCAAGAGGTTAGAAAGCTCCCGGTTGTAAACAAAACTTTTCTAGTATGTTCTATACAACAACGCTCTCTAACAGGGAAACTGGTAACTTAACAAGTACTATCAAAATCCGGTAGAGTTCGCCAAGATGGGCGTAAACAATTATAACCTCACTTTCTAAGGCGGGGCATCGTAATGTCAGTTACTTTGTATAAAATTTTTATTTATTTTAAGTTTTAAGTATTTATTAATCAACAAAATGTATTTTAAAATATCAGGATTAATCAGCTGTCTACTTCTGATTTGGAGTTTTGTCTCTGTGAATGGTAAGTTTCTTTATGCTGACCGTACTTAAGTCAACATACTCCATTCACAACTGCTCCGCAGCGGTTTTTCTGCAGCGATTATCTTTAATTTTTGAAGCCCTTCCAGGTTTCATTTTCTTCTTACAAATACGATTTTAATCTATTCTAAAATATTTATCAAATTTTCTTTTACCTTTTTTGTGGCATGCGATTATCGGATCTCCAATGAAAGCTCCAATTGTACAACGCGACAGAGCGTCAAATTTTTTTCATTTAATTTATATTGAAGGAAAATATCAAGTGTTCATAGGAAGGAACATATTTTAATTCTTATGTGTGATATTGATCTCACTTAATTTGATCTAGGGAACTTATTCATGAGCATAACTTCAATTCTGGCCTGATGCCATTGAAATAAGTACTTAGGGACTGACAGCCAGTAGCAAAATATCCTGAGCAATCCTATGGAGTGATTCCAACTTGCAATTGTATTGATATTAGTTGCACGATTGCGTTTTTTGCTTGTTACCAATTGGAATTGAAATGACCGGGAAATGATGGATTCCAGCTAGCTTGAATAGTATTTTTTTTATTATCACATTGAAAGGCAAAATTTCTTGAATCAGTTTTTACCGCATCTTCCTGAAATTTGTCTTATTTGTTTAATAATCAGGTGTTTTGAACATTTAAGAAGAATTTGATTGGTATTGGTTTGATAAGCTAGTGCTGAGTTCATATCATGAACTTCGTAACACAACCTTTGTCCAGGCAACAAGCTTGTAAATGCAGCCCTGAGCTCCTTTGCGAATCTATAAATCTGTGATGAAAATGCCATGTCCATTTTATTTCAGGCACTTTATAAGGTGATGCGAGCCAGGTCTATTATATTCAAATGGAAAACTAAAATTTTTTCTCACCTTTTTCTTTAACAATTGCATTGAAATGTAGAAAACTAATTAACAAAATATTTTGTTTGTCATATTCCTCTGAAAATCTGTACAGTCTCTGCCTTTCAAATAATAAAATCGTTTTTAATTTTTGTTTTTACCGTGCAAAATTTCGAAAATTCAAGCAATTTTAAATTTTCTCTGGTTTTGTTACTTTTTTAGCCCAGGCCAATGACTTCAAGAATAGCAGCAACATCGTTTGGTGTACTTCAAGCCTTGAAGAACAATACAAGTGCCTTAATTTCTCCCTTGCTGTCAATTTAACCAAATCAGTTTTCGAGCCTTTCTATTTATCATGTTATCAGGTTTGAAAATTTTGATTTTCCTAATTTTTTTTTCCCTTGTTGCGGTCTGAACCGAAAATGAAACATCTGTAGCATTGTAGAAACATTACGCTGTTAACATTGCAATGATTTGCTTTTTGCTCAGCCAGTCATCTTCAAACGGAGAATCTTACAGAAATACTCTGTTCACAGCAGAAAAAATTGACATTTTAAAGGGTCTTAAGAAGTCAGTGGTAAAAACTCCGGATTTTACCGTCCTATGATCCTGAGAAATAAGTTTCCCTAATAAAACGATGAATGCTCAAAAAATGATAACCATGATCAACCAGGGATATTATTAATCAATCTTCATTTTTGATACCTATTTTTTTTTTTTCATTCATAACCGTCTGTCATGGAAAATGCCTAAATTTTGGAGAACTCAAAATTCATGTAAGTAATAGTACAACTGTCGCAAAAATTTTTAATGGACATTTTGAGCCAAGAAACTCAAAATGTCAAAACAAACAGGAGACCAGGGTTTTCGGTGGTCTGAAAAACATGGAAAATCAGGGAATTTACAGGGACCTGGACAAGTCAGGGAATCTTATGAGCAGCGTTTTGGCTCAGCAACTGCATCCAGTGTTATTGGGAAGACTGCAAACAACTCCAGAGTGTCTTTTTCCTTAATTTGAATCTCTAGAAGTGGGGATTTCGTCCACATTTAACAGAGGACATCGTAATTAAAAGAAAAAAATGTGAGTTGAAATTTTGATTGAAGATAGAGAAAAGTCAGGGAATCTTAAATTAAAGAAATCACAGAAACTCAGGAGTCATTGACAATAAAATAATGTATAATATTGTAATAGTGTGATTTACATATATCTTACATCATATTTTACCTCTTTTTAGGCGTTCAATAAAGAAGAATGCATGAGTTTACTAGATCAAGAAAAGGCAGATCTGACAAGTCTAGATGCTGGTGAAGTCTTCGTCGGTGGTCGTTATCACAGTTTAGTCCCAATCATGCAAGAAGTTTATCCAGGTATAAACAGCATAAAATACATTCCTTTAAATTTATTAAATGTCTGTATAGATCTTAACAAGGGTGTTAATTGCTCTTCATTGCGTGACAGCCTGGTGCTTCAGCATTGCTGAAGCACCCCTATAATTTTGGAATCTGAGGAGCTGTTTTTACATAGACAAAAATTGGAAGTTATTTTGCGCCCTTTTTTTCTGCTGCAAACTTTATCACCTACTTACATACTTAAGACCTGTTGTACCATCTTGACATTGTTATAATTTTAAGAGAAAAAAAGTTCAGATTAAGTTAACCAATAACTAATGTCACTTGATCAAATTTAGCTATCAAAATATCAGGTCAGGCGTTGTGATTGGCTTATTCGATGACTTGGACCAATCACAGCTCTTGACCTTGATATATTGATAGAACAGTTTGATGGTGGGACAAAAGCTCATTCCAGAATCTAAGAAATCTTTTACCGTGAAAATGCTTCAGCCATTTTTACATGCTCTCTCAGTTCACCAAATTATCTCCTATTTCAGTTTGATGATTACCTTTTATGCAATTTTACACTTTCCAGAAAACATGCGGCACTTTTATTCTGTGGCGGCTGTGAAGAAAGGATCTCTCCCAGATGTGTACAGCATAAGAAATTTGCGCGGTAAAAAAGCTTGTTTTGCAGGTGTGGGTACTTTAGCAGGTTGGGTCATCCCTGTTCATGTTGTAAGTATTTTTCAATTTTGTAATGTTAAAGACAAGAGGTTTTTTCTTCTTTTCACCTTTTTCTCACTAAATGCTTTTTCAGTAAGAAAATTTTCACCTGCTTAAATTCATAATTCTCAGGCCTCTTTAAAATCTCACTTATAATTTTTTTAACTAGGTATGAATACTGCAAGTGTCTAGAGATTATCAGTACCCCAATTTTTGTCAGATGCTGAAAAATCTTGTGCATATAATACCTGGGAAAAGAATTCCTATGCGTCTACAAAGCGTATTGCAGTTTTTGCAAGCAAAACGAATAAATCAAATTGGAGTCATGGGGTTTTGAAGTTTACAGCTCAGAGAACACTTTTAAGTCAAGGTATATGAAATGAAAATAGCTTCCAAAGTGTGCTAAAAATGTGATTTATCTCAGCAAATCCAGGATGGAAATGTTTTGCATTAGTCAGATAAGAATCACTAATCAGCAGATACCTTGAATCTTTAAAGTTAAATGGTGCAGACATCACGAACGTCAGTCTGGTAACACTGCAAGTGTGTGTTAAAGTTTTAATTCATGAAAATTAAATTAATGTCCGCAAATAATAACTTACTGTTTGAATTCTATTTTTAACAGTTAATGCAGCATGGTGGCATGGAAATAATAGATTGTAACAATCATGTGAAGTCTACAATCAATTTCTTCGGCCCGAGTTGCGCTGTGAACTCATTGATTGATAAGTACAATCCTATCGGTAAGTATCCAACATCCAGGTGTTCTTAAAATCAATTGAATAAGTTTCGTTTTAAATATTGTTCCCAACCCGGTGTAAAATTTTTTCTGCTCTATTCACTAAAATTTCTGATTTTCCTCTCGAACGAGGCGTTGGGTGAGAGAATGGTACCTCTAAGTTGTGGTGTTTCAAAATCTTCCTTGAAATGTTAGCTGAATAACCTTCATGATTCTACAGTATTCTGTGTAAAATATTTCAGAAAAATCAGTCATTAAATTCGTATCTAATAAGTATATGAATTATGAACAGAGATTCTGAAACAACGCAACCAAGAAGTGCCCATCTGGGACTCAGGGTCTCAATTAAGCATGTGGTTTTTCATACTTTGTGTGAATACTTCACACATATCAGACATTCACTGCATTTTTCGGTAACCATGTGTCAAAACGGGAACTGAGGATAATGATTCGTCAGTTTCTCTGATCTCACTCAATTTGGACTCAATAATCAGGTTGTTTCCAATGCTGTGGCCTTAAGTTTCACAATAGTGTCTACAACACTGAAAATTTTTAGTTTTTGTTCACTGAATTGCTCAAACAATTGTGTACTATTTAATTATTGTCAAGTTCATGTTTACTTTTTTTTTTTCAGGGGATAACTCTAATAAGTTGTGTGACATCTGCATTGGAAGAATTCCTGGCGAGCGCTGCACTGCAGCCGACCCATATGCTGGTTTTGAAGGAGCTTTCAAGTGTCTAGTCGAAGCTGGTGAAGTCGCATTTCTTAAGCATACTACAATTACTGAGATGACCGCAACAAATCTGAATTTCCGTAAGTCATATTTCATTGATTTTTCCTTTGATAGTTTTGAATCAGTATTTTTTCTCTACAAGTAAAAGTCTTGTTTATTTTCTTTTTTTCCTTTGAATGCCTCAATCCTCATCTCTCATTTTTTTGCAATATCTAATTACAAAATTGACTGTGGTGGATGAACGGGTCGTAAGACAGTATGTTGGTTTTTTTTTGCCAATGTGCATTAAAAAATTCAGCGTAAAGCTGAAAATCCCAATACAGCGGGAAAAAGCTCATATGAGCACAATTTTCCCTCCAAGAGATATTGACGGTGTAAGTCCACAATCACATATCTCATTTGCAGTGTCTGAAAATCTACGCCTCTATGTTATTTCTTTAAAGGAGAACAAATTAACATCATTCTTTGAAGTTTTTGCAGAATTTTCTTCGCGCAGGGAAGAAAAATCACGGCAGTTTTAAAAAATTGCTGTTGAGTAGTTTTTTGTTTTAAAAATAAAGTATGACAGGAAGTCTATGACATCGCAAACGGAGCTATGTGATTGCCAACTCACACCATCGATATGTGGTACAACACTAGTAACATCCATTCAATTACACTCCTTTTCAGCTTTATGCTGAATTTTTTAACGCTTGTTGGCAAAAAACTCCAACATAATATCTAATGCTATGATTTATGTTGTAAATACCTGAGTACAACGGATAATGGGCCATGCTCAAGATTTCCTCCTTTTCCTCTATTACAGTNAGGTAAGGCTTTTATCAGCTCATCATCTGATCCAATAATTTTAATTGTGGCATTTCATTCGGCATGTCGCCGCACGACTTCTATGATACTCAAAGTCTCACATATATAATTTGAAAGGGGGGGGTCTGGGGGGGCGGCGCCCCCTCAGCAGGTAGCTTTTGCTACTTGTTATTTCCTTTTTGCGCTTTCCCATTGTCTAACAAACTTTAAATCTGCTCTCCTCCCTTCTTTCTTCTCAAGTATGTACTGTACTCTGAGAGAAGAGTTCGTGTTCCTGTGATTTTAGGAACATTTCTATGAGCACATAGTTTTATCAAACTTCTTTAGTAACGTGTCTATATTTATATTTTATTTAATCTTCATCTTTCAGTCCAAAATTATTTTGTACTGTATCTTTCAGTTTCAATTTTAAATTTTTGTCAGTTTGGATGATTTGAAATCAATTGCTCAGATATTTACTCGTTCATTTACAGTTGGTGTCAATCCCGACGAGTTTGAATTACTATGCTTAGATGGCTCTCGTGCTCCAGTGAGTGAGTATCGAAACTGCAACTGGGGCGCATCTCCCTCGTTTGCTGTTGTCACAACGTCAGCTAAAACTTTTGAAATTCGTCAGAAGTATATCAAATTTTTACAGGTATTTCTACTCAAGTCTTTACATTTCTTTCCTGAAAATAATTTTTGTTGGTATAGAAATTTCAAAAAATACTCATATATCAAGTTTCTCTCTTTTCTTTGATGCAAGCTTAGACAATGCATTCCATTAGATTGATGTCTAGATGAGTCCAGTTGATTTTTGTCGTAGCTCTTCCGATGTAAGGGCGTATGTATTTTTCATTGTGAATCCTAGAAAGAATTTAGTCATATAGACTTCAGGGCTCACAGGAAAATGTAGATACACCCTTCAGTTAGAGGAGCATCGCTGTATATACTTGCATTGGGTTACGCACAATGATCAAGATTATCAGGGAGCCTTGAAGCTTAGGGTATCTGCTCAAATCAATCAGTCCCTTTGAAGCATTTGATGGCATAAGACGTATCAGTGATGCCATGATTTTAACTGAAATGTATTACTATAAATGAAACTTGAAACAAGACAGATAATATCTTGAAATTTTGTGGGAGGTATCAAAAGCAAATCAATTTTTTGGGGCTTCTTTCCACTTCCAGTATAAACAATGCAACCAAAAGATGGTAAGGCAATCAACTCTCTTGAAACATTGTAGGATATATGAAGGTCAGTGATACTGTCTCATTTCATATTTGCCTTTGTTCAATTCAATTTTACTTACGGTAATATAAAAGTATAGATCATTGCTGTGTTTTATGATTGTAACTTCCCTTTGTACTGCTATCAATGATATAAATTTTCTCTCTTTTTTTTACACAGAATGCAGCAAGAACCTTTGGTGGAGAAAAACCTACAGAGTTCTTTTATACAACATCATCAACAACCACACAGACATATGATTGGAATCAAGACTTCAACAACCCGAATTTCAACCAGCCTTCAGAAGCCACCATTCCCAACACTTATTCTCAAAACAACAGATTCCATCTTTTCTCTTCGGCGCCATTTTATGGCACCCGACACAACCTCATGTTCCAGGTAACTACAGACCCAAATTTTTAGTTGCTTAAATTGTTGCATTAGTATCTCTCTTTTTCTACATACCAGTGTAGTCTTCAAAATTGTTTAATGCTTTTAAAAATTGCAATGATGTAAACGTAGATCATTTTATCATTGAAATACCTTAACAAAGCAATCAATTGTTGTACAAAATAATTTTTTGTTTGGTCACACTACCCATGTAAGAATTCTTAAGAACACAATCGTAAATTCGTCAAAGAATCATTGATATATTTTGGACAGCAAGGTGAAGTCGACCGATAACTCTGAATCGTTGGCTCAAAACTAACCCAGCATAGCAAGGACAGCTCTGAGCCATCGATTCAAACTTTGCCCAGTGCAGTGTAGCCGGTTCTGAATTGTGAGTCAAAAGAAATTTTTGTGATCTTTTATCAATACTAAAGCATTGAATGTTTTTTGTTTTTTTTCCAAGGATTCAACAATGAAACTAGCTCCCCTTCAGGAAGCAGATCAGACATACTCGGGCTTCCTTGGTCCAACTTTGGAAATAATCATGGCTGTCCGTGACTGTCCTGTGAAATCTATGCGTCTCTGTGTCACTTCTGATCCGGAAATGGAGAAGTGCATCAAAATGAAGGTGAGGAACAATCATAAAAAGCACTAAAATTTGAGCACTGAAACAAGATCTATGCCCCTTCCAATTTTGTATGTGTCCCTATTTAATGCATGTTACATGCACTGAAACTTTGCCGATAAGTCTATTTTCAAACAGTTGATCTATTTCAACCGCTGAGTTACTTTAAAGTTCTATCTTCATTTTTTCCACCATTGTAAGAGACTGTCTTTGGAATTTATTCGCAATGCAGTTGTTTTTCTGGATTACCTTGAGCCTCGATGGGTCAGGGAGAAATTAAAGCCCTCGCAACATTCATCCTAAACTTCCCTGACCAATATAACTTTTGCTGCTCTAATATTAGTAATCCAGAAAATGAAATGAAATTGGAGTGTTTAAAACATCTGTATTTTTTTCTTTTCTTAAGTGCAAAATTGGAACAGCCTCATATCATTTTGTGAAAACCATTTTCTCTCATCCCGCCTTTTAGTCCTTTGATATCAGTCCATCCAAAATGTTTATCTGTTAACTCTTTTTTAATTTACATTTCCATGGTCCCAATAACAATAATTAAAAGAAAACCGTACAAAAGAAATGTCAAAGCAAAAAAAAAAACATAAATTACAAATCATTCGTAAAACAAAGGACCATTTCTCTCTTCAATTCTAAAAAATAAAACTGGACTGTGAAATAGATGTCCCTGAATTCATTTTATAAATCACTCCGTTTAATGATCGCAGATTTTTCTCTGAAATAGTGATTTTCAAAATATACACTAAATAGCTTCATTCTGACATTTCTCTTACAGATCGCATTGAAAGCCCAATTGCTGAAGCCAGAAATGTCGTGCTATAAAGGTCACAGTCAAATCTACTGCATGAAAGCCATTCAAGAAGGGTAAGTAGTCGAAAATTATTCACACTTTTTTTTCGAGTCTTATGGGTAGTGATGGATTAGATGGATTTCACTAGAGTCAGCTTAACTACATCTGAAAGGACCCTGCAAACCTCTGGGGGTGTGTGCTATGATCGATTTTCAATTTTTTTATTGCATTTAACTCATCGATGAATGCTGATCAAAAGTCATCATTGCTTCAACTTTCTACAAGCTACCATTTTTGCACAATTCGCAAAATTTTTAAGCAATTTTATGATCTGAAAATTTGAGCTCTTAGAAAAAGAAGAAGTTTTTGAAAGGTCACCTCCAGTGAAAACCTGAGTACATTAGCTTATGTCAATAATTTTTGTTTTCAGGTTAGCAGATGTTGCTGTTTTTGATGCAGGAGATGTCTACACAGCAGGATTGCATTACAGCTTGGTGCCATTTATCTCTGAAGTGTATAATCTGGGTAAACCGGAGTATTACGTAGTTGCTGTTGCTAAAGAAGAAGATCCAGACACAGAGTTGACTTACTTGAAAGGTGAATATCCACACAAACTCATTTTATTTCTTACGAATGGACCTGTTTAAAACTTCTGCTGGAGTGAACAGAAGAGTTCCTTATTATTAAATAAAGTTGCTGAAAATAGATATTTTCATCATCAAGTCTTTTTTCTTTTTTAGGTAAATTCAGTTGCCACCCTGGAATCTATACTGGTGCTGGATGGATAATACCACTCGCGTACTTAATCTCCAATGGTTGGATCAGACCTTACGGCTGTGATTCAATAAGAGCAGCTGCTGAATACTTTACAAAATCGTGTGTCCCTGGAGCGATATCACTCGAATACAATGATGGTGTCCCGTATGATAATATGTGCGGACTTTGCCATGGTGCCAGTTACAGATACTGCAAACGAGATCATTCAGAAGATTACTACGGCTACACTGGTATGTTTTGTTGAAATTTCTTATTTTTTGTGAAGAATAGCCTCAAACAGGGAAAGAGAACAGAAATTAAGCTTGTGTAATTGGGAGGAAAGTATCCGACAGTCATGTATGGACTTTAACTCATTTATTATTTTACTAAAAGGTAAAAAAATTCTTGTCTAGTTTTTATCCCTTTAAATTCCGCGGAATTTTAACAGCCCTAAAATTTCTGAATACCCGTCTTTAAAATGGTGTTTTTTCCTCATTTAAAGTTTGGCAGCAGATAAATTTCCTTGATGTCTCAGAAAACAGGTGAAAATTTTGTTTCAGTCAAAATATATTTGTAATTTGAGAGCTAGTAATAGTCATACATCAGGTACTCACTGAGCATCCGTTTGTTTGTTTTTCTAATGTTGAAGTAAAGCAATATAGTGAAGCAAGAATAATAACTTGAGACAAGATCAAAATTAAAGATAACATTTGCAGAATGCCTTTATAAATTTTTGTCCCTTTTTTTGGTTCTAGGAGCACTTCGGTGTTTGGTAGAAGGAGGTGGTAACGTTGCGTTTGTGAAACATACGACTGTTTTAGAAGTTACGGATGGAAAACGAAAAGAATGGTGGGCCCGGAATACATTGAATGAAGATTTTGAACTCCTATGCCCAGATGGTAAGTTTATTTCTCATCCTTTTGTTTAGTTACCATGTGGAAAAAAAATGTTTCAACATTTTTTGAGAAACTTACTCTTTGCATTAGAAGTATTTTTAAAAGAGATCAGGAAAAGCATGTAGAAACTGTAAAATCGGTAGGATTTTTATTCAAATTTGCTCCGGTAAAAATGAGCGTTATTTCTTAACCTCTGTAATTTTTATTTATTGAGAATGTTGATGAAGGAAATTCATTTTTTGTTTGAATATTTTCTTCTATGAATTTAGAAAATCAAGCCAGTACTGCTCAGAATTGCTTGGTAGAGAAGCTGCTGTTTTGAATATTTTAAGCAGGATATTATTTTATTCTGTGCAGTTTTCTGATTAGTTACCTTAAAAAAACCCTTTTTTTTCTCTTTTTTTTCTGTTTTTTTTTTGAGTCTCTGACAATTTATGAAGTCTTCATACGGATCAAGGTTTTGGTAATTGTTTTGTTTGAGTCCCTTTTTTTCACCAACATAGATTAAACATTGTTATGCCCCCCCCCCTCCAAAAAATCTCAAAACAGTGAATTATTTCAGCCTTCAATTTTTTTCCAAACTAAACTCAAATATGGTTTCTCCTCATGTAGGTACAAGATCAACAATTCAAGATTATATGCGGTGTAATATGGGCAAAGTCAAAGCAAACGCAATTGTGACAAGAGGGGGCAACTCCTATAATTTGACCGAACTCAACGCATACATAAATCTCTTTATCTATGCTCAGCAATTCTATGGTCGGAAGGATCAAGATGAATTCAAGTAAGTTTTGCTTTCCATTCACTTTTTTCAGTACCTATTTGTCTAACTCGTTAATTGCTGAAGCTCAGTATGACAAGTTTTGAAAAAGCAATCCTGGTCTTCACAAGGCAAATTAAACTGCTAAGATCAATCGTTAACAATTTTAGTCTCAGGAATCAGCCTGTGGTGCCAACGGAACATGATGAATGTTTTTCGAAAATATCAGGTGCATGAAAAAGACGTCTCACCATGGAAACTCCGAGTATAGGGCCCTTTGAGATCAATGTGTTAAAGGAAATTGAATAAACATTATCTCTTAAAAATTCTCCTTCATTCCATATAAAATAATTTGTGAAGAAACAAAATCCATTAATTTCTCTGCAATAAATTTGAACCAGCAGTGGAAATTTTGAATCGATGCAACATAGATACATGTTCTTCAACTTTGCGATGCATGCAGTTAAACTGAAAGAAACCAATTTTTCGAATGTATCCTCAGAAATTATGGAACTGCCATGAATTTTTCAATACCACTAAAGCGTTCATGGAAAAGTCCATGTACTGCGGAACCCCGATTATCTGACCTCCGCATTATTCGACACCTTGGCCGTGTTGCATTTCACACTCACTAAGATATGCAGTATGGGAATAAAACCTTTGCCTGCATTAGATTTGTCAGATTTTCAATAAATTTCAGAAAATTCCAAAATCACAGCGCAAAATAATACAATTCTTCACTTAGCAACATCAAGTAAGCCATTCTATACTGCATTTGTGTTCTTATTTGTAGCTTCTATTTAATTAATAGGTGTGTTTTAGGTTCGGAAATCGAGTTGGGAAGTACATCAGTTTATCTAAAATTTTCGGTATCCAACAACGCGGCCGCCCGTTATCGTCAAATAATGAGGGTTAAATTATACTTACCATTAGTTTCCTCTCGGCAAAGGTAGTCTAGTTGACAATATTTAGCATTAGAACTGGTAGTATCCTATACAGTACCAGCATAGTTCTCTCTTTATTTATTACAAAAACTTACCTGATTCCACTAGAGAATACCCATCTCATGATACTTGATCTTTTTTACAGTTTTGCCATGTTCTACTCAACGCCTCCGTACAGTGACCTCATATTCCAGGACGCCGCCCAGCAGTTAGAAATTATTCCCCCAGAATTACGATGGTATTCTGACTACTTGGGTCCTGACTTCATGAGAGCTAGGAGGATTGTCGACTGTCACGCAGGTGCCTCGCAGAGTGCTCCGTCTTTGTTGTTCATTTCATTTTGGGCGGTAGCTATTTTTGTGTTCTTTCAACGAGGAGGATGATTCTACTTTCGTAAGTCGAAAAATTCCTCCATTTCTATTTTTTTCCAATGACAATTGTAGATAACATGATTTAATCTCAGACTGGATCTGAACAGAGTAAGGACTGAAAAATTGTAATTAGCATCTTTATTTGGCATGAGCGGACTGATGCCTCACCATTCGATAGGTCCTAAAATTTTACTAATTCATTCATATTTGTTTAAGAATACTTTGCCACAGTTGGCTGTGAGGTTTACTGCACAAAGTTTATTTGATAAGACTGTGGATTTTTAAGTCATTGTAAGTATAATTTTCCACAAGGTTCTTTTTTCAAGAACGTGTGTTCATATGTAAATTATGTCCTGAGAGAACAAAAGGATTTCCAGTGAAAGTCGATGCATTGGATTTTTACTTTCGCATTATTCAAAAGTGTTTGTTTTAACCCACGTTTATACACAGCCTGTAGTATCTAAACTGAAAAAATCCATTGCCATACATCAGTATTTCCTTAGAAAGTTCATATAGGTCATATATTTTAATAAAAATGAATAGAAATGTATTTGAAATTTCCTCCAAATTGTGACTTTTTTTGACGAAGAATGGAGAGGTCATGAAAAAAATGTACATTATGTTTGCTTTATGTACATGAATTGCAGGAAAAGGTCATAAAATTCAACAACATACTTCAGGATTTTCATTCCAAAGGCTTTATAAACTATCGAAAGTTTTTATCGTTAAGTTTTAGTTGAGGTTACTTTGTATCATATTTTTAAAATTTTCAACCTTGGTCAAAACATGGCTGTATCACCATCAAAACGATAGAATTGTTAAATTGTACAAGAATGTTGCAGATTACAAGCACGCACCAAAATACCTGTAGAAAAAGTAATATTTTCTAATCAGTGTTTGTAATAATATCTTTTCGGTAGCATGAAGTCTGATGGCTGATCAATAAAATTAGTAAGATATAAATTTTCAGGATCCTCTATCCTGGGTCAGTTTCATACTATAAGCAGACATTTCAAGGAATATGCACTTATGCACAAATATGGCCGCCTTTATTCTGTTAGTTTTGTCTGTCCCCAAATTCTTCTACTCTTCCAAGTCCAATTTGGATTTGTAGAATAATCCATCATGCATTTCAGTACCTTTGACGACACTGATTTTTGTGAAAAAATAACAAAGATTTTCATGCATGAAACGTTGGGAAGTTCAAACAACACTGACTCTTACTTGAAGAATTATACCAGTTTCAATTGACTATTAAAGTCTTTGAAAGGCGCACACAAAGTCCATTGTGCTGTCTAATTGACAGCATGACTTGCTATCATCAGGACACAAAGCTGAAATTGAGGTTAATTTGGCGCTACCTGTGAGAAGGCTGCCTGCCATGCTAGCTGCTCTACTGTCTAATGTTCGGTACAAATATGCCTCTGAAGCATTTCTGCATTAATAATCCAAGTCCTTCTCAGCACTTAACACCCTTTTCTCTTTCCTCAAGGAAACCCTTAAAGCTCAGCCTCAAATGAAAAAAATCTGAAAGGAGGAAGATTGCTGTCTAGCTTGATTTTAAGTAAACATTTTTAATGTCATAGCATAGTTCTGAACCCACTTAAACGTACTTGTAAGGCTAAATTATTAAGCAAGAAAATGATTAGTTTAAGCAGGCCACAAGTGCAATATTGTCCCCTTTTGAATTGGTTTCTGTAGATTACTTTTTTTAGTTGCAGCCTGATCGAAAATGCTGGTGAAATGTTGCTACGTAAATCATACACAATGAACCACCAGACAAAGTCTGACGGCAAAAAAAAGTCCCATTCTGTGGTCCAACAGATATTTTTGTCAGTAGATAGATATTTTTGTAGCAGCTTTGTTCCAGAAATTTGCCCTGAGTTCTTTTGTCCCTCCTTCTTGTATGTATGAAACAAGTTGACTAGGTTATTCATACCATAATTATCTGAATTTATGTCTCAAACCTCACAGACAACTTGTAATTTTCATGCACTATTGACACCGTAGCAACTTTCTCTGGTTACAGCTAAAAAGAATACTCCTGCAGATATCTCTCGGTGTTGGGTGTCCCAGAACTTTTTAGTATTTAGTTAATGATAGTATTCACAGATTTAGTCATTTCTGGGTTGTACATGTCACAGGTTTTGAAAAGGAATAGTAATCAGAAAAGGGCGCAATTTCCTTGAGAATTTTTACCATTATTTTACCTCGTACGAAAACAATTAAGTAGCAAAAAAAAAACTAGAAAAGATGGCAAAATAATTTGTTTTTGAAAAGTTCCTTGGAAGGATCTCAACATCATTTTATTTTCAAAGAAAATCGAAACCTGCTTAGTGGTTCCTGAACCCTTGTAATTTTTGCTACTCCTACATTTTTTGTAACTCTTAAGGTAAAATCTTTCAAAGGTATGAAGCCCTTTGATTTTCACATCCTACCTTGTTTTGTCCCAATAGAAGTTGCATAATTATGGAGAGCCTGTAGCGCTTTCACAATCTTGAATTTGGTTTTTGTGAAGATCAATGCCCTTTTTTATCCCTCATCTCTGACGGTTTATTTTGGTAAAATTCTCTGGATTTTTTTCATTACAAGCTCATAAATTCACACTGAGACTGTACCGAAACTGAGTTTTTTCCTGTTTACGCAGTCGATACATGACCACATGCTGTGTGGTATTATTATTTTTCCAGCTGCTAAGATGCAGTTCATGACATCAAACAAAAATTATACTTACCGCAAATCTTATGAGCACCTAAACTGCATGGCTAATCAAAAATTTGCTCAAATGTAGGTAAATGGAAAAGAAATTGAAGAGAATTTTTTTACGTAAAAAAGTTTTTCAAGATTTTTGAAAAGTGTTATCAGCTCAGAAGGAGCAGATACTTAATTTGAAATGTAACCTACAATATTTACACAAATGTGTAATATGATCAGCTTCAGTTTTCGTTTCCTTGAGGATGAATTGTAAATAGTTTTGTTTTTTAAATTTGAATTTTTGTGTTGATTCTTGATCAGATATTGTTAATAAGTTATTGTTCATGCCCAGTTTTATTTCGCAGAATTGAATGCAAAATCCTATCACTCATAAACAATTTTTTCAAAGCATCAAGAACTTATGCATCTTCTTTTCGACTCATTAGTTATAATTTTTTTTATTTGTATAGTTCGAAGAATTTATATATTTCTTTTGATTTGCTTTTATATTTTTTCATCATGGTATTTTAATTTAATTTAATTTTAAATTTAATTGATGTTTTACATTTTACAAGATTTTTTTTTCTCAAAGCTGTTATTATTGTAATGATAGATCCTTATTTGAAGATTCAAATACTCCTATTTACAAACGCTATTAGATCTTACATGTTTGTGCTTTTTTAGCTGACAAAGTAATCAATGAAAATTGTTCCAGAAAAAATTACTTAAAACTCGAGTTTTTTCACACTCAGAAGTAACTCAATGATGATAAAAATTTGTTGAACTTTCTTTATTTCCTTGTGTCTCTTTGAAGTTGGTCTTTAAAGCTCAGAGGTTTTGTCTATATCTTGTTTCTTCTTATCTAGGAGGAAATAAGTCTTGGGAATCAAACTGGACAGATTTTAACAGAAACGCACCAACCTAGAAAAAGAGGCTTGAATTTTTATTTCTCCATGAGACTCAACGTTAAAGATAAAGTTTAACAGTTACTTTCTCCTTAAAAATAGTTTCTTACTCTGAATTTTTCACAGGAGAAAACTTACGATCAGTTGAATTCAAAACTACTCCAACAGTTCTCTCTTTTAGGCTCTTATTTATCCCAGAGAGTTCCAATCTAAAATATTTTCACTCGAGAAAATTGAATTGAATCTCTCATTTAGACAATTTTTACCAGAATCTCATTTTTGTTAACTTGTGTTCCACTAAGTTTACCATTCTCCTGCAAACACTCCGTCCAAAGCTGCTGTTTTTAATGTTGATAGCAGTTCTTTCATTCAATTAAAAATTTTTAAGCTAGTTTGTATGTGATTGTACATTCCTAAGATTATTTAAGTAAACAAATGCCTTGTAATTTATATTACCGCTAAGACGTCCGTCCAATTGTGCAGCTTTTAGTGCCTATACTTAAATTTATTTATTTTACCAATTTTTGAGGATTCTTTTTACTACATGTTGTCGCTCTTCTGATGTTAAGGCATACCCCATTGAGTTAAATGGACATTAGGGCTCATGTGCAAAGAACTATATACCCTTACGTTTAAGGAGGGACGATTTGTCTTATTTGTACAGATTGCATGTTTAAACCTTGTATTATTTTTTGTATTTAAATTGCCTTAGCATTTTTGTGCTTTCATGTGCACAATTCTCGAATCTTGCACATTTGTTTCTTCCTGTTACATTTAGTATTATGTGCCTTGATATTGTTCTACAGATAGATCTTTCAACTCGGAACTTTTCTCCCTCAATCAAATTTTTAGTTTCTCCAAAAGTAGGCCACTTTTATTCTTACACTACTCATTCATAGAAAAGATAAGAAAAAGCTGCCTGCCTTAATTGAAGCAATTTATAACCTTAGAAATAAATAAATAAAAAAAAAATATGTTGCGAGCAAACATGCAAAGGCTCTTCTGCTTCCACATTAAGTATCAATTCTGTGTAGAAAAAGTCAGTCATGAAACCTATCGTTCAACGACTGGAAATGTTTTTGGAGCTCAATTTAACCTAGTTAGGTTATATTTTGGTCCAGTCCTGGTCAAATTGTTTCATTTATATACATGAAATCTTGAACTTATTCTTTGTTCCTTTGAGTTCAAGTCCTATGAAGCCTTCTGAACACATCAAGCTTTCAAATTGGGATTTACCGTTTGCCACTGAACACAAAATCGGAGCTAAAAAGTGAATTTATTGAATACATGTTTTCCTTTGGAAATGTGGCACTGCTACCTTGTCAGGTTGTAAGGCAATTTGTCCATAAGTCAATGCAACATTGCACTGCAATCTGATATTATTTCAAGTAAAATTAAGCCCTCTTGATTCTCATTTCATTCATTTAAATTTGTTGCTGAAGTCTCTCAGCACTCCAAAGGAACTCATGCTTATTGTTACTCTTATCTTTTTGGCAAGGAGGAGAGAACTGTCTTTTGCCACTGATCTGATAATGCTGCAATATTTTCTTCAGAAAATGTGTAAAACTACCAAAAAATTCACTTTGCAGCCCCATTTAAAAAAAAAAAAAAAAAAAAAAAAAAAATCAGTTTCAAGTACTAAGTTCAGTTCTCAAAATCCTCGCTCAGAAAGTTATAAAAGACATCATAATGTATCATAACTATGAAATTTTGCCATAGCTGAATTCATTTTTAATTTATTAAGTATCCTTTCTTTGATGATCACTCACACAACTTTATCATTTTAAATGTTGAGGATGAGAATAAAACGATGCCTTTCCCAAGAATCAGTAATTAAATCAGTTACCATGATAAAATAATAGAAAATTCCCATTTACTTGGAAGTGCATGAATTCGTTGTTTGCAGGCAGTTTATATTTTATGATGCAGACTTCAGGATTACCGTTACAAAATTGTTTCCGTTATTGGTCACATGAGAATGACTTCATCTGTTCATTGGATTTATTTACTTCTTTTTTTGTACTTTTTTTACGAAAATAAATTAAAAAGTTTTAAACATTTATATTTCATTTCCTTTCAAGTTCCTCTCTATTACCCTCATTAAAAGGGAATTGATTTTGGAAGAAGATTTAGCCCCTTCAAGACTTACTGTCAGTGACAGGCTAAGTGCAAAAACTCGAAAATGGACATCTAGGCAAGATGCAAATTTAAGCACTATGATGTATGTTTACTCATTAAAATTTCATGTAGAAAAGAAGGTTCCATGGGGCGGGCATCCCCCCCTCTCTCCCCAAAAATTTGTGACCTTATGTGGCTACCCAATACCCCTTGACTCCCATGAAGACTGAAAACAGGCCCATGGCCCACTACAGACAATTTTGAACTACGCTTATGACTACCTACCCTGATATTCGCGCATACTGATAGAGATAATTTTATAATGGATAAAGCAAAATCATGCGAATTTTATGCACAGTACCTACTCCTTATCAGTTAAAATGAAGCATGGAAGGATTCTGGTTTCATTATGGATGCAGATTTTTCTTCAGACCCAATATTGAATTTCAAACATCACCAGAGAAAGTTGCGACGAGAAAATGAGTCAAAAAAGTGGTTCAACGGCTGGATTGCTGGAGCTTGTTCTCTGGATAAAAATAAGAATTTTTTTCTTCGAAAAGTGCCCTCGCTGTCAGAGCTATGCCCCATTGCCCCCGCCCCAAATCTCGGGAATACTATACTGTCGTCATTTCAGAATTTTCGAGATAAACATGGGCCAGAACTTATGAAAAATGGCTACTCTTTACAATTTTTAGCCCTTAATTCATTCATGACCCCAAGAATATCTAAGTCACATGATGAAGGGACAATTCAGGGAGTTCCATGGGGTGACAAAGTTTTTTCCTTGTAACCTTTTCTCCTCCTCTTAGAGATTCCCTTTTGACGCAAGATTTGGATATTTTTGAGACCACAAATAAGCTCAATGCTAAAAACTATGCAGGGTTGTCATTGTTCACAAGTTTTGATTTAAAACCACTGCTAAAAATCGGACACAGTTGGGTATGATTTTTCGAAAAATTTGGGGGATCATAACCTTAAATGGGAGAATTTTGGAAAAAAAACTTTTCAGAAGAAAAAGAAATTTTTTTTTACCCATAGAGCGTATAGGTTGGCCGCTTAATCAAGAGACACCTCGAAGTGAACTTTCAATGCCCATCAACAAAGACACCCCCCCCCCCCAAAAAAAAAAATAAATAAATAAAAAACGTTATAGGAGTGGAATAGTGACTCAAAATCGAGGAATTTTGGTGCCAATATTTGGCAACCCTAGTTTTTATTGCGCACCTTGCTTATCTATTTTGGAGGCCATGATCCAATTTCGAACTGACTCAACGAGATCGGGTTAAACTGGCGAGGGGCTTGACATCCAACAGTCGCGAAATTGGCACACGTCCATTGTTTATTAACTTTCCTTCCGAATCCACAACAACATATCAGCTAAATGCGCGCTCCAAAAAAGCGACTCAAACCACAGCTTACTTCCTTGTAGGCATGTGCAGATTTGACTGCTTACCGCAGCGAGACATTTAACATTGAAATGAAAAGGGGAAAACCCCATGGAAACTTCTCTCCGAAAGGCTACGTTCTCAACGAGTTTGTATTCACAGCGATGAAGGAGAGAGGTCCCTGCATGATCGCCGATTAAGGTGATTCGTCAAGCTTTCTGACGTGGTCGAACTGTCGTGCGATGTATCGCATCAATTAGATAAAAAATCTCGGCAGATTTATAATTAGCCAAAATAAGGACGGAAGCCCCTGCGCCCCAATCTTTAAAAATACAGCCTTTCTAATCGCTTTTCCTGGCCAAATAGCTCACAGTCAGTTCCGGATTATCCGCGAATTTTTAACTATACGCGAATTTCGATTCCACGCGAATTTCGATTACACGCGAATTTCGATTGCACGCGAATTTCGATTACACGCGAATTTCGATTATACGCGAATTTCAATTATCCGCGAGTTTCGAATATCCGCGGTAACTCCCATCCCGATAACCGCGGATAATCGAGACTACAATATTTGCAAAAGTGAGAAAGGTAATTTAATCAATTGGACTACGTTTTGCAATTTGGAACTATAAATTCTAGCCCGGTTTAAAAACAACGTATGTGCCATCAGTTTCCCTGTGCACATAAGTGTTTTTCCAGAAGAGCCAGAATTTATAGGTCCAAATTGCAAAATGCAGTCCAATTTTATGCATACATACACATCCAATATTTATCTCGGAAAAAGACAAATCGCGCCAAAATTGCTTTTATGGTTTGTTTTGGAAGAAGTCCCCCCCCCCCCCCGAACCATTTCTTTTCGTACAACTAAAACTTATCAAAGTAACCAAGATTCTCCAACTTTGAGTGTTTTTCAAAAATCTTAAACGTTCCACTGCGACACTTCAGGAGGAGACAAATTATCAACCCGTCTGCTGCATGTAAAATGGTCATTACTTAAACATTCCTGAAAAGCCACTAGATTTGCCTTCGATTGATAATATAGGCAAAAATGGGTTCCTAAGAGCTACAATACTTAGTTGTAACTGCATCTCCCATGAAAAACAAAACATAGACGGACTGAAAATATTCGAAGACCTCTCCGGCTCATATTCACTCGTGCGGGCAGCAAAGGCAGTAGATTTGCCTTCAAACGACAAGATAGGCAAAATGGTTGCTCTGGAGCCCGAATAGTTGTGTTGTATCTGTATTTTACACAAAGACTAAGACGGTCGGAGTACGTGTACTTAAGGTGATTCGTCAAGCTCTCTGACGTGGTCAAACTGCCATTCGATATATCGCATCAATTAGGTCAAAAATTTTGACAGATTTATAATAATGTTAAACCGAAAAAGGACGATAGCCCCTGCGCATGAGCTTAAAAAATAATTTTAAACCAAAAAACTGGCAAAATTCAGAGAACTCAAAGCAGAATTCTGTTTGGGGAGGAAAACCTCGCATTTTATACAATTATCGATTTCTGTTTTTTATCCGCGATTTGTTTTTTCTAAGATAAATATTGGATATATGTATGCATATAATTGATCGCATTACTAGTTTCACTTTTGCAAATATTGTTGAGTCTCGATTCTCCGCAGTTATCGGAACCGGAGTCACCGTGGATATTCGAAATTCGTGGATAATTGAAATTCGCGTATATTCGAAATTCGCGTATAATCGAAAGTCGCGTATAATCGAAAGTCGCGTATAATCGAAATTCGCGTATAATCGAAATTCGCGGATAATCCGGAGCTGATTGTGAGCTATTTGGCCAGGAAAAGCAATTTGAAAGGCTGCACTTCATAGGATTCTATTTAAATACTTGTCAAGTAGTTGACAGAGATGTAATCATTGGTTAAAAATTAATAACTTTAACTTTAGGAAAGTTACTTTGGCAAACATTACTCCTGAAAGAAATTAGTGGTAGGAGATTGCGCCTTGAAATTGCAGCCTTTTTGCGTCAAAACCATCGAGAAAAAAACCGCGGATAGTCCGAATCGTGGATAATCAAAGCGCGAATAATCGCGACTCTACTGTATAGGTACCTAGAGTGACTTTATTACATTTTAAAAATACAACCTAACAACAAAAAGAGGGCTTGGAGGACAAGGCGCATAAGTGCAGTTTTTGAAAACATTGATATATTAATTATTTCAAGTAAAACTAGTCTTGAATGCATATTCTGTGAAAAATTCGCCACCAAATTCCAATTTTTAAGCATCAAAAAGTCAGTTTGAACTTTCTTCCTGCCATTAGGATCCATGCAATTTCGGAACTTCAAACACGCATTTCTCGAGATATAGTAAAAACTGCATTTATGCGCCTAAGTGTCCTCCAAGCCTCTCAAAACTTTCCAGATCGAGATAGTTTTCTTAGAGCTTCGAATTTTCAGGCACTTTATGAATACCGCCCTTAACTTCCCAGGTGATTTTTTCAGGAAAACGAAAAAGAGTGATCCAGATAAAATTCGTTGAGATGAGACTCGGCGCAGGGTGGCATGAAACGTAAGAAAGAAATGAAAGATTGGAAATTTCAGTGAAATATTTCATATTTTTCAGGGGCTAGAGTAGGCAACCCGCACTCGAAACACAAAGATAGAAGAAAATCACGATTTTTACAACCTTCGAAACATACAAAGGAACTTGTATTTTTCATAATCATTCATAAATTTCTGAAATTTCATGGAATATTTCACGTGAAATTTCAAGATTTTATTTTTCATGAAATGTTGCCTCTCTGACTCGGCGTGCAACGAGCGTGGCGGCAAACGCCCCCCCCCCCCCCCCCNCCGACAATTGCGGCAATTTTTCATCGCACCGGAAGGGGGAGGGGAGGAGTTTGCACATTAAAATCGAGACGGAACACGTCGGACAAAAATGCGCATACCATACCATACCTGTGGATGGATTTCGTTTGAGAAAGGGGATACGAAATCGAGTGAGGCGGATGTCTTCCTAACCCACCCCCGCCTCCTCCTAGAGAAGGCCGCAAAACTCGTGGGAAAAGTTGAGCGATCGGACCCGCGGAAAGGGATCCTAGCTCGCGCATAGAAATAAGCTCAAAAATAGCCGGGGCTCGGCCGTAGCCAATTTTAAAAGTCAGAGAGGGAGTAGGAGAACTTAATAATAGCACCGTCGCGACTGAGCTACGCCCCTGCCGCGATCATATCGGGCCCGGGAACCATCAAAAGGGAATTTTTTCGGGCGAAGAGAAGACAGCTTCTGATTGGTCGAGCTACGTGCCAAAGTTTAACACGTCTTGAAACAATCCTTATAATTATTCCGCCAGTCTTCTGTCGACCATAATACAGTAACAATGGTAAGTGCTCCTCTCTTAAGTAAGAATTCTACTATTGCTAAGGCCGATGTGAATCTTTTTCGCTGAAAACAAACGCTGACCACCTTCTGTAAAGTTTTCTCTTTTTTTTCGAAATTACCCCGTTCTGATTTCCGCCAGTGTTCACACGTTGCGAAGGATTACGTTGTTGAAGTGATTTTTTTTTCTATCTTTCCTTGGGAAAGTGCGTGTGTTTTTCGCAATTCTTGCGTAGTTCTCGTTCGGTTTCTTAACATAATAATGAAATTTGTCGGAGTATTAGTGTTGCATTGTTGGTTTTCTGATTTGTCGATATTTTCACTGGGCTCGGTTGGCTCTACCGACACCTGTTTAACCGCGCCAAATTTGAAATGGCGCGCCCGGATACCCCGCGCGCTAACAAAAAATTTCGCCAATACATTACTTAACCTAATTATGTCCGAATCCATTTCTGTGCAATGCGATTGCGGTTAAAAGGGTAAAATCGTGCTTTACTATTTTTAAAATGCGGGAGAAGGGATCGCCTCCTTGTATTACTCTGACTCACCCTAGGAAGACAGATAACGTGTACTTTTACTCCACGACATATTTTTCATACTTCATTTTTACTATTTCATTATTAGTGCTACTTGCACAAAGTAAAGATCAACACTTCCATCCGGAAGGTTTGTAAAATTGATATATATTTCCCTAACGTGAACGATTTATTCGTTTCTGTGATAAAAATAACTAAGGAAAATCCTGTTAGTTTCAGGGGTAAAATTGGATTCCATTTTGTGATTCGGAACTGTAAACACTTGTGTGCATAGGGAAACTACCGGTACATACGTTGTTTCGAAACTGAGATGGAAATTGTAGTTTCTAATTGCAAAATGTAGTCCAATTGCAGTTAGGGTACTCGGAAAGGCAAGAAAAGGCAAGCACAGGGTGGGATAAAAAAGCACATGAATATTCAGGTTGTTTACCATCAGTAAAGTTTTCTTAGGCAAAGCTAGTGGGTTTGCCCCCCCCCCTCTTAATAAATTTGTGATCAAAAGTGACTGTTGAATACCAGAAGCACCTAATGAAGGGTAAATGGGCCCCTGCCTCATACCCCCTCCCCTCCAAAGCTGCTCTTGCTTCGCTTGTAAAATTCCTACTAGAACTTAATCTGAATGCTGAGGAAATACATAATAGTGATGCAAAGGACTCCTATGATATCAGTTGGAGGGAGATAAAGCTTAAACATTTCAATACACTAAGAATTAAAAGAAAATCCGGAGATAAAGATTCCTATTACATGGGGAAAAAATTAAATATGTTTAAAAGCAGAATACATGGCATGCAGAATGTATGGATTTTTTTTATTTCGAGATTTTTTTAAAGGCTTAATCTTTGATATTCCCTCTTTCATTTCCTTCTGTATTTCCTCCTCACTGATAAAATAGAAGAGAAAATAACATACCCAATAAATTAGTACACAAGATTTTTTTTATGTAGCGGTGACAATTCTTCATGAGAGAGAGAAACAATTGATTGCCTTCAAATCAACAGGGTAATACTACCTACCATTCCAAGTTTAATGCAGAGCGTTTCACACACTTAATCACACTAAAGGGCATCTGCAAAAATGTGCAAGAGAAATCAGGTTTAGAGACCAGCGTTTTGTAGAAGATTCCTGTAGAAAACTATAATCTTTTTTCTTTAAATAAGTAGCACATCTACTAATATTTGCTGATTCCCAAAGAGGTTATTAGCACTAAATAAAATGAGGACTCCATAAAAATATTTGCTGACTACATTTAATTTCTATTAAAATTGCAAAATCAGATGATCATTCATCTTGATTTGCAATGTTTCAAAATTTCAATTTCCTCACACACTTCATTAAACGTAGGAAACTCAATGATTAGCAGGTGTGAAAACTATGTAAGGAATCTTCTTGGTTGTAACTAGAGTACGCTTTCCTATTTCATGTAAAAACGTTATTTTCTCTTTTAATACTCAAAATGGGAGTGAAATTTTTGAAATACCAAAACAGAGATGTGTGTTCTTCTTGTCACAGGACCTTTTAACTAGATACCTAATGAGTTTCAGAAAAAAATTCAAAATATTGATAAATTGATTTTGGAACCTGACTTAAAGTTTGAAATTCAAAATATTCTCCTATCTTATGATCTTCTTAATCCTCAGTTATGATACGTACCTATGCAACAATCGAAATTTGCCAAGTTCTTGCATAAGTGAGATTTTGCGGTTTTTCACTTCAAATTCCTTCACACGAATTTACAGAGGTCAGCGTGTGGATTCAGTGTAAATTGAGTGATGCGTCGCAGCTTGTTCTATAAATAGAAAACTTTCTTGAGCCAAAGCCAAGCATGTCTCTCCTATTTGGGTTATCCTCCAATCCATGATAGGGGGCCAAAAATAGACTTTACATGACTTCAAATAATTTGAACACACTTGTGCTTACATTTCATACTTTTGAGACATTTACCTTTGAACTTTTCAGAGATTGATATTCCACTTATACATACTCTAGAATTTGAAAGACATCTTTTTTGGAGAAAAAAGTAAATTAATTTAAAAAGTTGGAATGGAGTTTGCTATATATTAAAAAAAAATGGTTTAGAACTGAAATTGATAGAAGCCTAATTTTTTACTTCTTCAAACCCAAAAATAAAAGGTTGATGATGTGACTGGTGACAGGAAAAAAGGGCTTTACTTTCTAAAAAAATTTTCCAGAGGAGAAAAAGAAGTTTAAGTGAGAATCATTAGAACAGTAGCATATCAATGGCTAAAGTCGGAAAATACATATCTCCAGTTACGACATCGTAAGTCTTGGCTCATATTTTATTTTTTTCATGGAAAACTAAACGACAATCTCTGCTGGAATTTTTTATAAATTCCCTTCAGTCATTCTAAGAAAATCACTTGAAATAGCGAGGAAGAATTTTGTTTAATTTTCCTTGAAGAATAAAACATTATTAGAAATTTAAACTTATACCTTGCAATCGAGGTACACATTTTTTCCTACAGACATCTAGTATGCACAAAAACATTTTCGAAAAAGTTTAGCGCGTCATCTGCCCTTATGGATGAAAGAGGAATTTTGCAATGAGAAAGGTGTCAGATAGCTAAAACTTAAACAATTTGATTAGATTTCCCCCGAAATTGCGTATTTTTCTTGGAACAACCCTAGTAAAAGTGAGTCAGCCTGACGTCTGGCTATGTTTCATAAACTACCCTGAGTCTGACTGATTCAGGCTGACATCAGTCTGGCATAAGTCTGAAATCAGCCTGAATCAGTCTGACTCAGCCTGGCCATAGCCTGACGTCAGGCTGATTCACTTTTACCAGAGAATCGACTTACTCCACAATCTAGCACGATAGAATTTAGACATTTTAGATATTAGAAACATCACTTCTTGCAGAAAATGAACTGAAACTTTGGGTGTCTTTTTACAGGCGGATAAGGAAAAGAAGACTAAGAAGAAGAAGAAGGAGGAGCCGAAAGAGGAGGCTCCCCCTCCAAAGGAACCAACTCCACCCCCGCCAGAACCAGAAAAGCCAGTGTCTGTAAAGAAGAAGAGTTCCTCAAAGAAAGTTAAGAGGTCCGGCAGTAATGTCTTCTCTATGTTCACCCAGACTCAGGTCGCTGAGTTCAAAGAAGTGAGTTTGATTACTACGGAATTTTAAATTTATTATTCTGAAAATTGATGTATCATCGACCCTTTCTTGATACGGCTATAGGAGCAATCAATGAATTTGCTTTAGTTATGCATCTCAACCGAATTGATTTTTTACAGCAGAAAGTGAATGTATTGCTCCGTTTTGAAGTTGCCAGATCTGCCTGTATTTATAGCATTTATGGCATCTGTGCAAGCGGATGAAAAACCTAAATGAAATACGTAAAAAATATAATCTGAAATGAGATTTAGCAATGCACACAATGTTGCAAACAATTCAGAGATAGGGCAATAGCCTTATGTCCTTTTGTAAGAAATTGATTTTAATAGAGAATCATTTGAAAATTATGGAACACATCATAAGGTGGGTAAAATATCAAAATATACAAGGACGTATCAGAAAAAAAAAGTTAACGATGATATCAGTTTCGACTGTATGATTAAGAAAACTTAGATAAAATTTCATCCATTAAGGTGAAAAATCTACAGATCAATCACTTGATAGGCATATGTTTCCTGCTGATTCTTAACTATGATTGAACTATTTTCACGCATTTTTTTATCCTTTAAGCAACTTTTTTCCACATCTTAAAATCTGATTGAATGTTTCAGGGCTTTGCTTTAATGGACCACGACAAAGATGGTATCATTGGCAAGAACGACTTGAGCCAGACCTTTGACCAGGTTGGTAAACTCGTCAATGAGAAGGAATTGGACGCCATGTTGGAAGAAGCTCCCGGCCCAATCAACTTCACCCAACTGTTGTCTCTTTTCGCCGCTAGGATGTCAGGAGGTTAGTTTTAAAATCCTTTTTTTAAGTTCAAAGCATACTTTATGGAGTATCAATGAAGACTTAGAGGTTTAAAGAAAAAAATGTCCTGTATGGAATGGATTTTTAATCTTTCAACTTATGAAGACCAATTATGACCCATCAATTAAAAAGAGTCTGTTCATAACACTCCTAACAACCAAGAAAAGGGAATTACGCAGTGAATATAAATTATTGTAAAAAAAGAGAAGAAAAAATTTCCCACCTCAAGCTATGAGTTCCATGAATGATTTCATTCAGATTTAGAAAAACAAAAGTAGGATCACTGTGAAGTAACGTTACCTCATTTTTAGTGTATTTTTCGAAGAAATACGCTGTTTTGGGCTTGTCATTTTGACGATTAAATGTCATAATTTTTTACTAGAATGAACTCCCCATAGTTTTTCTGAATTTGAAACACCTTTTGGTAAAAACATCAAAAAGACCTTGGCTCCAGAGCTGATATGTTTGTTTTCCTCAAATTACTTGTAATATTTGTCCAGTATTTTACATGCACAGGCGAGACACATGGAATGCTGTTTTGAAAGTAGGATGCAGAGTGTTCTAGTTTCTTAATGTCACCTGTCATGGTCAAAGTCACTAATTAATCTAAAATCAGGGGAAAAGAGAGTTCTTAAAACGTTGCAATTGAAATATGCATTTTTTGCGTTTGGTCATCTATGTAGACCTAGTCCTAATGTTGATAGAATGTTATAAACAAGATGAGAGTATCTAATATGCTAATTTTCATTTCAGGCTCTGATGATGATGCAACTGTGATCAACGCATTTAAAGCTTTTGATGAAGGTGGCATGATCAACGGAAAAGCGTAAGTTTAAACAAGATTTTTACACATTGCTCCTAAGTAAAAACCGATTCATTATGCAAATTTTGCATAGGACCAAGTTACATATATAATTATTAATTGAGGCGCAGTATGCAAGAAGAACACCTCTAAGTGGCGGTGCATCAGAATCTTGGTCTCTAATATGAGTCTGAGAGGAGAATGTAATAGGTGGTTTAAAGAACATTGAAAGACCATGAAGAATATTCAGTTAAAAATTCAAAGAAATGCAAGCATTCGCTTTCCTTAAAATGAATGAAATAATAAGGGAGCTAGTGAAACAACACAGGTATTTTTCTTGCACTCAGCGCCTCAATTGATATTAATAGTCGTCACTAATGATATCACTATTGATTGGTAGTATCTCAACAAAATATTTTTCTAAGGCCTGAAATCATAATTTTAAAAATTATAACATCATGGCATGAGACATTTTATGAATATTGGCCTTGTCTTGTGCGTTGAACATATTATTATCTTAAATGTTAGGAAACTCACTTTATACTCGAAATACAGAAATGGAATGAGAAGCATAGCATCGATCGATTGAACTAGTTGCCAGGCAGGAAAAAATAAGTTGACTGTCTTGAAAACATTGTGAGAGGGAAAAACTGAGGAGTTATAGTTGAGAAGAGAAATCGCAGGAAAAATCCAGAGCTTTTCCTGTCATTTTAAAATATGAAAAAAGAAAAAAATACAGCGGAAATGGAATTAACGAAAAAGTACTAGTTTGAACTAGCACAGCACAAGCCAAAAATCCTCAATCATTGAAAAACAATATTAGGTTTTTTTTCTATTCAAGTACCAGAGCAATAGTTAAAAATGCTTGCCAAATGATACGAAAAGGTTCAAGTGTCAGATTCAATATGCTAAAATTAGCTTACTCAATCCCAGAACACTTCAAAAGTTGAAACCTACTAATAAAAAATGAAATTAAAAATACATAAAAAAACGACGAAGAGGAAGAGGAGGAATAGAGAACGTGAAAAGAGAAGAACTTGCTTACACAATAGCTTCACTCACTTCATGAGTTGACAGCCAACAACTAACAAATGACCATTCTGAATTGAAGCTGTACTTCAAAAAGTATGTCACTTAAAATTTAGAAGACGTCACTGATTTTAAAAACAACATTGCTTTAAGCAGCATTTGAGACACTTGGCTTGAGAATCAGTCCACACTCTGGTTTGTGGATAACATTTTCTGAGAGAAAAAGAAAATACACTTAGAAAATGAGCTTCAGAAATTGAGTTTCACCCAAACAGGGATACAAACTATTTTCTTTAGTTTTTTCATTCAGAGCTGAAGAATTCATTACATACTTGAATAATAATAAGATAGATAATTCATTTATTTATTTATTTTTTACAGTCTGAGGCACGCTCTGCAATCCTGGGGAGACAAATTCGAAAAGAAAGAAGTAGACGAAATCTATGACAACTTAGATTTGGACGACAAAGGCTACTTCGAAACTGATGAAATCATCCAACTTCTTTTGGGAAGCTCCGAAGATGAATAAACAACAACCTATCCGCACAAACAATTTTTCCAATTCTACCTATTAAGTTTATCTGTTTAAAGATATTTTTATCAACCTAGATTAATAAATTATGTTCAATAAATTGTTTCTAAAAAAACGTACGAGCACGGTTCACGATTATTTATTTATTTAATTATTTTATCATCAATGTTTGTCAGAGTGTACATTTTTTCTTTAACTAATTATGTTTTTTAATCGCTAAGAACAATAAAGGTTAACAACTTTCCATCAATGCGACAAATTTTTTTGATTTAACAAAAAAGGCACCAAAAAATGAAAGTATCTGATGAGGACTTACAACAGTTCGTTAGAAACAAAGACGAAAATGACAAATCCATTAAGGAATCCGATTTTTCATGAAAGTAGTTTTTAAAACAACCTAGAGAACGAATACGAAGAGTGCAGGAGGTTTAATTAGAACGCAATGATTTTCACCTTCTTTAATGCAATTTTCTGGGATTTACCTTCCTTCAAAAAACATCAGAAGAACAGCAAGAGAGTCAAATAGTTAGAAAATTAACACTCTTTGGAAATCATTAGCTAACTCCCAATCTAAATACAAAAACACAATACAGTCCAGTCAAGAGGGCCGACACAACATGCGGAACTTGGAAGGGGTTTGTTTGGGCCCTGACCCTTTCTTAATTACACCTCGGTGTTTCCATTGAGTTCATTTAAAGATATTAAGACGATGACATTGTGAAAAAAGGAATAATGGTTGATTAGGAAACATGGAACCTGCCAATTGCACAGAGATTGGCAAGTTCCTTTCAATGAAAGAACCGATCTAATTTTACAAATAATCATTACAGACCCCCATTTTTGCAGCAGTTCTGATATTTCTGGTCTAAAAAAATAAAATTTTAGAGCCCTGAGCAGTTAAATTTCAAACCCTAGAATACTTTTTACTGAAATTATCGCATGAGATAAACCGTTCTTTCAAAATTTACCACTTTCATTATAACGCTACTCCACAACTATTTTAAACATATGTTGTTACTGTTGCTAGCCTAAAGATGGTTGGATGACCTTCAAATTTTGAGAGCTTCATATTTAGGTCAGAACGGAACTTTTTAAATGTGCCCTTTTTCCAAATACCAACATTTCCTAGATGCAGCTTCTTCTCCCTACGAAATTCATAGGACAATACTGCTATGCTAAGGAAGAACGCTGTATGAACATTTGAGAGTTGCCAAATTTCCTTCGATAAAATTTTTATTTTTGAGGAAAATTATGAATATTTTTCCTTGCAATTTCCAGATGTTTTAGATCAAATTACAAACAAAATTATCTGAGAAATTGGTAGAAAAATATTCAAGAATTTTCATGAAAATTAGTGATTTACCGGGGGAAACTTGGCAACGCCCGAAGGCTCATACAGCGTTTTTCCTTAGCACGACAGAATAAGGGTCCGAGTCGCCACTTGGAAGCTCTTTAAAATCCGCTTGAAGTGAAGGACTTGGTTAAATGTTATACAGAAAAATTTGAACAAATATCTTTGATTTTCAGTGAAATAAGAGGTTGACTTAACTCTTGAATGTTTAAGGCATGTATTTTCAGTAAAACCTAATGACAAAATGTCTGATTTAATTTTTTATCGACAATTCAATTTTTAGTTACAGAAGAGAAATTAAAGAGAAATAAAGGGAATTAAAGTCATCATTTTTGAAATGTATTCAAGTGAATGAGAGTTCAGAATGAAATATAGAATTACGACCATGAAAGGGCTGAAATATTTTTCGGTGATTGATGATTAATTTTGGTTTATTTAATGAATATGAGATAGTGAAAAGAATTGATCTAAATTAGGATTTGAAAAAAACCTAGTTATTTCACCAATGGCTCTGATTTTCAAATCAAAATTAGAACTTGAAACTTGTAAGAAATTCAAGTTCAGACGCTGTAGCATTTTTATTTGTAATGCAGCAGAACAAAAAGCCTTACATAAGTGGCGAAGATTGTGACACATTGCCATTCAGAGGATGGATTGTGATTTCATCAGCGACAATTTATTGCATCACTATTGAAATCACAAAGTGAAATTTACTGAGAAGAAAATGCTACATTAATGGTGAAGATCTTCGATGATATTGCTAGTATAACAGTTACGATAAATTTGGATGAATTTTTTATTTCATCGCAATTCGAAGGCAACAAAGTCCCAAATTTTACTTGAATAAATCGTAGCTCTATGGCTGAGAAATACCACTTGAGTAGGATGGCAGAAAAACACTTTTTCTTGCATTTTCAGACACAAACAGTTCATAAAACAGCATACAATCCATCGACAGAATAGTTTAAAAAAACCTTCAACTATCCACGATCATTGATGATGTTTTGATTAGCTTGTTCTATTTCAATGATATTACAGCAATAACTGTATCATTTTGAAAACAGTTTTACACAAAAATGCATTGCCAAAGGTGACGCAAAGAGATTCATCTTTTCATCATGAAGAGTAAAATGGCAAAAGAAGTACGCTCGTGGAAGATGAGAAACCATTTATTTCTTTTCAATCGGATTATTATATGTTTACTCTAAGCTAAAAGCTAACAGTCATGCTTTCCACTACTCAACAACAAAATTAGAAAAATTGATAACAAAGAGAGGAAAAGAAAAACCATGAGATAAAAATAATGGGCCATAAAACTTACACATAAAAAAAGTATCACAAGACATTCTGATCAATGAAACAAAAATATGTGATATTTAAAATCTTTATTCTCTCTTCGCCTGCACTGTCTGACTGTCTAACCTCTTAAATGCTAGAATTTTCGTTTGAAAATACAGTCTTTACACCCTCTACCAGATATAAATTGATTTAGGAGAGAAATCTTACCTGGAATTTTTTAAAATAAATTTGATATAAAATTAACATTTACGTGGAAGACATCATGATGAACAACCGCAAAAAGTGCATCGTCTTAAAGATTTGGTTTTGGAGAAAAATATTTGCCTGAGTCCCAGAGTAGCATCTGCAAAAATCAAAAGAGATCATTATCATTATGACTGAAGACAGACAAATCATAATAGTTAAAATAAAAGATGATTTTTTTCAATTAAGCAAATTACACATAAAGCGAAGAGACTCGACATTTTTTTATTTTTTGAGATGGTATTCTTTAGAATCTCATGAGCACAATTGGCTTGAAATATCTGACTATTTATGTGGCATTCACAAGAGCACGGAGGCTAAAAAAATAGTTTTTTAGCATTTTCATATACGATTTTTAGTGGAAATGCTAAAACAATCGATTCATGATCAAGGTCGAATTCGTCGATCCTAGAGATAAGACAGAAGGACGCCCTTACATTCGTACATTCTTCCATGAAAAGAAACAAAATTCCCCCGAATAATAACATTGTGTGACTCACCATCACATCAACTTCCGAACGAAAAGCTCGTCTGAAAATCCGAAACAGCAATGATGCAAAACTCCCGTCAGAAAAAGCCCATTCAAGTGCGCTAAAAATGTCTCTTTCCATCGAACATTCCTACTTTAAAGCTCTTTGTGCTCAAGAGGTCAAAAAAAGTATCAAATAAAATATGACAAAATTTAGTCAGCATGCAGATCACTTCGTTTTAAGTGCGAACTCCTCAAGACAATAGTTTTCTTATGATGAAATAGGATAGGCCTATGTCTTTGAGAGACATTGGCAATTCTCGGAGCTAATACTGCCATGCTAAGGAAGAACGCCTTATGAACATTCGGGAGTTGCCAAAATTCCTTCGACAAAATGTTCATTTTTGAGGAAAGTCGAGAATATTTTTCCTTGAAATTTTCAGGGACTTAAGGTGACATTGTGAACAAAATTATCTGAAAAATTGGAAGAAAAATATTCACAAGCTTACAAGGAAATTCGGGTATTATCAAAAGAAATTTGGCAGTGCCTGAAGGTTCATACGGCGTTTTTCCTTGGCACGGCAGAATAAGTGAGCGGGACAATTTAGAATGTGACTGGCGGCCGGAAGAAGACTACCGACGAAAAAAGAAAAAACTAAAATGGATCTGATGATCCCCTCACATGAGAAGAGCATATCTATGTATCAAGGTCAAAGAACACCCAAAAATGAAGAAAATTGATGTTTTTAGAAAATTTTTAAGTTTTGAAACAAAATATCTGATTATGAAAAAAATACAGTCAAAGTTTTATTGGAAAGAATAATAATTAGAATCAGCCCAACTGCATCAGACGTTGTCTGTTATGTTTTATTTTTTAAACAGAAAACCAAGCAACGCAAAAACTTGAAATTTTGTTGCAATATCCATCATAGTCTGGAGTAAATTCACGAAAAGTTTAAAGGTGTTCAATAATTTGGTTCTTTGTTAGACAAATAAAATATGAGAGAAAATGAGGGAACATGAAATTTAGTTGGGCTGATTTCGGTTAGATCTGTTCTATTAATTAGCTTCGTGGACTTCATTTTGCCACTAAGAACTACTATTTCTGACTCATTTGTAAAAGCACTTGTCTGCGTGTGGAAACTTATAGCATATATGTTGTTTCTCAAATGAGCTGAAAATTGTAGTTCTAAATTGCAAAATGTAGTCCATAGGACACCTTTTCCTGTAAATTTTTATACTGCCATGTTTGAAGAAAGTCGAGAGATAAAAATTTGTGTGGGTATTCTTTAGAGTAATATGCACATGGCATTATCTACTAATATAATAATATTGATATAATATAATATAATATGATATAATATAATATTATATCATATAATATAATATGATATGATATGATACAATATAAAATAATATATAATATAATATATTATATTGTGTTCTTTCACCCCTAATTGCATTTAGCCCCCCTGAAAATTTCCTTTTAGAAATTATGGGCCTCTTTACCTTGGTCAGATAAAAATTAACAAGCTCTTGGGTAAAATATCATAATAATAAGAATTTCTAATGAGGAAAGGACAAATTACTCACTGTCATACCTTATGACACACTTTAATTGATTTTTGATGAATAGAGATGTATTAAAAAAAGCGAGTCATTCCATATTACATCAAAATAGAATCCAGAATCACTCTACTAAATGGCGGAAACTTCAATAGTGTAAATAAATTTTTAAGAACGGCCAGAGGGACATAGCATTAGTAAAAATAAATACATATATCCTGTTCCAAATTTGGTCCAACAGTTCATTCAGAGTTGGTTAAGTGGTTAAAGTGACTATTATTGATTAATAGAGAAGAACTCAAAAACTGCGAGTCGTTCCTGATGAAATTAAAATGGAATCCAGAGTTACTGTATGAAATGGGAGAAACATTAGGAGTGTAAAAAAGTTCTGAAGAAACCAGGAAAAATCGGCCGTCAGAAGAGCAGAGTTAAGTACATGGGGAGAAATTAAATGTAGCTTCATGCCACGCTCAATTTAGAAACATAACATTTATGGACACGGATGAGAACAGGTACAGTCATTAACTCTTAAATAAGATGTTGGAGAGTTTTGCATTTTAGGTGGGCAAAGTGGGTGTACGTTTGATTCATAGATAATTGAGACTAATTGCATGCACTATCTAGTTATCTGCTCCACTTCATTCATTTATAAATCAAGAGGGGCTATTCAGAGTGTGGGCAAAGATGAAAAACATTAAGCAGACACGAGCTTGGTAATTATTTTTGAAGGAAATAAATAATATTTTAAACTGAGCCAGAGTCTTCGGGGTCTCATGTAATTTGCAGATTCAAGTTAGTTCGTGCTACGATCCATTCCAGTCTTTACGTACTAGTGCATTTTTAAAAATGGTCAAAGTGACCGATCACAAGTAAAAATAAATACAAATATCAAGTTCCAAATTTGGTCAGCAGTTCGTTTGTAGTTGGTTGAGTGGTAAAAAAAATTGGTGGTTCATAGTTAAAAAGGAAATAAAATGTTAGTGTTGTAGAAATCTTTGGTGATGGTCGATCTATAATTTATTAGACCTCAAAATGCAGGTGAAATTTCAAAAAGACATCACTCATCTAGCAAAGGTGTGGGTCTCCTGTTTTAGTTTTCTAATGAAAATTATTTTAAACCTGGGACTCCACCGGGCATTTTTTCTATTTTTTTATGTTTAGGGGACCTTCCCGTTATCAAAAAAACTTGGTGAATTTTTTTTTTTTTTTAAATAAAACGACAGTAAACATCTGATCGAAGCAATTTCTTTTTAAACTTTGGACACCATGCATTTTTTATATTTTTTCAGGCTTAAAATAATTTTAAGTTGATGAGAAAACTCAGTGATTTTTTTTTTTTAAATTAAAAAACTTCCTTTTTAACATTTTCTTTTTATCCTATTTTTAAATTTGGCACTTCACCATGAATTTCTCTCATATTTTTATACTTAAGAGAATTTCAAGTAATTGAAAGAACTCGTGTGATTTTTTATTTAAAATTCAAAGGCAGAGAATATCTGATTAATCAAAAATTTATGTTTATATTTGCGGCTTCACCATGCATAACTTACATTTTTTATGCTTTGAAGAATTTTGAGTTGATGAAAAAACTCAGAGAATTTTTTTCTGAATAATGAGACAATGCCAGATTGATCAGCAATTTAGTGATAACAATTTTTTAGAATCAATTTTCGTTTTTCCTATGTAACATTTTCAAATGGAACTATAGCAACTCTTCATTATTTAACAGCATCTGTCAGTTTTCCAACAACTAAATTTATGAAATATCCTGCATGTTTTTCCTCTTTTTTTTCTTTCTTCTTCTTTATTTTAAATAAAAGATGGGACAATAGAAAATAAACTTCAAGCTAGGACATAGACTGCAGATAAATGGAGGAGGAGTCGGAGAAGAAAAAGGTGAAAGGCCGTTTCAAGGCGGTCGCACAAATTGAAGAGCCGGAAGTAGAGATTACAGAAGAGCCAAAGCCTGTCCGACTAGGCAAGTTTCAAGCAATTGTGCAAGTCGGTGATGAGGAAGAGGATGAACCGGAAGTGGAGGAAACCAAAGTTGTCGTTCGCCGACCAATGTTTACCGCTACAGTGGAGGCTGATTGTGAAGAGGAGGAGGAAGAAAGAGAAGAGGAGGAACCTGTCGCGCAATTTCAATGTCGAATTGCTCCAGCCAAAAGCAGGGAGAAAAGTCCTGAGGATGAACCGGAGGACTGGGACTTCAAGTTGCAACAATTGAAAGAGGTAATTTGCTTTGGATAATTATGAATTTTAGACTACACTTCCTACATCGTATTAATTTCTTACCCAAAATATAAAAAAATAATTCCTGAGGAAAAGAGGAGAGGAATATATTACACCAAATTTGCTACATGACTCAGTATTCATTGGCAATCATGCAACGCACCAAGAATGGTTCTGACAATCTTAGACTCCGTTACAGGAAATTATTAAAATATGTTGTAAGATAAGAAACTTGGCACTCAATTTGATGTCAAATTAATTCAGCTAGAGGCAAGATGGGAAACCCGAGGTGGAGTTAATACAGTCTAAAAAGCAGCATTATCAAATTTAAGAACAAGTCAGTCTGGAGTCTTCGAGAATATTACGGAATATTTTCACAGAAGTTCCAGAGGACGGTATACATTTAAATAGTAGATAGAACAGAGATTTGCTTCTAACATTTAGATTTGTCTGGTTTGAAAATTTATTGATTCTACATTTATGGCTTTTTCAACCCTATTTCACTGAGCTATGGAGAAGTAAACTTATTTCAAGAGCTTAAGAATGGCATGTAGGTATGCGCGATATTCTAAGTAGTCTGGATGTTTTCAGGCATTCTTCATGTTTGACTTCAATCAAGATGGTGTTATTGATCGACAAGATCTAAAAATGACTATGGCTGCTTTAGGCCAAGATGCTGATTCTGAGGAGATAGACAAAATGATGGAAGAGGTGAGAGATATTATTTAGTGTTATGTTTATGTGTTATGTGTAAGTGTTATTTAGTGTTATGTTCAGTGGCGTGGCGTGCTTTGCGATATATCGATTGATATGTTACTCAAACCTATGAAAAAAGATCGATTACCAGGGTGTTCGCAGCGAACACCTTAGTAATTGATTCTTTACCATAGCTTCAAATGGCGAGATATCGATAATCGATCATTCACGCCACGCCACTGGTTATGTTTTAGTTTAAATAGGGTTTAGTGTTCAACTTGGTTTTAAGACATTACATGAGAATGGAGGAAAATACGTTATTTGATATGTCTTTCATACTCGAAATAATATGAATATCAATCCATGGTTGAAAACTTCTGCCTCCAAAATTCTAGTGATTTATACACAATAGGATCTTCCTTCTGCAAAAGTATGAGTTAACTAAGAAGAAAAGCTCACAGGATCTATACTCTCTTGCAATGGAAGAGCGCACTGTACTGCAGTAATGTATGCTTGATTTCGTGGTTTTATTTTGAAACCTTACTCTGCCCGATTGAGTTAGAATTAGAATAATACAAAAGTACCAACAAAAATTGAGATATGAACGAATGAAAAACAAGGATAAACATGTTTACGTTAATGCAGTTAGTTCAGATTATTAAAAATCAGACATTTTGCGTATTAACAGAGCTCACTAAAAACTCATGTAAAAGGTACTGGCCATGTACACAAAATTGAAATTGTGTACTAAAATGATGACTGTGCTAAAAATTTCAGGCAAACGAGCCCCTGACCTTTGATTCATTTGTTACACTCTTTGGTCAGAAGAAGCTAGACTTGGATGGAGAAGATGTCCTTCGGGAGGCATTATCTAAATGGGATACTGATAATTCTGGATTGATTTCAATGGCTCAGTGAGTACCTTTCATTTCGAATCATTCCAAACTCTTGCATACTATTAAAAGACGTTGTATCCTCTTTTAAGTAGTTTTTATGGTTTTACTTGAGAAAATTTACAATGTCACCGAAAGGGATAAACCTCTCTCCTATTGAAAAAAAAAAAAAATTAACTTATCTAAGCAGATCTTTACAATTGACGTAAATTGTAGTTAAGCACCATTTTTTGACACTGTTGTTTTGAAGGGAATGGGGAAGGTAAAAAAATAGCAATTACACAAGCTTCCTATTTTTTGCACTGACTGAACATGTGTTGCGATGCAATTAAATTTTAAATAATGCACAATTGTGCGCATGATGCTAGGGTGCGGCTTATCTGATGGCTTAAAAAAAAAGTTTGAAATTTTACGGTGCCTCATCGCCAATCAGTTCGAAATCATAAAAAAACATCCTAAAAAAATTTTTAGCCGAAAATTCGAAAATTTAGAGGTCGCACTAACGGTCGAAAGTATCGATATTTTTCTGTTTTAGAAGAAATTCTAGAAAAATCGGGTGTTTAAACAATCATCGTGTTCTTCAAGTAGATGCCAACAATGTGGGGTCATCAAGGACCTCGTTGTATCACTAAACCACATAATAGAAGGGGTCGATAAGGGTTGAAAGAGGGGGGGGGGGTAAACCTAAAGATTCGCTATTATTTTGGCACTCAAGCGCAACGGCAGCGTCAAGACCTGTAATGGCGCATGGAGCTAGCAGCATCCAGAATACGGGTCAATCAACCAATGGCATAGCATCTCATTGAAAAAAAGTATGTCACAACCCCCCCCCTCGCTGATCCTTCTCATCGATAAGTTGATGAATGATATGGGGTGAAATAAATCACACGGAAGTTGAGATACTCATTTATTACGATAATATAAAACGAGGTCCCTTGGATTTACAGGAACTTTTTAGCAGGAGTTGGAAATGCCTTTCCATGTTCCATGACAATTTTCAACAAATATGGTTTTTGCTCTTCGTTTTTAGTGATGGTATTATTGAAAGTTTGAATAAGTGAAACTGCTCTTTCGGCATTGTCGTTCACAACTTTGAGATTTTTCACTACTTTGAGAGCTAGCTGGAAATCATGTAGCTTTGGCCATTTAGTCGGACTTTGTTTTAAAAACGTATATGGGATATTTAGAATTGTAAAGAAATTTAGACTGTTTTGTGTCACAAAAGATGATAAGTCCTTATTTTTTATACATTTTAGATCTTCAAAAATGATCTCTGCCCTTTTAGGTCGTTTTACTTTGTTCCTATTGTTAGCAGACCTATTGTTAAACACAGACTTCGCCATTGACGTTTTGACACTAACAGGCAATGTATTATCAAAAAATGCTAAGCTAACAAGCTCCTCTGACAAATACCAAAGGTGTCGACGGAATTTTAAGGCAGTATTTTTACTGATGGTGGAATTTACAGAATCAAAAGCTAATAGATTCTTTAAAAATAGTAGGTCGTTATAGGGAGTTGGCGTATATTGGCGGGAGTATATTGGCGCAAAAAAATCGAAAAAGCTCGTTCTCCGAGGATAATTGAATTTTCCGGGATAGTGAGGGGTGATAGGAAAAATCTAAGGTCATATTCGGGTTTAGCAAGTCAAAATACATGAGAATCGATATATCAAACATGGAAATCAATTTTAAACCGTATTTTTAACACATGAGTCCGGGAAAGGATTTACTCAAAAGGCGCGGAAAAATCGGCATTATCGGAGAACTGGAGGGTGATAAACCAAAACCTATGTCATATTTGGATTTAGCAGCTTAATATACATGACAGAATCGCTTTACCACGGGTCCAGTATAATTTATCAACATGAATTGCAATTATGACAAAAATACGTCAAATTTGCTCATTTTCCCGGGAAAAAGTCGCTTTTCCGGAAAAGTGAGAGGTGATAAGAAAAAACAAAGGTCATTTTCGGACTCAGTAGATCAAGATACATTGAAATAGTACTATTTAGTACCCGGAAAAAATTTTACCTACATGTTACAGAGGTCAACACTCGCAAAAACACCAAAAATGTCCATTTTTCCGGGTAAAATCGGCTTTTCCGGAAAATTTAAGGACGATGGACCAAAACGGAGGTCATATTCGGATTTACCGCCTAAAAATACATGAGAATTATCTGATCTCGACCGAGAGACACTTTTGAGAGACTATTATTTTTATACATGTCAAAATAGGGTGGAAAAAATCTTCAGTCTTAAAAGCGCCAGAAATCACATTTGAAGTTAAGTTTCACGGTCAGGATGTTAATATTTTGTTAAACTAAGATGTAAAATGAAATCAGCGACCCAAAAAATATAAGATCCAACACTTTTTATAACGGTGCACTGCATTTTCGAATTAAGTTCCGTTAAATCCAGTCTGTAGACCATAGTGCGACGGCCTCGGTGCGGTGCCGTAAGCAAATCTTAAATTCAGGCCTGTTTGACCTGGGAAAGATGGTGATTTCGTGACAGCTGCTGTAATATTTCGCTAGATTAGGTAATAATTGACTTTTCAGAGTAAAAATCTGCTTAGGTCAGTTAAGCACTATGTTTCTACAGGCTTAGTTAATCGGGAATAGTATACGGATTTATTCGAAAATTTGAGTTTCTTTGAATACATGAAGCGCGTTAGTGCGACCTCTAAATATTCGAATTTTAGGCTGAAATTTTTTTTGGGACGTTTTTCAATGATTTCGACCCGATTGGTGATGAGGCACTGTAACATTTCAAAAGTCACAAAATAAGCCGCACCCTAGCATGATGCGAATGATTTTGCACAAGAAATACATTCTCTGGTTGAGTTTACTAATTATTTGAGGTGAATCCCTGTTCAATAACTTTTTATGTTGATTTGAAACTCACCATAAGCCTATTTTCCTGACAACACTTTTCTTGTTTGACCAGATTGCAACAAGATTTGATGACTTGGGGTGACAAGTTTACAGCACGCGAGGTATGATTGTTATCTGGGTCGAACTTATTCTTTTTGTCTTGAACTATTTTTTTTTTCCGATACTTTTTCTTACATTTTCTTGGTTGTCTGTCTGACAACACAGGCAGATATGGAGATTCATAGCTACAGTCAGCTTTGCTGTATTGTTATTTTTATTTTCTGGCTACTTTGAACAGCCACGAGGGAATGATCCTGAATCTGATCCACCCTAATTCCACCACCCAAGAGATCAGCACACTGCAACCACTGCATTTTAAAAAGTTGACGCAAGGCCGAATTTGGTGGGGCTACAAGGGGGGGGGGGAGCTGCAGGTTCTCGGTGGCAGATTGCATAGTGGGGAAAAATACAGAAACGAAAAGAAGATTTTGAAAGTGATGACCATTTTCTTTTCCTTTCTTTTCAATCTTGCTACCCAATGATCGGATCGATCGGATGATCTATGGACATCGACATTTTGCTGGTTCTCTGGCAGCAAAATCATAAATCCGACTCTTGGTCGACAATATCTGTTTGACCCTGGGGCTGCATGCAATAGGTCGAGCCAGTCAAATGATTGTACATTACAGTACTATTGAGCCTACTGATTAAAAAATGTCCTACTTCTGTATTGAAGTCAAAATGAAAAAGGAAATGAACTTCATTGTTCCTAGGGCTTGGTCTAATTCTTGAATTATTTTTGTTCTTTCTGACTTTATAATTACTCTAATGCTTACTCTTAAATTCAATCTAATTTTTATTCTGTCACCAAGAACGACTGGGGGTATCTTAATCATTCACATTAAGCTCTATGGGACGTGTCCATGATAATAAGTGTGTTTAATAATGATCTGCAATCAATGATATGAAAAGCCATAAAATCTTGTTTCAAAAATACCAAGGAGCGAAATTCTGAGTTTTGAGCATATACTACTCATTCTGGAGATCTAATTATTAAATTGAAGAACCTATAAAATTGTATTTGTTGTCTACTTTTAGAATCAGTACCAATTTTTATAAAATCCCTGACAGTTTATCTTCAAAAGACACTTGTTGGCAAAGTTTTTTTGAACATTTATTCACTTTTTATCGGTGAGGAATGACGGATAGATTTGCATTTTACAGGTAGAGTTAGCTTTGGAGGAGGCGCCAATAATAGAACCAGGTGGATCAGATCTACCAGTTGCAGAACCCATGATGGATTACATAAAATTTTGTACACAACTAAGCACTCTACGAGACAAAAAACAGTAACTGAGGCGTAGACAAAATCAATGCACCAGTTCTTTGCAAGTTTTATTCGTTCTTAAAATCAAACATGAAAACATGCATCAAAAGAAAATTTTCTTGGATATGATTTTCTTAAGGAAAAAATAAAATTGAACATTTTTGGATTTGAAGGACCATTTATTTTTCGTTTTTCTTTTAACTTATCTTGCCTTCCTTCATTTTTCATAGGCAATTCTCTTTGCTTAAACCTTTAAACCCTAACTGTCTTGAGTTATAATTTGTCTTAAGGTCTTTTGAAACCTCATGATTAGATTGTAAATAACCATGGTTTTGTCATAATGAAACGTCGAACAACCCACACTTCTGCATTGAAAATTCACTCACCTGAACAAATTAAAGGCCTCAATTGAGTAGTCCAACAATCTATGTTTTCAGGTCCTTCAACTTTTCTGTGACTGCTTCTGTGGATTGACTTGGTTGTGTAGGTGTGGCCGGTTTTTTTGGCTCTCGGGCTCCGAAGATTGCAGTTCCCACCCTCACATTTGTGCTACCCATTTCAATCTAAAAAAATTATCAGTAATCTTTAAAACAGAAAAGAATTTCTACTGCAGAGAAGCTACAAGATCAAAGCAAAGGCAAAATTGCTTTTGGACGGTTTAACCAGACTCAGTCCGACTACATCAGCCGTTATTTGATTTTTTTTTTATGATTCATTTTCTTAACAGAAAAGAAAAATTCTGACTTGAATTTTGTGTGTAAAGTCTTCATGATCTAGGAGAAGTATAGAAAAAAGTATCAAGGCGGTTCGTCTTATGGTTTTCTGTTAAAATAATGAAACCTGTGAGGAAATTAAGAAGCATGAAATGCAGTTACACTGATTGTGGTAAAATCCGTCCAACATGTGTAACCCAGATTTTTTTTTACAAAAACTAAGCGCCATAATGTCTTAAAAATTTCCATGAATTTTCTTCCAACTTTCTGTGAACTTTACCAACACCATACAAAGGATACTTACAAAATGACGAGGCTGAATGTTGTTCACTGCCTTGTTGAATAAATGGAACAAGAGAAGGAGTTAGGGAACAAGTACTGTAGTTCGGTTAATTCTAGTTTGGGGCATTCAAATAATCTCTATGCCAACTTAAAAAGGACTTTCACAATAAATTGTCATGGGTCAAGTAGCTTAATTCCTAAAATAAATTTCGAAGTAAGTGAGCAATTCAGATGAATGATTGTACTAGGTTTCGTTCCAAAGAGAGTGGTAGCGGCGAGTAATACTCCACCAGGAAAAATGACAATGGATCACTAGACAAGGTACGAATTTAAGCATTCCGGTACATGTTTCTTAACCAAAATTTCACGTAGAACACGATTCGCGCAACGAAAATTACTGAAACCTACTCCTAACGAAGATATTAACCTTTTCATTTCACATTGGTTACGAGGAATTTGAACTGCCCGCTCACAAGAAACTCTAAGCTCTACGTGAGTCAAATCACGCACAACAACGGTCTCAGCAAGTTTCTTAATCGAGCAATATTCATTTCCCACCATGTGTTGTTCAAACTATAGGCAATTTGCTATAGCTGAGCCAAAGCGTCAAGATTGAGGTTGCCAGATTTTTACATCGCGCAGAGACTGTCATGATAACGTTTAGCGCGCGATGTGAATCACGTAGAGCATTGAGTTTTCATGAGCGGGTGGTTTGAATTCTTGCATCAAGAATCATTAAATATCGTTGTGAGGAGTTGATTTCGATAATTTTCATTGTGCGCATCGTGCTCTACGTGAAATTTTGGTTACGGAACATAAATCAGAGTGCTGAAATTCGTACCTTGTCTAGTGGTCCATTTGAAAAAGAATAAAATTCTTGGGTGTACTCACTTGAACATACGTGTAATTACTCTAAAATACGCCTCTCAATATTAAACATATGTGCAAGTGAGTACACAAAATAACTTTATTCATTTCAGTATTTGACTCGTACAGACCCCAGACAAGTTTTCCAAAATGACAATTTGTGATGAAAATGAATAAAAAAGGAAAAAGGAAAAAATCGTAAGATTGATAAAACTAAACATCGATAAAATAAAAATACTTCAAGAGTAAAAATAAGGTATGAAAACAGGAAACAAACCGCTTTTTCATAATCATCTGACATGCCCATGGACAATTCAACATCGACTTCTTCCAACTGAAGAGCCTCACAGACATTTTTGCGACAAACAAGAAGTTTCTGAAAAAAATACAAAAAAGTTATAGATGGTATCAGTTGGGTAGTAATTTTAATCGTGGTAGTTAATAGTAATAGTGGGCAGAAGCAATGGAGCAGTAGTAAGGATTTCTACAGTTTGATGCACCTGTCTATGAGGCCTGAGAAACTATACTAGATTTTGTAAAGATGCACCTTGAAGTTGGATCATAGTCTTTAAATCAACACCATAATTCAAATCATTTCTTCAAGGCTTGGCAGCTGTCTATTTAGCAAAAGGAGGTTGTATAAACGACTGTGGCCGACACAATCTAAGGCAAACTTTTGGAGCAGGACTATACCCCCGACAAATTAAATTCTGGTGTTGGGAATTTTCCTCTCTGCCTGCTAGTTTTATAATCACTGCCTAAGGCTACCATCCCTCTTGGACTGGCATTTTTGTGATTCTTCTTGTTGATAAGGAGGAATGAGAGGTGTGTACTGTTGTTGATTTTAAAACCAGTGTAGGTATTTTTAATTCATCTCGTCATCTAAGAAGCAAGCTGTTGTGAATCGCCCCAAGGATCAGCTGACCAGAGTACTTTGCTGCATCTCACATTAATATTTGCATAGTTCAATTTTGAGATGATGTCTTGAATCTACGTTCAGTGGCTCATGAATGAATGCACATTAGGATGTTTCATTGAAGCCAGATGATTTTGATTAATTTTAAATGTACTCACCAAAAAATCAGGGTTTGGACCCTTAGACCAATCATACCCAAACTCTCCAATTGTCATCAATCCCATAAAATTTAGCCGCGGGCACGTATCATGAATATGTTTTACTACATCAACAACCTCACTGCAAGATATACCACTCTTTTCTGTGGAAACAAAAGAGAAAACGTTATAGCCATTCACACTAATTTTAAGTTGGAAATTAACTGACAGTTCAATTGGAAATAAAAGTAAACAAATTGCTGGAGAACCAAACAACAATTGATCAAATTAGAGATGTTTAGTTTAATTTCTTACTCCCTTCTAAACAGTTGAAAATGACATGGAGGTTCAATCACCTACACATTTTTCTTTCAGTTCTGAATGTACATATTTTAAACGTTCAAAACTTAGTGAAGCTAAAAATCAACAAACCAGGTTCCTCGCTCGTGTTGACTTGGACCATGATATTCAATTTCTTATCAGGTTGGCTTGCATAAATAGTATTGACAGAGTTGTTAACACTAGTGGCCATTTGCGCTGAGTCAACTGTTTCCAAGAGATACAACTTGGGGAGCACGACAACATGTTTGATTTTGTTCTTCTGGAGATGGCCAATGAAGTGCCATCTGATATCCTTACACAGTTCCATAATCTAAAAAAAGAAAAAGAAAATTAAAGCACATGAAATTCCCTGTAGTAACATACAAAAAGGTCCTTAGAAAATGGCCAAGAGTGAGAAAATTTCACTTAATGATAACTGTGTCGATAATCTTTTGATATGGAAAAGAATTTTAACATTTTACATTTCACTATTCCTAAATTCAACAGTGAAACTGCAAGAATGCGTGTCTCGTTTGCAATGTTGTAGACTACTGGTCTTCATTTATTTTTCAAATGGATAAGCACTTGACGTCATTCCTTGAAAACTTCCCTGATTTTTCTTGTTGGTAAGAAGAATACTCATTGTAATATTCAAGTGTTGGCATTGGTTTGTTCCCCTTGGATGAAGTAAAATTGGAATGGAGATTTTAAAAAACAGCAAACAAGACAGACGTTTTTGCAGTTTTACCATCAAAATGTTAATAGGTCAAAATATGAACCCTTCATTCAAAATTGGAGAGAGGGTTATTTATATAAGTCGAAGAGCTACAAAATCCACTAAAAAATAAAATCATTGAATAATTTATCTCTTGGGGCATTCTTCATTTGTTTAAAGATTTTTCAAATTGGTGAAATCTAACAGTTTTCCTACAAGTTTATAAAAGGAAAATGAGCATAGTCAGTTGAAACTCTGTGAGATGAAAGCTCTCACCCAGCAAAAAATTGCCAACAACATTACAAAAAGGTATCCACATTATTTTTGCCGGTATATGATTGAGGTGTGATAAGGTGCGGCAACATTTTTACAACCACTTGCCAGGCATGTGAATGGAGTACGGTATGAAGTCTGAAAAAAGTGCAACTTTTAAAATTAAATATTATGTGATTCTTATTTTTTAATGATTTTTTACTGTTTATTTTTACTATGAAATACAAGAACAAAATTGGAGGTAGAATCTGCTCAGATAATGGTTACTGGTTTAATTTCACTTATTTAAAGTAAAATGTTAAACTTAGATATCATAGTAGAGCAACTTCAGTTGTTCTCAGGACCTGGATCAAAAAAGAATGAAACCCTTTATGAACTCCTATTGGATAAGTGGTTAGCAGTTGCTTGTATTCTGTTAGCAGACTGCTGCGTTGCTACCATCTTATAGTAACCAATGACTATTTAAGAGCAATGATACTGCCTTCTGCACTATGGCAAAATAAAGTACTGAGTAGACTGCAATCAAGGGTAATCAACTGCTATCTAAACCCTCTATGGTATGCATTAATTTTGGATCTCAGATTCTAGGGGACACTAATCTATTTTTTAGCTTGCATAGAAAACATGGAGTACCCAATTTTTTTTTTAAAATTTTGAATCTAAGGGAATCAGATTTTCAAAACAAGAAGAAAGTAATGAAAATTAGCAAAATCAAGCCTCAGAGGAGAGATTAATTTTTAAAAACCCCAAAAATATGTTGTTACGAATTTGTAACGCTAAGCCACAGAGGGTTAGGAAATGAGAAGTTTTACCTTTTTCTTCAATTCCTGTGCATTTTAGTGTCTGTGTAAAATTACCTCTATATCAGTTGCTTTTGCGACCAATTCCTGCACATAATTTTCTCCAAAATGTCTTTGACCAGCATTATAAGCCTCAATAATGAGTTCCTTCGGTTTGAACTTGCTAACTGCCACCAAGCGAGGGTCTTTTTCTTTTGCTTTCTGTGAAATAAAAATAAAATTACAATGTCAAGCGTCAGCTCGGTGGATTAATCAACGCCAAAAGAGCAACAGGCTGATGACTAAGAATACTCGGAAGACTCAGGATGCTGAAGAATTAATTCATGAATCATTCCTACTACAATCCACAAAACATAAGATGGATTCAAAACATTTGGAGTAATGACTGCAGAGACAGGATTTATTAGATGCACACTAAAACAGTTATATCAGTGGAGTCTATTAGACAAAAGCCTGATCACAAGAAACAATTCTACAGACATTTTGCTAGAGCCTGCCATCAATTATGTTAGGTCTAGTTCATACTATCCAAGTTGACTCAACGCTTGACTCAACAAGTTACGAACTTAAACATTCTGATTCACATTTCTCAACCAGAATTTCATGGAAAACACGATTCTTGCATTGGAAATTACTGAAATCAACTCCTTACTAATGTTCAAATTTTACATTGGTAACGGGAAATTTCAATGGCCTGGTCACAAGAAACACAATACTCTACGCAAGTCAAATCCCGCACTATGATGGTTTTGGCAGACTTCTAAATCAAACATTGTTCAGTTCTCACCCTTCAGTGTTCAAAGTGTAAACAATTTGCTATAGCTGAACCAAAGCGTCAAGATTGAGATTGCCATATTTTTGTACCTATTCCAGAGACTGCCGTGGTAACGTTTAGATGTGATCTGACGTGCGTAGACCATTGCGTTTTCATGAGCGGGAGGTTTGAATTCCCACAGCAAGCAACATTTAATATCCTGGTTAGGAGTCAATTTAAGAAATTTTTGTTGCGCGAATCGTGTTTTACTTTAAATTTTGGTCAAGAGACATTTATCAGAATGCTTAACTTCGTACCTTGTCTAGTGGTCCATGGATTTTTAAATCTATAAATAATACTGATTTCTACAGTTCTGCTAGTATCGGGGTTTTACTGATTCTTCAGTTAGAAACTAGTGAAAATAATGCTGATGTGCTAGCCTGAGCTGAATGTTCGTGAAACATATACTTACATGAGGTCTCTTCGCAACGGCCGCTGCAATTGCTACTTGCACATAATTTAGATTTTCTTTGAGGGACCTGGTACCTGCGGAGGACATAGTCGCAATGCTTTAAATGTCTCTGCCCAGTTCAAGTACTCAGCAATTAATATCTTAAGAGAACACTGAAACAAAAGCTTAACACTGATGGTACAGTAGAGTGCCTCAAACCACGATGAAAGTTGAGAGGAGTTAAGACGACAGGGTAACGTGGTGATTAAAATTCTTATTCACTGATAACCGACTTGTGTGAAAACGAATAGAGAGAGAATGAAAAATAATTATAAGTAAAGTGTTCGTCAGTTCGTATCTTCATGAATCATGAGATCGACACAGCTGATAAGTGATAAGGCGTGTTTGTGGTAATTGCTTTGTTTACATATGTTCCTCTTCCATAAATTCCTTCTGACTGTGAAATGAAACACTTAGATTTTGAACTACAGACTATAGACATAGCTCTAGACATAGCGAAATACTGAAATAGACATAAATATCATACTAGATAATGTCGGCAAATTTCTGTTGATCCTGTATTTTCTTGTAAATTTTGTACTAAAACTTAACAAAGCGTACGTTTGGCACGTTTGGCAGTATTGCTCTCAATTGAAGTTTTTTTATTAGACGTTCAGGGAGTGAAGTTCGATTAGCGAAGTTTATCCCGAACTTCATGTTCGACAAAGGAATCTGAGAGATGATATCCCCCGCGCATCCCCACATTATTTTGACCATTCCCACCGTGTAGCTTCGGAAGTTCAGTTCAGTCCTTGATGACACAGAATCGCTGCAATTCAAGTTTTTTTCAGTCGTGCTGAAGTTGAGTAATCAAGTGTTCATCAACAAAAGTTGTATTTTGATTCAATCGTAATAGGACCTCCAAAAATCACGCCCGCCGTGATCGGAAATCCTCTGCACCTGGTTTGTTTCAGCTCCTGTACGATGCTAATCTTGTTCAATAACCATTTTTGCGCGTCTTCTTTATTTTCGTTGTTGCTAAAGTGAAGTAAGTAAGTAGTGTGTGCTGCAGAACTTGCGAGTGTAATGACATTGTGTTACCCGCGGCCGAGAAAACACTCATTCTAACATTATTTTTAACGAACACGTACTTATGTCGCATCGAATATGATTTCAAGTAGTTGTCAAGCTCAAGATAGGCTGCCTTGATAAAATTATCTCTGTCCACGAACATCTAAAGTGTTTTTCATCTTGAAACACCTCTTCTCGTTTCCAGTGTTTAATGAGATAGCTGTGCGGTGTAAGAAGCATCCATAGCATCTTATATTAAATAGTGCAACTTCAAAGAATTTCATCAAGTAGTTTTATCATTTTAGTGTTTAATTATATTCTCAAAATGTGCACAGCGTTCAGCATAAACGACACCGATCCTTTTGTGATGAGCTCATTCGCAGACTTCTTTCAAACGGCATCATTTTCCTCGGTTTGGAATCTGGTCAGTCAATCTTTTGACTATCAGCCATGGATTTTATCAGTGATCGCGTCCTTCATCGTCGGTTTAAGTGGAATCTTCCCTCTTCTCGTTATCCCAATAGAAGACAGCGAATCCTTGAAAACAGGAGGTAAGTTAAACTCAATTTCCCTCATTCTGAAGTAGCAAAGCTGTCAGAAATCGTTCACCCCTGAGCTCTGACAATTTGTTGTTACTGAAGAATATGTAGCTCCTTATATCAAAACTCACCAACATTGTAATGTCAAAGTATTCACTATTCCAAGTTGCAAGCCAATAGTAACCTGAGTTCAATAAAATATCATGTCTCATAAGCAAGACGGTTGACTTAGTTTTAGAATTGCTATTAGTTCGTTTAAAATTAATGCGGGCGTAACCGCAGCCCGACCCATCATGACAATTTTGTCTAAATTCATCTTATATCTTTTGTAAACATTGGTGAAATTAGGAGGTTAGCAAGTTTCAAATAATCGATTGCAAGTGTTGAAAGTTGGCAACTTCATTTTCTCTCCATTTAAACCTATGGACATGATCCGATTCTTGGAGGGGTTAAGTACTCCCATAAGAATGGAATACTCAACACAGGTTTAAATGGAGGAAAGCCCGTGTTGCCACTCTTCTGGATGCGCCTCTCTACTTTTAAGGAGGCTGTTAATACTAAGATAAATTGCATCACAAACGCATCCTTGTCATGCTCTCACAAATGAGCCTCTTGCTTTTGAAAATAGCCTTGGAAATTTTAGGATACCTACCTGCTTAGAAAGGGTTTTAAATCAAGAGGCAAGCTTCAAGAATGGGAAAGCTCAGAACTTGCCGCCCCCCTGCAGCATACAATAAACAATGCTACTTACTCTAAAAGATGTGATACCAGCTATCATGTCATTGGGATCGTAACTTTAACCTAGTTTAAAATCTGTCAAAATTCAAACATCAGTGGTGGAGTCGAGTTAACAGGCAAACGTAAGGGCTTGAATGATCTCATGTTAGAGAGTCTGAGTGCGCATTGGCTGGTTTGGGTCTATCTTCCGCATGAGTCAGACATTGGACTTTTCCACAAGTCCACCCCAAGGTTGATAGACCCAGGTCAGCCCGTTCGAAAAGTTGAGTGTGATAAGCTCTGCAAATCAGGGGTGAGGGCTGTCCGCGTTGCCTACAGATTCTCGAGTTTTGCCTGTCCCATTCTGCTGCTCCTCAATCCAATTACATTGGTCTTATACAGATCAGGGACGAACTATGCAGCGGGCCAGCGCGAACGCAAATCAGGGAAACGTTGGAGTGGATTAGCAGATTGGGGGCATTTGTCGCCAGGTCAGAAAATTCCAAGGAACATCTTGCTAACGGACTGACCTGGGTCTTTCGACCATGGTCCACCCTTCCAGCAAGTCTGTTGGTAAGCTCGCAACAGCAACAGCTTGGCTGAGAGAGTCTGGGTCCAGCCTTCACGACAACAGACCCTCACAAGGGGAGGTCCGGTTGGCTGCCGATTTCGGTTGCGCGCCCGTGGGAAATTCGCGGAAGTGAAGATCGGGATTTTCGCAGGGATGAAACGAGTCACGGGCAAGCCCAGAGGTGATAAACAATCGTGTGGTTTACGGCGAGCATGATTTCCGGAAAGACGATATTGCCATTGGGGATCCCCGGTTTCGACGGCGCGGAGAAGCACTGCGGGCGTATTCTGCCGTGCCGAACGCCGTATGGACATTCGAGAGTTGCCAACTCTCCTCCAATAAAATGTTTGTTTTGGAGGAAAATTGTTAATATTTTTCTTTGACATTTTCAGACACTTTAGATCAAATTACGAACAAAATTATCTGAGAAATTGACAGAAAAATATTCAAAAGTTTTCCTGAAAACTAGTGATTTGTCAGAGGAAATTTGGCAACGCCTGAAGGTTCATACGGCGTTCTTCCTTGGTATGTCAGTATTATTCTGTCGTGTCAAAGAAAAACGCCGCAAGAGCCATCAGACGTTGCCAAATTTTCCCTGGCAAATCACTAATTTTCAGGAAAATTTTTGAATGTATGTCTACTAATTTCTCAGATAATTTTGTTTGTAATTCTCTAACGTAATCGTCTAAAACGTCTGAAAATTTCAAGGAAAAATATTCATAATTTACCTCAAAAATAAAGATTTTATCAAAGGAAATTTGGCAACTCTCGAATGTTCATACGACGTTCTTCCTTAGCACGGTAGTATTGACGCCTGTCTGTTCACAGGCGCCCATGAGCTTGAATCTCTTCATTCGTTGACAAAGGAACTCGACCTCGTGGTTTGATACTTGGGGTTGGCCGACGCCGGGTACTCTGTCGTGCTAAAAGGAAGAATGCCGTATGAGCCTTCAGGCGTTGCCAAATTTCCTCCGATAAAAACCGAATTTATTGGGAAAATCGCGAATATTATTTTCAAAAATCCTCAGACAATTTTTCACGCAATTTAATCTGCAATATCTGAAAATTTCAAGGAGAAATATGCATGAATGTCGTCAAAAATACATGTTTTACCAAGGTAAGTTTGGCAACTCTCTAAGGTTCATACGGCGTTTTTCTTAGTACGGCAGTACGAGGCCAGAGGTTCTAGACTTGCCAAAAATCATTGTGGTAGACAAGCCCCTTGAGGTCAAGATTGCCCATGGCCCGACTGCCGATCGTCTGAGTCTTTGCAGACTCCACTTGTGAGACGGTTAAAATCCCTGCTCCGGAGTAAGTATGCGGTATCACACGAAAATGAAGGCAAATCTTAGCTTTCCGCCTGTCTCAAATTACCTACTGACGCTCACGAATGTACGTATCTATGTTGAAATGCTCGCATCGTTAATCGCGGAGATCAGGCGCGCAACTATTCGAACTCTGGAGTGTGTATGTGGTATCACCCAAAAATGAAGGCAGAACTCAGTTTCTCGCCTGTATCAAATTCCTGCCGTTTATGAATACCGCGATATTCGTGTGATAAACGTGTAATTTTATATTTCTGTATACTTAAAACAGCTGGAAAAATTAGGTATTATTTGCCGCGATATTGAGATGGAAAACGCGTAATTTCTCCCTGTCATGCAAAATCGCTGGAAAAATCGTTCAGTTCTGGATATTCACGATAATTTGCATCAAAATGTTTTGTGAATCCAAGAGAGTCAAAGTGGAAACCCAGCGCGCAACTATTCGAACTCCGAAGTAGCCATGTGGTATCACGCGAGAAATGAAGGAAAAGCTTCGCTATTCGCCCGTCTCAAATTACTGATGTTTATGAATGTAGGTATTATGCTCACATAGCTAAATGCGGAAATCAAGCGCGCAACAATTTGAACTCCGGAGCAGGTATGTAGTATCACGCGAAAATGAAGGGAAATCGTGCATTTTCTCTTCTTTTAAATTGGGTTTGGACGTCCATGAGTTCCGCGATATTCGCGTGAAAAATGTTTTTAACATTAAGTTCTCAACCCAAAAGTTCGGAGTCGTCTGACAACAGATCTGATAAACCCGCTGTCGAAAAAAATTGTTGGGGGAGGGGGGGGGGCAGCCTCTTTGTAAGAGAGGATGACGACTTTTGAAAAAAAAATGGGGGAAAAAGAAGGCCCAGTTAATAGTAATAAATGCAAATCCCATTTCCTCCCGTATACTTGGCCTTTCCTCATGCAGTCAGTTACATCGCATCGAATCAAGAAGATGAGCAATCGTCTATTTGCGGGTTTCACTATCAATGATTAGTAAAGATTTTGACTGTGACGTGCGGAGTTTGTTCCGCGATCAGTTGATAACATAAACATGTGCGCTGCAATTTAGGCCCTGTTCTGATCCGCATTCACTAAACGATTCTAATTAAAGGAAGAAAATTGGCGAAACCCCCTCCAAATTTCTGTAGCCATAAACTTGTCGTTTCTCAGACGGAAGAATGTAACTACATACGAACTTCGTAAAATTTAGACAAATAAGTTGAACTGGAAAAAAAACTTCGGCCGTGGAAGCTGTACTTACGGGCTTTATAGAATACCATCCACGTTCCGGGCGCAGAGGCCGAGAGTTCCAGCCGCAATGCTCAGAGCAATCGAGGCTATTATGGCTCCAGCATCCGGGACTTTCGGCCTCTGAGCTGGGAACAGACGGTATGTCTATATAGCCCGTAACTTTTTACTTTCTCGCTCCCCTTGCGGGTAGAGGAAGTACTGTCATCAAAAAAAAAAAAAAAAAAAAAAAAAAAAAAAAAAGTTGAAATTCCATCATTTCTAGACGTCTAAAGGTGCGTGGAGTAGAAAAAACCAAAGAAAAAGTGTGTGTCCACCCGCCAGGCGCCCCCCAAATTTGTTTACAGCCATATCCTGAGATCTGTTCGTTCAATTTCATTCACTGGAAAAAAACACATTGTATCTTGAGTCCAGACTCTTGAAAACATTGACAAGAAAAAATACTCTTGATTCAATCGGATTTTTGCTTGAATCAAAACGAAATCCACTTAAATTAAGAGGCTTGGTTCTTGATTTAAGCTAGATTCTGATTGAATCAAGAGTACTTTTTCTTGTCGATGTTTTTAAGAGTCTGGACTTTAGATCCAATGTGTTTTTTTTTCCAGTGTTCAAAATTTGCACGGAGGACCATACCTAGATCTCCTTATTTGTCAGTGTAGAGATCAATGTTTTTCTTCTTTTTCACATTTTTTAGTTTATAGAGAGAAAACCAATGTCTCGGAAGGGTTACCGGTGTGCTTACATCCTCAATCGAAATTACACGAACGGAAGCAAAATTCTGAAACGGTGGTGTAGTGTCGGGGAAATTATTTAGGCAGCTGGGCCAAACGAGCTTGCACAACGTTAGACGTAGAGTGCGGAAACATGAGTGATGCATGAAACATGAAACGGGACCCGACGTAACTGCGATCAGTGCCGAGATGAAACACTTTGTCTCGGAGCAAATCGACGGTGAAACTACCAAACCACGTATCTCGTTTGCGGTGTTTAAAAATCTACGCTCGCATTTTATGTTTTTGAGGTAGACCAAATCAATATCATTCCTTGAAATTTTCACAGAATTTTCTCCGCACGAAGAGGAAAAATCACAGAAATTTTCAAGACTGGACGTTAAGTAGTTTTTCATTTAAAAAATAAAGTATGACAGGAAGTCTGCG